ATGGTGAAGAAAGAAATAAAGAAAGAAAAAAAAAAGAAATTAGTTATACATTAATAAAATAATAGTTAATGAATAGATAAAAATCTATATAGAAATATTTAAGAAATAGTTAATTTAGCAATTCCTCTATCATTGATTATATTTTGTATAAAGTTTATACAGAAAAAAAATTGTTGATAATTATCAAACCAGAGATAAATAAACAAAATGCAGTTAGTGATTAAATAAACAAAAGTGCCATGTGATGCTTTGCCTAAGTTGGTATCTATTTGATAATTGATGTAATTAATGTATCCAGAAAGGAAATAATTGACATTAATTCCGTTTGAAATCCTAGGATTTAAGCAATTATTATTCATTAAATGCTCTTTTTTTTTTACTAATTCTAATGAAGAAGAAAAAAACAGATACCGGTACTATGCATCACTTTATTAAGTATGGCGAACGTGCAAGTACGGGTGGATTTCCTGGAGAATGGCAGGGGAGGTTTCTTCCTTCTTCATGGTGGTTTCACGTACTCCATAAGAACAAGATACAACGACAGAACCTACTGGAGATGTATTGACAGACAGTGTCCGGGTTCATTAACAACATCTGAAAACATCGTGGTGAACTTTGGCAGACCACACAACCATGATGACAACTACATTGGACTAGCAGCCGAATCCTTCATCAGTGGTGTGAAGAAGAGGTGCAAAGAGGAGGCAACACCAATCCCCACCATCTATGATGAAGAGTTAGGAGGTTTGCGCAACACCGAATGTGATGATTCAGTGGTGGATATGATTAGGAACATTCCAACATTCCAGGCCTGTAAGTCCGCTTTGTACAGAAACCGGGCGAAGACAACTCCAAAGCTGCCTACTTCACAGGAGGAAGTTAACCTCAATGGACCATGGACCTGTACTTCAGCTGGAGAAAGGTTCCTTCTCTGTGACGACACTGATGCCCAAGGACACCGAATCCTGATATTTTCTACAGACTCCAACTTACAGCATTTGTGTGCGACAGACACCGTTTTCAGTGATGGAACATTTTATTCCTGCACCAGATTCTTCACACAACTCTACACACTGCACGCCAATGTGAACGGAACTATGTTTCCCCTCGTATTTGGACTTCTACCCAACAAGAGTGAGGCCACTTACAACCGTTTCTTAGTGCTTCTGAAGGATGCAGTTAGTGACCGACAGTCTGTGTTAACTCCCGAACATTGGTTCTGGACTTCGAAATCGCCGCAAGGAATGCAATTCAAGGAAACTTCCCTAGGACATCTATCAAGGGATGTTTTTTCCATTATACCCAGTGCATATGGAGGAAAGTCCAATCATGTGGATTGACGACACAATTCCGGGAGGATGAAGACTTTCATCGCCTGGTAAGGAGAGCGGCTGTTCTTCCCTTGGTTCCAGAACAGCGAGTGGAAGATGTGTGGTTTGAGGCACTAGAAGACAACGAAGACGATAACCAAGATGTCGGACGTTTCAAAGACTATGTGACCGAGACTTGGGTTGAGAGCCATCTGATGAATTGGAACCATTTTGACAACGAAGGACCAAGGACAACAAATGCAGTGGAAGGATGGCATCACAAGTTCAACCGGATGTGTCGCCGCCCCCATCCAAATTTGTTCATGTTTGTACAATTAATTCAGAAGGAGCAGGCAGCCAATGAAGCCAAGATGATTCAGCTTGCTGCTGGTGGTGTTGTCCGTCCCAAGAAAAGGAAATATCGGCAATTGGACCGGCGCATCCAGGACCTGAAGTATAGACTACGCCGAGGAGATATCCAGATAATGGACTATGCAGATGCTGCCTCTCATCTACTGCATTTGGAGTGATGTGTCTGAGTTTTTATGACTGTGTTTTTATGACTGTATGGCACTCTACATGTTGATAATTATGCTATTTTAGCCATAAATATATTAGTTACTTGAATATTATGATAGTGACTGTTATGATATTTTTATGTATGAAATATTTGATATGACCATAATTTATCAAAATGATTACTAGTATATTTATGTAAGAATGGCTACTTTTGCATGCCTGTTAATGTAACTTAATTTAACTTAACTTAATTTAAAGTGTCAGTGTGATATTCTGTGTTTTTTCATTTGTGACATGAAAAAGAAATAAAATAAATATCTTGAAAATAAAATCTGCTTCTTTATGTATTAATTTAGTTAAATCAATGAGAAAAAAAACCTATGAATTAAAAAAAAAAACAAAAAAAAAACATTAGGACCCCCCCCCCCCCCGATAACAATTCTTAAGTACGACTGCGCTTCGGTTGACAATGGTTTCTTCGTATGACAATTTCGAATGTTATCCTCAGCTACGTGCAATCTTTAAAACTTCTCTCCTGTAACATCCTATAGGTAACATCCCACTTTACAGTGTTAAAAAAGCTCTATACTGTATACACAATGTCTTTTTTTTTAAATCTTAAAATCGAGTAAGACTGGTATTTAATAATTAAATATATGGGATACAGGCTGTTTAAATCAAAGGACCTTTATTCATTTTTTACAGCTGAAAACCCACGACAAGGCACAAAAGAAGCTTTCGCTGGTTGATAGGGCTAGACATTGTCGCAAAACACGGCCAAAATGTACGATCCTCTTCCATTCTAGGATAGAGCTATATGCGGACTCCGAGCCGTGGCTTGAGAAGATGAGGGCTGGAACAATACAACTTTTTCTATATCGATACGTATCACGATATTTGAGCCACGATACAATATGTATCACTATATATTTAATTGGTTATACAATCTTTTTGCATTGAAATAAACAAAATATTTCTTTGGAAATAAAAATAATTTATTCGAAGAAGTTATACACTTGTCTGTTGTGAAACAAATTTATTTTACTCAAATGGTGTTAATTATTATTTATTTCATATTTTATTACTTAGCATATCTATTTTATATATTGAACCCCAAATGTTAATTAAAGAAAAACAGAAGTCAGATTTCGATATTTCTTCATATATGTTTCGATATGTATGCCGTCCTTACACAGAATCGGTATCTCGATATTTCGTCCCAGCCCTACTAGTTGACCATTACATATACTAGTCCCAGTATTTCTTCGGTTACTGAAGCGTTAGAAGACAAAATGCAACAGACTTATAAAAGAAATCTGTCCTTAAGTTTTGTAGCTCAGTGGTGGACTTGAGTGCTATATATTATGGTACGTGATTATTGGCAGAATTATCCACCCACTCTTACTCCTATTACCAAGTACTTGAAACTGAAACTACCTACTGTCCTCAAATTAATTCTTGATTGTGTCTAGTATAAAAACATCGATAAATTCCTTGTTTTTGATAGGAGCCCTGCCGGGTGTTATTTACGGTTTTATTATTCGGAACAGCTTACATACACCGTCTCACCTTCCGATGTTAGACGTTAATGTGTTATAGGAGGGGGAACTTGGTAAACTCGTCTATGGATTTTAAAGAGTTAAACGAATATGTTCGATTATTGGCAGCTTACTTAATTATCTTTATATTAATTAAAATATCATTCCTTTTTCTGCAAGCACTCACTGTTGATATTAGTTTTGTTTTATATCTATGATATATGTCAATGAAGAATCAACATTGTGCTTATGTATTGCGGGTTAAGATTGATGCTCTTCGTTTGAAGTAATAAGGGTTCTTCATTTAATTAGAAAATATGGTCATTTGCCAAGATAATGTTCAAGTGCTGTAACGAGTATTTATCTGATATGGCCGGGGAACTGGTAACTGATACTGCACCGGCTGTAATGCAGGGCAGAGGCAATTTACTTTTTTTGCACAAAGATTTTGATGATACATATCTGTTAAACAAACTAGGACTGCGTCCGGGATGAAACACCTTAAGGTTTGAGACGTCCACTTTCGACTCCAGCAGTGATGAAACGTTGAGGGGAAAACTTAATGGCAGCTAAATTAAAATTTTACATGATTCATTTTTTTGTAGGTAGCTGTTGATAATTGGTTTAACTGAATCTTGTTGCAAACTTTTGACCTTCTAGGTAGTCTAATACCAATTCCACAGTCAATAAACGAAGCCAATTTATACATACTGAGTAGGTTTACGTAACCATAGCAAACTAGATCTCCTCCCCTTGCCTTCTATTTGTAAAGATTTTGACATTTGAATAGAAAGAGGCATCAGAATGTTACAGGGGTTATTGCATACAAGAGATTTATATTAATGAGAAACGCCTTTCCGCCTGTTTCAGAATATACCTTTTCTTTACTTTTTTGTTTGAAAAAAATATAATTGACCTCATCTGTACTATAAATGTAAGCATTTACCAGCAAATGAAATATAACTTTTAAAAATGTGTTGGTTTCTTGGTCTTTTTTTAATATATGCTAAAATTTATTTATTCACCAACTGCGAAAGACATTTTTCCGATGACATTTAAACAAATGAAGTACTTCATCAGGAGTAATTATCCGTATAGGTTTGTCCTTGTTATGGGAGATGTGTCCGTACGGACTCTGGCGAAGGCCTGCGTTAGACAATCACAGTAATAATCTCATTGTCGGAAACTCGTATGGTTAGCAGGCTTTTGGACAGATTTTCTGATCAATATCCAGTTTAATGCTGACATTTTACTCAAAATAACCTGTCAAAATCTGCGCATCTGTGTTATGTACTGATACCGATCGCATGACAAAGTGCAACTCAAAAATAGATACTGTTATTACCAGAAATAAATTGACGATTCTTAAAAATAAAGGCAGCAGTTTATTATTAATTAGCTATCAAAACTGTCATTATTTCATATGAAAATATTACTTAAAAATACATAAAATCACAAAGTGTAGATAAGTCGATAGTTATAATTCATACCCAAACTGAAATCGACGCATCCTCGTCTCCCATTACAGAACAGACAGATTTATCTTTCAAACTTCAATGCTTCTTCGCTTGAGTTTTAGTAGAGTGATCACGAAGCCAAAAAAATGACAACTCAAAAAGATATAGAATCTCACCTGCATATTCACGGTAATTTCCCGCTAATAGTGAGCCCGAAACACTACATCTTCTTTAGTTTCATCCTTCTTCCCGTGTCGTAATTATTTACCGCTGTATCGTGTCTAATATGTCTGCTTAGTTTCTGGTCATTAAATATTGACAGTTTCCTTCGTTTATTTTACTAGATTTTCTTCATTTACATCCAGCGGTGATGAATTTCAATTCAACTGCTGACGATGGATTGCACGCGACCAAATTTCACGCGCTGAATAACCATTCATCCAATAGAATCCTTCGTCAGAAGCCGCAGAATCTCGGTAAGAAGGGTGATGTGGTTTTCATCTTCGTGCTGTGACGGAAACCTTCGGCTTGCCAATCAAATACACCTCAATATAAATGTTCTCTTTGGTGAAGATATTCATCGCATGGGGTCCGCACAGATAATCCATGGCAGGGAGTGAATTGAATTTACTTTGAAAATTAATTAGGCGCATTAAGATGTAAAAATGAGAATTGGATGGCGTTTGAAAAGAAAACGGGTCAACAAATTACAAAGGATAGGCGGGAACGAGTGAGCTGGTCACAGTGGCACCGCTGTGGACAATTCAAACTTTGTGACCATTGATTTGGAGTTATGCAATACACGCCTCACAAAATCGATAGATATATTCAAGTTTCACTACCAGGTATATGCTAATTGTAATGTTTAATTTGTTTTTTTTGTTTTTGTTTTTGTTTTTGTTTGTTTTTTTTTTTTGTTTGTTTTTGTTTTTGTTTTTTTTGTATAAGAAATTTTATCCCTTAAAAGACATTTAGACGATTCATAGACATACTTTTAAGAACTATTGCGGATGGAATTTGAGATTGATTGTTGGCAATAATGTGAGATTATACACATGCTGCGAATACCAAAGTGTATTATGAAATGCACAGCTTAAATGTTAATAGGAAAAAGCATGCCACCATTTCTTTAAAAAATAAACAGATTTCATTTGTAACAAAGCAACAATGAAAAATCCTTTAATGATTAACCTATACAGACGAGAACCGATGTTTTACATTGTGTATATTTTCAGACACATTGTTTGTTTCTGTTTTCTCCTCAGCAGGTGTCGAAAAGAGCCCACCCTTAACTACCATCTGACAAAGGGTCACCTTGCCATGAATTCAAAAGTGGCTCAGTGGGGCTTCATCATCCACCCGAAACTACTATTACAATTACCGGAATTTGTTGATAATTTGTGAAATTAAATTTAAATCCAATAATAAAATGAAATATTAAATTTTGAATAAGAATTAAAAATATGCTCAAAAGTTTTGAATTTTCCGGATGTCCGTAAATACAAAATTTACAACATTACAACTCGATTTTGTTTTTACCTCCACACGGTAAATTTAAAATTTACAACAAGATTAAAATTTTGTCATGTGTCTTTGGTCTTAGGGTAAAACTCTATTGAGGAAGTAGGGAAAACGCATTTATTTTATGAAATTTTTTGTTTTTCTTCCCCCAGTGTGTAGCAGACAAACTCAGTATATAGTAATGATTATGGGTGGCGGAAAGGGTAAAAAAGACGTTAATGCAAAACTAACAACTAATTTTAAAAACTACTGAAAAACAAAACAGACCACCTTAAAACAAAATCAACAGACTCGTTTGACAATTTCGCGGTATTAACGTTCCTACGAAAGTACACATATAATGATGACTTAGAAAAACTTGCGATTCATCTACCGTAAATTCATGTAATGTCTATTCTTTGCACGCCTTCTAGCGTCAATTCAGTGAATGACTGTTGGTTTTGCATCGGTGATCGTCGGTTTTGCATCGGAGTCTGTTGATTTTCCAAAAGAGTCTGTTGATTCTGTTTTTAAGTATGTTTTCAAAATTAGTTGTTAGTTTTGCATTAACTTCTTTTTTTTACCCTTTCCCCCGCAGATAAAATGATGCTATTAATCAATGTCATCGGTGTAATGGGTGGTCAATTGGATAAAAGAATCATCCACAATTTGCAATGTATAATACGAAAAGTAATTTTATTGATATTAATGTTCTGGTGGACTTGTTTTTGGATAAATAAACATGAGACAAAATACATACCAAATATCTAAAAAATTCTCTTAAAAGCGTCAAATATTTAATGCTAGTCTCTATGGTAAATTTGCTCCTTTTTTTCTCCCAGTATCTTTTTCACTAATTCATAACCATGATACCGAGTAAAATAGCAAAGCAAGAGAAACAACCCATTATATAGTTTGAGAAACTACAATTTCCACTTTCACTCGAACATCCCAGCGAACATGACTTTTTCATTCCTATAGGTACAACAAAGTTCAGTTTCAAATTAATCACTCAAAACAACATTTTGATACATGACGAACATATATTACTAGCATATAAAAATATTTACATTGGTTAGAAGTACATATACAATAGTACAATTTGACAGTAAGTGAAATTAAGATGAAAATAATTTCAGGGCACACGCCATAATAAATATTCATTACAAACTACAGTTTTTAAAACAATTTGAAAAAAGTGAACAACAATTTTAATTGTATTTCTTTTAAAGCCTTTGATATTCTATACTGTATCAAGTGTTCAGCACAAACAAGTGAAGCTGCGGGAATCGACGTGACATTAGTAATCAAAACCACTCGAGAGAGGGACAGTACTTCGTATATTCCTGTCATGAAGGGTTGCTTTGGAATGTAAAGTAGAGCCCTCTTAAAACCCGACCTTACATAGTAACTCCGATCATATGGTACAAACACTTGGTATTTCCCCTTATTGTTACTGTATACTCGATCAGTTGGTGACTCGACCTCTAGTGCCATGGACTGTAGTGGTTTATTACCTATGGTTCTGTCTCTTATTTTAATACAATCTGCAAAATCAAACGGTAATTTTATATCAAGTCTTTGCTCTATTCTTCTACTATGGTCCAAGTTGCTAATTTGTTTTTGCCTATTTCATAGAGAAATATTTCGCCTTGAATAGTCTTATTAATGTTATTTCTTTTTTTACAGTTCTTGTTGCGTTTGTTGGGGAAACTTTGTCCTTAAGATGTAAAGTGACAACTTCATACGTACAGGTATTAATTTTTTTTTTAATTGTGCATGTGTAGATATTTGTTATATTAAAGACTTTAATTCTGGTATATAAAGTCCAGAAAACTTAAATATTTCATTTTTTATGAATCTTTCCACGATTCATATTGTACCTTTTTGTTGCTGTCGCGAATGGTACTCAGTCTTATCCAAATCACCCAGTTTGTATCCTTTTTTAGTTTGTCTGGGTAAAGGAACAAACAACAATGGCCTCGGGGCCACCGGATGAGGTGATATCTGAACGGACCAGGGTGACACTTAGCAAACCTCTGGCTGGAATTCGTGAGCTCACAATAAATGACGTCAGAACTTACGATACAGGGTATTACTTATGTATTGTAACTCTTAACAACGGTACCAGACTTACCTATTCGAGTATAGTACAGGTGAAAAGTCAACCCAGCATAGGTATATTGTATTAGTAAAACTTATACGTACACTATTTTTTAAGACAATCAATTTATTTAAATAATTTATTAAGCAATTAAATTAAGTTCTTGTACTTTAATTGAGCACATATAGATGAAATTTAAAAGAAAACAATATGAATAAAAATATAAATTCACTTTCTTAGTGATATACTTGTGCAAATAACATTTGATTATTACAATTTACACCAAAAGCTGACCAAAACAAACAAACAACGGAATATTTGATAGACGACAGCAACATTACCGATCAAACAACCACATCAAAAACAACAGGAAACATAGGTCAGTGGATTAATCTACATACAGATGTTGCATGGTGTACAGCATAGTATTTTATGCAATTTGATGTTGCTAAAACCTTCTTTTTTGACCCTGAAGTATTTGGAGTGATGGAAATGTTTTTTTCTTTCATCTCAAACTGCCAATCGCTTATTTTCTAGTTCCAAAGACAGTTTTTGTTGGAGAAACTTTAAAACTGCCTTGCCCAGTCATCAACAGTTTATCTAAGGTTGGTTATTCGTATTTACAATTATTATGTCATGGAAAACATTAAATACAAATATAATAAGTTGATCTACAATCTATATTAACACAGAGGAAATTTATTTTAGTTCATCTGGCAGAAGAATTCAGTTCCAGTGGCGTATGGTCCTCCTGATACTGTGTTGATTGAGGAAAACAGAATTTCAATCAGCGATTCTACCTACGGCTGGCGACAGCTGATCATTAAATACGTCACTATGGCGGACAGTGGGACGTACCTGTGTGTCGTGGATCAAGATTCCGGCAGGCCATTCCAAATGACAACGGAAGTCCGTGTTCTTACAGAGGATAATACAGGTATAAACTGTAACGTTTTTACAAAGTATGAATGATTAATAATTGGGTCCGCTTAGGATTCCTTCCTAAGAATCACGTTTATATGGAATTAAACAAACTTCAATTACAATAGCACTTAAACAAGAAACTGACTGAAATTCGCTGTATATTTATATACTTTTTCCTCGGTACTATCTGGATAATGATTAAATAACAAACTTGATAAAAACGAACTTTAACAACAGAATCACTAACAATCAAGCAAATAATCAAATATAAAACCTATCTCTGTAGCTGCAGACTGAGTGGTATAACAAACAATTCTGTTGTTTCCCGACACAATCTGCAACTACCTAAAACACACCCTAGCAATTATAAGTCACAGAGACACCTTTATTAAAAGTCACGAAGACACAATATAATTCAGTCACGAAGACACTATAATCATTGAGACCCTAATAAGGAACTAGAATCTTGAGCTGGGTGGTCTAACGAACAATTCTGTTGTTTCCCGACACAGTCCAAGAACATAGCACGAGAGGTATTACTCAAGCAATCAGTAACGACCAAGAAACCGAATACTATATGGGTGCCTAGATATTATCATTTTACAAACAGCGTGACAGTTTGCTTGATGGGGCGTGTTTATCATTTTACTCATCGATTGGATCAATGAAATCAATACTAATTTGCATATGAAACTCAGAATACAACAATCCCTGATAATACTGGCCAATCATATTGAAGGGTTGTTTACCAGTAAGGCATTTGTATTTTGTAGTCACCAGCAACACGTGGTCAGAAGGTGTTGTGATTTGACCGGGTGGGTTTTTGAATAAGTATAAGAAAATTTAAAGAATGGAATTAGTAAGGCTACTCTTCTTCTGTTGTAATATGTACCTAACTCTATCAATATCATCATTATAGGAAGTAAAACTTGCTTTGTCCGTTTACATGTAATTGTTTATTCGACGCGATTGGTCACTATTATCAGTGGTATTGTTGTGTTCTGTGTTTCATATGCAAAGTATTATTGATTCTATTGAAATCAAACATCCAATCGATGAGTAAGAATGATAATCAGCATACAAAATTTTAGCACGCCCTATCAAGCAAACTGTCACGCTGTTAGTAAAACGATAATATTTATACCTTTCCTAATTACTAATGATTGGATAATAATTTGGGAACTCTGATTGGCTATAATATATACGGTGATTGGTTAAATATAAAATGATTCGATTGGTCTATTTCAAAGGCATTTCAATCCACTATGATTATTCTATATCATCACAAATCCTTACCGAACGTCACCTTCATAAACCAAGTCAAAAGCAATCAGATATACTATAAGAAAATCAGGTTAAAAACACCATGAAAAAAAACTTTTTATAAAATGTAATTTATGAATAGTACTTATTTGTACTCAGAAATATATACACTAGTGTCTTAGAGTAAATGTTGGGTATCAAGTAAAAACTATCTCGATATCAGATGTTCATAGTTAATGTTTCTTAGAGTAATTATGCCGAGAGAAAAATTAATTGGCGAGTATTCAACGTCAAAAACATTTCATTTTTATATAGAAAAAATATTCTGGTATAATATTGTTATACCCTTTTAAATATCTTCTAATATATATATTTTTACCACTAAAAAGGAAAGCAAAGTCAATGTTTATACAATGTAATTACTAGTATATTGAAGGGTATAACAAAACAGTCATAGAATGGGATCCAATAAGATCCAAAACAGTTGACATTCACCCCCTCTCTCCCTCTTAGACATTTTAAATTTCAAAGGCACATGTATACAGTATTCACTGAAGTGAGTTAGTGATACGGATCAACTTAATATATATTTACACTTTGTCTAGTACTTGAAGGTTTCGAAGACTTATTCTGTGATATATTTAGAGATAACGAACATTATTTGAGCTCAAAATTTCATTAAACAATACAAAATAGGAGCAGTGCAAACACGGTTGTCCAAAACATCAGTGGTGTGATCAGGTGTCATGGAGGAGTGGGTATCCCCTTTCGACAGGTCACACCAGCAGTGTGTCATGATCAGGAAATAAGGGACAAAATCCATGGACAACTCAGTGTGTAAATAATGGCCTACCAATCAGTATGTAAAAAGTCAGCCAGCATTTGAAATAATGATACTAGTAAATTGTATTTGCTGACAAGGTCATTGCATCGACCATAAAACTTTCGAAATGATGACTTTAAATGAGACTGCTGATATTCTTGCTTCATCAACTTGTTTGTCAATAAATTACCTCGTTTTAGAAATTGTCCGTACGTAGAACATGCTCTTCCATATCGTATCAAATGAGAGATATTAACTCCCTATGTAGGTGACAAACGTTTATTGCTGTATAAGTAAGGAAAGTGTACGAAAAAAAGTTACAGTCATCGCGTTTATCATAAAACTTTGCTCTTAGATAAACATTAATGTCTCATTCTGTCTCGATCGTTGGATATATCTAGGTTTGACTTTTAAAATAAATGGTAAAAAAATATATATGTATCTATGTGTAATATTGCATAAAAATATAAGATATTGTACACACTAAAAGGACAAACTATTTTGACATTACACTCTTTGTTCCTGTTTACAGTGAAACAAGAACACCTTCATTAAGCCCTATTTTTATTCTGACTTTTTGCTTCTTATTACAGAGACAATAGAAAGCTCTGAAGCGCAGAATACACAGGATTCACTCTCGTCAGCATTACCAATCTCCCATAAAGGTACTAAATATATGCTTCCCAGTTTTTATTTTACTACACATCTTTTTCTATATATGTTTTTAATGGTAACAATAAAATAGTCCATTTGACTTGAAAAGTAAACCATACTTATCATAAATTGCACATAAAAATTTTGTTATCGAATTGAAAACAAATGGAATTTACATTGTTTGAGTACAAGCTATTTTATAACACAAATGCATTATACAATAGAAATTGAAATAATACATGATTAACATATGACGATATATTTTATAAAATTAAAGTAAAATGCAACTCACTATCAAAGGAAACAAGGAGATTGATTTAAAATTACTGAACAAAAGCGCTGTTCCGCCTTGCCGCGAAAAAAAACCTGCTACATGAAAATTATCCCTCTTTCGTAATCCAGAGGAAAAATCTTGCAACAACTGTTAATCACTATATTTATGGGACACCTTTAATGTTATCATAGCGAAAAAAAATTCACGAGTGTTGTGGCTACTAGTATTACTCTAAATGATCTTTAGGAATATTAATAAACGCAAGAATAAACTTTTCGCGTGAATACTGTTCCGAGTAAATCATGCGAAAAGAATATTCCTGACAATAAAATAGTGATTTTCAGTTTAGTAACTTTTATTACAATATAGGTAATTTCGGCTTTGCATATTTGCCTACGTTGCATTGGTAAGTTTTACACGTTACACGTTGTTTTGTAAGGGCCATTGACAACGCAGAGTAGATCTGTGGTTAAGACGGAATATAACACCTATCATCCCTCAAAGAAAAACTACTCTGAAACATATAAAATAGACTACACTATATAAATGTTGCATACAGTGCAGATCGGCTGTTGAGCTTGAATAAACGCATCGGAGGGAAGAGATAGAGTAATAGAAAATGTATAATAGGTCTGTACCAGCAAAATGAAACATATGGAGATAACAAACAGTATTCCATATCAAAAGTCCATAAAACAATACAAAATAGGAGCAGAGCAAACACGGACCTCCGAAACATCAGATGTGGGATCGGGTACCATGGAGGAGTGAGCATCCCCTGCTGACCGGTCACACCCGCCGTGTGCTCCTTGTCATGATCAGGAAATAACGGGAAAATGCGTCGTCAATTTCGTGTATAAATAATGGACTAACAATTAATATGAAAAACGTCATTCAGAATTTGACTCACTGATAAATTTTATTTGCTGACAAGGTCATTGTATCGACCATAGAACTTACGAAATGATGACTTTAAACGAAACTGCTGAACAAATATTCCTGTTCCATAAACTTTCTTTCATTTACAGTCTTTAATGTCAGTAATTTACCTAATTTACTAATTTTAGATATTGTTCATACGTATAGGGCTTCCTCTTGCGTTTAGAATCAACGGAGACATATAAACTCCGTATGCAGGTGATGAAGGTATATTGCTGCATAAGTAAGGGAAAATGACATAGAAAAGTAAAGTCATTACGTTTATCATAGATCTTGGTTGTTAGATTACCATTAACGTCTTTTTCAAGTTAAATATCCAAATATGAAACATATGTGTCAGACTCTGTGGAATCTTTTGAAAATAATCCAAAAGATTAGAGGTAAAATACTTGAAGCAGTAGATCCTGCGTGTTGACACTATAATGTTCCAAATAATTATACATCTTACTTTTTCTTTCAGTGACAACACATGAAACGATGACCTGTGTTGTGCACACAAGAGCACCTTCTCTGTCGACACTTGGGTCTTCTCATAAAGGTTACTAAACAGTAATAAAACACGCATGAAGTAATTTGTATATAATATAGTAGTTAGACTTAAGGAGGAGTCTCAATATCGCTCATGATGAAAAGAAACGGGAATTGAAGATCTTTGTTTTTCGCACTTATTTCAACCTCATAACGTCAGAGTACACTCTGGTCGTGGGACCCTTGATCAACTTCACTCTTTTTCAGTGAGCTTTGAAGGAATATAAAATTAGGTCGATTAATAAAGTAATACAATTAATGCCTATTGGTATTTTTTATCTTGTTTTAAATTATAAAGGCAGTAAATTTTGCACATTCTCTTTTGTTCCAGAAAATGAGCTGAATAATCCATCCAGCATTTGTGGGGGCCTTGTCTTAAATAAGTATACCTTGAGTGGACTCGTTATCATCGCGATCATCAGAAATTGGTGAATAGATGTTGAACTCTGACATTTCATTAATCTGCACGTCTTCCAGTCTAGAACTATATCTGTGAAGTCTGTAGTACCTCTATATTATGGTTAATGTTGTTTTTGTTTTTCAAAACTTTTGAATAAAAGCCAGGATATTCCAAGTCATACATGTGTCTCTTGTATATAGTTTAAAGATGTATAAAAGTATCGGAATGGACAGATTTTTTTGCTACTAGCAGTACAGTTCATGCATTTGCCTACCAAAATAAAACAAACAAACAAACAAACAAAGTAAAAAACGTATTTATACGAAAAGTATAAGACTAAGATAGGATCTTGCAATCAAAGGTAAATTGTTACCCAACTCTCAAATGAATAATGAAATTTTAAACGTATTAGACATAATCATGTATTATTTTGATAAGACGTGTTTCCAACAATCCTCAGAAAGATTTTCATACAGTCTGTCTTTAATGCAATGTTCCTTTGAAGAATATTCCGACCCTGAGTGACATATTTTTGTCATGTTGTAAATTTTAAATTTACCAGGTGGCATTTGGTACAAAATTTACAACATTTACCAGGTGGCAGTTAGTACAAAATTTACAACATGACAAGTTGTCATATTGTAAATTTCGTTTTTACTGCCACCCACACGACATTTCCACATTATTATACCTCATTATAAATATTCTAGACAGCGCGTTATCTGATTGGTTCTAGGTTATCCGTAAAACCGTAAAACTCCATATTTCCCCACTCGGAGTTCCTCGGATGACTCGTACCTCGCACATAACCTCGGACGTCAACGGTGATCTACCATCTCGCTGATTCAGTCATGTGATCTTATTTGAATTTCTTTCAAATGTCATACATTTGAAATCGAAGTTATTTTGTAGCACACTCAACAGTTTTTTCTCGCTTTCAAAGCCTTTTAACATGAGGTTGTAATCAAAACCTGTTTACGATAAAGAATGGCACAAATTAAGAAACATTTTCGAAGAACGTTATGCAGAGCGAAATATGAAATGAGTGATTAGGCAGTTTCCGGCGGAGAAATGTAAGGATTTGTTGCGTATTCCTCCACTAATCACATCCGAGGTTTGAATGGAGCGTAGCGGAGTCAGCCGAGGATTGCCGATTGATATTTCCCGGCCGGCGGCACGCTTTTTCATCATATTTCACCTCTTCGGAACACCTAGTGTATTTTCCCGCAATAATAGGGTTTATCTCATAAGGATAAACCAGGTTATTTAGTGCAGTAATTACTGGTGCATAATTTTATTGGGCAAAGGGCAGTAACTCTTATAAGTAAATCAATGGTGGTTTCCCTGTGGTGTACCCCTTTTTCTATGACGTGATCATGCGCAAACTTGTCTTTGATTTGGTGAGCATGCGCTTTCAACTCTTCCTTTTTCTTCATCAACCCTCAGAGCAGAACACACGAAATTTTTGTGTCCGTCAAATTTTGTTTAAATCGACATCCATCATTGGCATCGATAAAATAAACTGGAAAGATGTTGCGAGCTCCCAGAAAATCGAAGTCCAAGAGTCCATATGCCCGTACTAGCGGTCAAGCTGCTGCAGCCATCTCCACTGCGGTTAGGACCACGCCACGAACCCAGGCGGCCATTACACGGACTAGGCCTCAAGGCACTACAGCTACGTCAACCGTTTCGGCGACGGCGACGCTACCTCAGGTTTCTACTTTAACCACCGGTATTCCTGTTAGCAGCATGATGGAACAAGCCTTGCAGACCCAGCCAAGTCAGCAGGACGTGGTTAACGAACAGGGGACTGGGAGCACAACTGACCCAGGTACAATACACACAGTTGATTCATTGGCTTTGCCTTTACCATTTATAAGTACAGCTTCCCCCTTAGGTGTTCATGTATCACAAAGTTTGAAAGAAAAAATATATAACAATGAATTTCAATTTTGTTCATCTCAACAAACTACTATTTCATGACCCCACGTCTACACCTACAAATCAAAGTTTTTGAGGATGGTACACCCAAGATTAAAGAACAAAAAATTGTGAACATATCTCAGTGGGTGGATGCTTTTTTGATTTTTGGATCAATCTATTTAGTGAAGCATCCTACTGAAGCATTGTCTTTGTTCAGGTATATGGCAACGATAAAGAGGGGGACAGATAATATGTATCAGGGTTGGCAAGAATATGACATTCAGTTTCGATTAAAAAAGTCATTCAACTCGGCAATCAGTTGGGCATCTGTGGATGCAGAACTCTGGTTAGTTTATATGCAACCACCAAGTAATAAAGCAAGTGGGAATCAGTTGAGAAATCCTCAAACTAGCTTAGCACCTTCTCGTTTAAAATGCTATAGTTTTAATTTTCAAGGGGTGTGTAATAAATACATGTGTAACTAGTGCTAATTGTAACGGGGACCGTTACAGATGTTCCCCAAACGCTCCCCAACTCCCTTTTGGTGCCATATCCCCTGTAAGCCACATTAAATAAGACAAACTCTATGCATTTGAGACTTCAACAACGTTTACCCAGAAATGTACCAATTTCATTTAAATTTTAGCATTGCACCGTGTGCATGTGAATGCATCAGCGTAATGACGATATCGTCTTGTCTACACAATCTATACATCTTAATATACTAAATATGAAAGCATTTAATCAAAAGTATGAAAAAATACGCTCATTCAAGTGTATATTTGATTTTACCCATTTCACGTGCACGCACGTGCATACATGAGCATGTTGACCATACCTTCTTGTAGAAGTCCATTACATCTATCTATGTTATAAATCCCAGCCCGTTTGGTTGAAAACCAAGGGAGTTATAGCTGTTTAAAGTTTCAGCCAATCAGATTGCAGCGCACATACACGCACGCGTATGCATGTGCATGGTGACCACACCTTCTTGTAGAAGTCCATTATATCTATTTATGTTCCAAATCCCATCCTGTTTGGTTGAAAAGCAAGGGAGTTATAGCTATTTAAAGTTTAAGCCAATCAGATTGCAGTGCACGTGCATGCACGTGTTTTCATGATAATTGCTATATATTATAATGTAGGATATCCTTATATATGGCTATGTTCAAAATTTCAAAGAATTTCATTCAAAAACAAGAAAGATATTGAGACTTTAGTTTCAGCCAATCAGAGCGAAGCGCACGTGCATGCGCGTGAGATCTTGCTATTTTGACCATGTTATATTGTCTATGCTACTAATATATCCTCACATTATGAGTTTCAAAGCATTTCATCCAAAAGTAGAAAAGTTACAGCTAATCTATTATATTGGTCATTTCACGCATTGCACGTGCACGCTCTTGCAAGCACGTGCACACAAAATGACCTTTGTTCCGCAAATCTACATAACATGCCTACTGACCCTAAAAAGGTTTTACCTAAGTCGGATGTATAGTTTTCAAGATCACTCCCGGACAAAAAAGTACCCAGGAAGAAGAAGAAAAATAATAATAATAATAAGAAACAGAGTAAAAACAATATGTTCCCCAACTTCGTTTGGGGAACATAATTATTTACACCAGTGTCTTAAATGCAACGGCCTACATCCTATGAAAACTTGTATCAAAGGTAGCCAGTTTCAAACAACTTCAGTAAATCACAATACTAACAATAATTATTACAGGAACAGTGGAAACCAGTTCCAGAAGGGACAAAAACATTAGTTTACAAGTGGCAAATGACCTTCAGCTCCAGCTATGGGATTTGGGCAGATCACCCATAAATGTATCACTTTTAGAACAGTTGTTACAAAATTACCCAGACTGTGAGAATGCCAAATGTTTGGCTAATGGTTTTAAATTTGGTTTTAAATTAAAATACCTTGGAGATAGAAAACGGATAGAATATAAAAACATGCTATCTACCCAACAATTTGTAAATGAGGTTCAGGTCAAGATAGACAAAGAAATAGAGCTTGGGAGAGTGTTAGGCCCTTTTCCTTACCCTCCCATTTCTTATTTACGTTGTAACCCCATAGGTATTCTTCCAAACAAACAAGGGGGTTGGCGCATGATCACCAATTTATCTTATCCTATAGGGGATAGTGTGAATGATTATATAGATTCAGAGTTGTGTTCGGTCAATTATTCAACTTTTGATGTCAGATGATGCATTAAAAGTCATTTCGGCCAAAGGTGAGGGGGCATTAATGGCAAAAATGGATGTTTCAAATGCATTTAGGTTGTTAACTATATGTCCTCAAGATTTTTGTTTATTAGGTTTCAAAATTGCAGACTCGTACTACATAGACAAACGTTTGCCCATGGGCTGTTCAATATCTTGCTCATTGTTTGAAAAGTTTTCAACTTTCCTTCATTGGGAAGTGCAGCATAAATCAAATATTGAGAGTATAGTTCACTATTTAGATGATTTTTTATTTCTTTTTTTATTGGAGAGAAATCTACAGATGAATGTCAAATATTAATGTGTGGTTTTCAAGAACTCTGTCAAGGGCTGGGGGTTCCATTAGCTGTAGAGAAAACTGAGGGTCCAACTACTCGTATTTGTTTTTTGGGCTTAGGCATTGACACTATAACTCAAACGATTTTTATTCCAGAGGACAAAATAAAGGAATTGTTGTCAAAGATCCAGAATGTTCTAAGTTGTAAAAAGGTAACGCTCAAGCAGTTGCAATCCCTGGTAGGAGCATTGGCCTTTGTAGTTAAGGCATTACCAGCAGGAAGGACTTTTTCTAAATTTGTAGGATTTATGGGGCAATGGAAGTTAAAAAATCATTTCATTTCATTAGAATAACAAATGAAATTAGAATGGATTTGCAGATGTGGGTTCAATTTTTGCTCAACTTTAATGGTACTACGCCATTTCCTTCGCAACATTGGCATGACAGTGAATTTTTAGAATTTTTTACAGATAGTTCAGGAGCATATGGCTGTGGGGTAGTATTTGGAAATCATTGGTCTTGTTTATCCTGGCCCACATACTGGTCTTCAGACATAATTAGGGATATAACATTACTGGAGCTTGTTCCCATAGTATTGGGTATTAGTATTTGGTCATCTAAACTTAAAAACCTTAAATTGTTGCTTCATGTAGACAATATGGCTCTAGTGCAGATTATCAATCAAAAAACGTCAAAAACAAAAGAGTCATGGTGTTGCTACGTTTCTTAGTTCTGAAAACTCTTCAATTTAATATTCAAATTAAAGCGCAACATATAATGGGTGTGAAGAATAATGTGGCTGATGCAATTTCTCGATTTCAGTGGTCCAGGTTCAGGCAGCTAGCCCCTTTGGCAGATCGATTTCCCTCTTCGGTACCAATGCAATTTTGGGAAATTATGGAGAAACTATAAACAAACTTTTGCAAGATAGCATATCATAAAATACTGGTAAAGTTTATAAACAAGGACTACAGAGTTTTTATAATTTTAGAGTCAATTGTGAATTTCAGCAAACCTGGCCTCCACCTCTTGACCATATTTTAAATTTCATAGCTTATATGTCTGAGCAGGGATGTTCCTTTTCTACAGTCAAATGCTACATGTCAGGGATAAGTTTTCTAATTAATGTAAATGGTTGGAAAATCCGTTAGAGTCTTTTTTGGTGAAGAAATTGATGGCAGGGTACAAAAAGTCGTCTTTGTCTTGTGATATGCGTCGACCAATCACATTGGCATTGTTGCACAGATTATTGAGTGCAGTACCGCATTTGGCTTTCTCAACATATGAAGCAGTATTATTTCAGTCATCTTTTGCCTTGGCATTCTTTGCATTGTTGAGAGTAAGTGAAGTTAGAGATCTAAGAAGGGATAATATTCAGATTTTAGACAGTGTCAAATCCGTATTTATAAAAAGTTCAAAAACGGACCAATTAGGCTCTGGGGCTTCAGTTTGGGTGCCTAACACGTCACAATCAGTACTGCTGGTGAATTTGTTGAAGGAGTTTTCCCTGCTGTCTAGCAAAATTGATAGGGATGTGTATTTTGCCCACTTTAACTCAAAGCCATTGACACAGTTTCAGTTTTCTAGCATGTTACATAAATCCTTAAAATTTCTAGATATCAAAACTTCGAGTTACAAAACCCACTCATTTCGCATTGGGGGTGCTACTCACTTGTATTTGGAAGGGTTGTCTGAAAGTGAAATTCAACAAAAGGGTAGATGGAAATCAACAGCATATAAATCATACATTCGTCCTTTAAATACTTAAGTGCAAGTGTTAAGGTTATTGATAGAAATTACACAATATGTTTGATTGAAATTGATGCATTGATTTTCTACAGGGGTCATTTGGATTATAGGATCTTCAATTGTACATTGGGCACATAGCTATGCAGTCAAATCTAATCAGTCAGACCTGGGATTAGGCCAAACGAAAACATTGTGGCATGGAATTCGTGGAATGGTATGGGAGCAATTAAACCCAACATTAGACTTTTTATTAGTTAGTAACAGAACTCCAGATATCATTATTATTCACTGTGGGGGGAACAACATTGGACAACAGCATAACACTTTAAGAGGTATACAAATGATGATAAAGGCTAATTTAGCAAAAGTAAAAGAACGATTACCAAATTGCATTATTATTTGGTCTCATATCTTGCAACGTAGAAACTGGTCAAATGTTGTAGCTAACACTGAAGGAGAAAAATGTAGGCGGAGAATCAATAGTTCAGTAGCATCTTTTGTATTAAATAAATTAAATGGAGCAGCTATTAAGTACCCAGATATAACTGCAAATCAAAGAAATTTATTCCGCTCAGATGGTGTTCACATGACAGATTTAGGCAATGATTTGTTTATTAATACTGTAAAGGGTGCATTGAAACAATTTTTATCTTGTAAATTTCAAAACAGGACCTTTCCTTGAAATGGTTGTGCTTGTCATGGTTAGGTGTATATCGATATATGTGTTGTCATATAATTTGATTGAATTATTTTCAATTTGATCATGAGCGCATCTGTCGCAATTTTTATTATTTTGAATTTTATCATGAGCGCATCTGACGCAATTTTATCATGAGCGCATCTGACGCAATTTTACCATGAGCGCATCTGACGCAATTTTATATTAAATTTTGAATGTTGGTGAATTTCACCTCTTTGTGCGCATTTTGTGCTAATACTTTGATTGTTTTGAATATTTCAATCTGTTGAAGGGGCAAAATTGCCGCCTTGTTTTATGGCGGATGGTACATTCGACTTTGTCTTATGTACCATTTGGCATAATTTTGCATAGAAAACTGTCTCCGGGGGGTACTGTTGTCTCGAGGCTCCTTGGATCCAGGTGGTATTTCTATTGCTGTCTCATCTATATTTATGCTGCCATATAATTGTAATCGGCGCATATATTTGTGAATTACATGTTAAATTGTACATATAATAAAAGGTCATGACAAGCACGCCAAACACAATTAAATGTTGTTTTTATTTTTAATGTGGTTGAGGCCAGGTTTATAGGATGGTGTTTTATAAAAAAAAGTTTAAGGTAAAAAGGGGGGATTTATAGTCACTAAATAATAGGGTTTATCTCATAAGGATAAACCAGGTTATTTAGTGCAGTAATTACTGGTGCATAATTTTATTGGGCAAAGGGCAGTAACTCTTATAAGTAAATCAATGGTGGTTTCCCTGTGGTGTACCCCTTTTTCTATGACGTGATCATGCGCAAACTTGTCTTTGATTTGGTGAGCATGCGCTTTCAACTCTTCCTTTTTCTTCATCAACCCTCAGAGCAGAACACACGAAATCCCTCCCACCCACCTCTAAAAAATAAAAATTTTAAGTTATAAATTCCGAGAATGGTGTCTTCTGTTTTTTCAATTTTTTTTTTTCAGCGTCATGACCAGGACTTGTTAACAAGGGATGTCAGTGCCAGCGCCGATTGGTAGCCATGTGACAAACTTTTCGTCTAATGGACAGTTTTTTGCGTCTAATGGACTTGGCATAATTTTGTATAGAATACCGTCTCCGGGGGGTACTGTTGTCTCCAGGCTCCTTGGATCCAGGTGGTATTTCTATTGCTGTCTCATCTATATTTATGCCGCCATATAATTGTAATCGGCGCATATATTTGTGAATTACATATTAAAATGTACATATAATAAAAGGTCATGACAAGCACGCCAAACACAATTAAATGTTGTTTTTATTTTTAATGTGGTTGAGGCCAGGTTTATAGGATGGTGTTTTATAAAAAAAGTTTAAGGTAAAAAGGGGGGATTTATAGTCACTAAATAATTATCGTTCGTTGAAAGAAAACTCCCGAGAGCAGTAAACGCACGTCACAATAGTCTGGTTTAAGTCACAAAATTGATACTGTGTTGAACAAAGGGGTTTATAGTAACTTTATGAATTTGAAAGTTTATGTTTATTTCAAAGGTTTAGCTTGATTCGGTATAATAAACAATTCATTGCATGAATGTTCGGGAAACATGAAGACTTATTCAGCCAAGAAATATCATATTCCCCTCGGGCGAAGCCCTCGGGGAATATGATATTTCTTGGCTGAATAAGTCTTCATATTTCCCTCACTATCATGCAATAAATGTATAATATGTTAGCTTGTGTGGAAAAACTGCACTTTAATAGCCCCGACGTCACGTAGAAAATAATTTTGCTAATAGTACAATTCTCAGTTAACAATGGACTTTCAGGCGTGGTATTCTCGACGTTTTAAATAATTACCTTCTGAAAATTACACAGCTTTCATTCACTGTTGAAATACGTGGGATAGAAATTCGGGCGAATATCAACGAGTGTAGCAAAATCCAATAACAAGGTCTCGTGCGGCAAAAAGGTGGTTTAAGTTGTCTCATCGTTATCAACAACAGTTTAAACTTATCTTCTCACATTTTTAAAAAAAAAGATTTTTACAAAAGGTCAGACAGATATATAGACTGACGAGTGGACATACAAGTGATTCCAAGTGTCATTCTGCTCCGTAAATCTGGAAATTTTTGCTGTAGATAAATTTTTAGCAAATTTGCGAGTTCATTGCATTCGCAAAAACATTTTTCTTAAAAATAAATCAATAATAAAAAAAATGTAAACAAAGTAGTGGCCATTCGCAAAATTTTGAAACGTAAAAATTAATCAACAGCATTTTGACCCAGATTCGCAAAATAAAATCGAAGTAAAAATTTCCAGATTTACGGTACACAGTAACATTATTTTTCAAACGGACTTCATTTTTTTCTCACGAAATAAGACTGATTTTTAGTACTTGCGCACAGCCATACATTTTAAAAAGGAGGTGTATTGACCCATTTGATGTAAGTAGTGCAGGTTTAGATAAAGCGTAAGAGTTGCAGCCTTGAACGAGGACCGTGATAAATCTTAACTCCTGTGTTTAACCATGGCGGAAACAAAAGACAGAAGAACGTGTGTAATAGCTGTGGACGGAAGCAACTATGCAACAGAAGCTGTCAAGTGTAAGTATTGAGTCCCACTGTTTAAGTATCGCGATTTGGTTCAGTTACCAGGGTCTGTTTTATGCGTTTTAAAAATATTAGGTTGATATCATGCAATTATTTCTTTCTTTGATTGTGGTTTTATTTTTTTAAATAAAAAGTCTAGTTAAAATTCTTATTTGATTTTCATTTTGTAATTTAAGACGACGTAGTTTGAAAAATTGCTTATTATGGTTCCATCATCATATGATGCTGACTGATATTATCAAGTAAGGTGTCATATTTCTGCCATTATCCGTTGTCCTTTCTCGCCTTGTAAAATCGGTTAAATAGTTATGATAATATTCTTTGACAGGGTTTAAGAAGAACGTGTACAGGCCCGGGGACTCTGTGTTACTAGTGACAGCAATAGACCACCGCAAACACATGCAATACGGATGTAAGTTTGAAATGTTTCTCTAATGGTTTACTTATGAGTTTGAGAAAATAAGAGAGATATTTTGCACTGTCTAATTATTTTTGCAATATTACGTTATAATCAGCTTGATTTTTGCAGTAGTAGTGTTCTGTGCTACATGTATAAATTATCTGCTCCAACCGAGCTTCCAACGATTCAGTTTTATAAATAAAAATAAAATATGTACATGTATTATGTTTCACGATTTAACAAAATTCATATAGTTGATGAAATTGAAATATTAATGTATAGTGCATATTTCACCAAAAGCTGTCACAATGACGCCAGGGAATCCGGACTCCATCACACACGCCTTCGCCGCAGAAGACAAGAAAGCTAACGAGTTGTTAGAAAAAATGAAGACCGTCACTGACGGGTTAGGGGTAAGTGGAGCCACTCTTCTGTTAACGTTTTTAGCATCAAGCCTTGAGTCCTGTCAACAGGTTGTTAGATAGGATGGTGACCGTCACTGACGGGTTACGGGTAAGTGGGTCCACTCGTCTGTAGCACCAAGTCCTAAGTCCTTACAACAAGTTACCCTATATACCTTTTTTCTTCTTGTGCATTAGTTTCTATATGTATTCTGGTTGTCTGTAGCCAAAGTGGAATTAATTTAAGGTAGATTGATTGATTGTAAATTGTTTAACGTCCCTATCGAGAATTTTTCACTCATATGGAAACACTGGTGGAGAGCTGCAAATTTTGTCCTATACTCGGCACTGAGGGCCATTGAGCAGAGAGGGATCATTTTCGTGCCAGCACCTACTGCGACACGGGACCTCGGTTTATACGGTCTCATCCGAAGGACCGGTCTCCACGTCCCACAGTGGGATTCGAACCCGCGACGCAAGGATCAACTCCTTACTTCGCGACTATAGAGCAGACGCTCTAACCACTGCGCCACGCGGGCAACAACTTAAGGTAAATGTCATTGTTTCAAAAGAAAAGTTTCCTATTTGAACCAATAGACGGTGATTCAATGTTACTTGAAAGGCAGACAGAAAGAAAACAACCCAATTAAAATAATAGTAGTCATATTTTATGTTAAGGATAGACTTTTTTGTATAAAGTCTTATTATTTAGGACAATTATCAATTTTAACATTCAAAACTGTGCAATATTTGTAGAAATAGAGTACAGTTTTAAAGTCTGATTATTGATCTTTAATATATTATTTGCATTGAATTTATAATGTTATTGTTTTCGAGCAAGCTTCAATGTTACCTATCCTCTTGTTTTGTAGATGGAGGCTGAATTTGTAAAAATGTCTGGAGAACCAGGGGAATGTATAGTTAAAAAAGCAAAGGATTCCGGAGCGGATCTTATTGTCACTGGATGTCGAGGGCTGGGAACTATTAGGAGAACAATCATGGGTAGTGTGAGTGACTACATCATCCATCACTCCGAAGTACCTGTATTTGTTGTACGTCACTAGAGACAGGACGATTTCGCTGGTCATTATATGATCAACACCGAAACCCAATAGTGCAATGGAGCATTGATTTCTTTATTTTACATTCTTTTGCAACTATCGATCTTTAATATAGATATTTTTTTAATTTTTCTTTTTTGAGAAATTAATTAACCTTTTAAAGTCAAAATCATTTGTAATTTAAGGTAAATTCTTTATCTTTAGATCTTACAACTTGTCCTTTCATGAGGTTTATAGAAACCTATATATAATTGTAAAGACAAAGTATACATAGCATGTTTCTTACTGATTTTCAAGCTGTTTTAAGAACAATAAGTGGTATTGGTGTTAGATTTGGTATTTTATATTGTTTCTGTAATTTTGGGGCCATGTATTGCATATATATTATTTTCGATGAGCTATAGATTTTGGAGAGAAGTACATGTACTCAACGTTCAGAGGTATAAATTTGATTCAAAATCTATTTGTGTTGTACATTTTATTGAAAAGTTTTTGAGTAGAATGTTCATTTTAATGTTAATGTTTATCCTTGCAAACCTATGGTTGAATTTCCTGTGGTTGTTTTCCTACCAATGTTGGTTAATTAACTGTGGATTGTATACAATATAATGTGGTTATATTATATCATATGTAATAAGTGTTTCTCATCGTTCATTTGTCTAGCTAGTGAAGAATCTACAAACAACACAAATCTTTGAAAAGAGCAATGTAAAGGGGAGCTGCCCTAACATCGGCACTGCTTAATTAATAACGGTTGTTTATTTACATATTTACAACATACAAAATATAGTAATAAACAAAGTTTACATATGAAAATACATGTACCATTCTCAATGACTTCTAATGAAGGGATCAGCATATTTCTCTCCGTTACATAGGAGCGCGATGTGTCCTTGTCTTTGGTAATTGTAGCAAATAGTCTCCCGTTTGTTGTTCGTAAATTTCGACCGCAGTTCTTTTGATTTCTTCCCTTATAGCTTCTTGGCTGTTCTCGTCTTCTGTAAGAATTGCAGCCCTTCTTAAAGTTTCCTCCAGATGATGCAATACGACTAAGTTGCTTTGCCATCAAGAACATTTGGGTAGCAAGCTTAAGTGTCTGTACAGTCTCGTATAGTCTAGTGGTTCTCTGTTCGACAACATTTACTTTACGTATCCATCTTTCAACATTAGACTGCTATTCATTTTTCCCTATAAGGATGCCTTGACGCATCTTCAAATGATTTTGGGTTTGGTAACATGACAAATCTGATTTCAGGTTCCACTCTTGGTAGTCTTTGGTCAGTTTGCCTTTCTGTTTTTAGATGCTAGTACATAGATTGTACCTCTCTTGGAAAGTACCGTAGTATCTTTTTCGGAAGCCTTGCATATCAGGTGATAGTCTTCTTTCACATCTTTTGGATGGCACAGTGAATGTGCTAGAGTCGCAGAGTACGGAAGTAATCCTAATATAGCAAATTTAAATTCCACTGTGGGACGTGGAGGCCGTTCCTTCGGATGAGACCATATCAACCGAGGTCACGTGTCGCAGAAGGTGCTGGCACAAAAAGATCCCCTCACTGCTCAAAACCCTCAGTGTAGAATACAGGTCTAATTTTTGCTCTCCGTCGGCAAATGATGGTGACTCAATATGAGTGTATATTCTCAAACAGACGTTAAAATAGGATTAAACAATTTGTCTAGTTAAATATTCAAAAGTTCAAAAGTCCATTAAACATTACAAAATAGGAGTGGAGCAAGAACTAGCTGAAATAATGTAGCCCTCTCCTTTGTTTTGGGAGAGGGGTACAGCTCCTTAGGATTCTGTAATTGACCGTGGTTTGCGACGATGGCCATAATCAGAACTTCAATTAATCCGCCATGTTTACTAACCTTGATTGATTTTATTTTGAGACAGCCAATGAGACCAGGGATCTATAAGGAGCGGATCTCTGTAGTAATTACCTTATTTTAGGCATAAATATCACTGTTTACGAAAAGAAATGTTACATGGAATAGTTTAATTTATCTATGTTTAGTGATGCCATACAGCACCCCCGAAAATCTACTTTACAAAGTATTTAATATGTTCAAGCGCTAGTCTCAGTGCATCACGCGAGAACTGTCATGGCTTCTGATTAGAGAGCGATTGGTAAACAAGCAGATTTATTTTATCTGGTTTCATTGATAGTTGCAATAGTAGCAATAATTGAAGTAGCCAGTGAGATGTTGGGAAAACACCAAATCCAAAACGGTCATGGATCACCATCAACGACAGAAGACGGTTTCAAGCTAATAGGAGAAAGGCAATCCAGATGGAGCCGAGACGCACAGAAAGACAGAGAAAGTAAGGAAGGAGATGGAAAAAAGGCAACAGAGAAATGGATTGAACAACTATGATAGGAAATTGAATAAAATATTAAAAGGAACATCGATCACCAAAAGGTTACATATCGAATGATAAAAGACCTCACCACGGAGAAACAGGTAACAGAAAGATATGGTCACGATAACGAACAGTATTCAATCTCAAAGTCCATAAAACTATACAAAATAGGAGCAGAGCAAACACGGACCTCCGAAACATCAGAGGTGGGATCAGGTGCCATGGAGGAGTGAGCATCCCCTGCTGACCGCTCACACCCGCCGTGTGCTCCTTGTCATGATCGGGAAATAACGGAAAAAATCCGTCGTCAATTCAGTGTATAAATAATGGACTAACAATTAGTATGAAAAACGTCAGTCAGCATTTGACTCAATGATAAATTGTATTTGCTGACAAGGTCATTGTATCCACCACAGAAATTACGAAATGATGACTTTAAAGGAAACTGTTGATATTCTTGTTTCATCAACTTGCTTGAGGATAATTTACCTCGTTTTAGAAATTGTTTAGAACATGCTCTTACGTATCGAATCAAGATACTGTAAACCAACTTTTATTCGCGTGCGAGAAATTTTCGCGAAATTCACGAGAGCCTCGTAATCACGAATATTTCTCGCCGCAAACTTGTCCTTAAAGTCTTTGTGTCTATTAACTACATATAAAAAAAAACCATTTTTTATTCGCGAAAATTAATCATGGCGAAATAGTTTACTCCTGGTGAATCGCGAAATAAAGTCGTCGCGAATTAAAGTTGGTTTAGAGTATATAGACTCCGTATGCAGGTAATGAAGGTATCTTGCTGCATAAGTAAGGGAAGTTGACGTTAGAAAAGTTAAAGTCATCATATAGCTTGGTTGTTAGATTACCATTAACGTCTTTTTCCAAGTAAAATATCCAAGTATGAAACAGATGTGTCAGACTGCGGTATTTTTAATCTCAAGCTCACCAGGATATATCGCATCGACGTAGGAAATTACTATTGATATACCCCGGTATCCAGCAAGCATTCAAAACAAGTCAGGAACATCCCCTACTGAATAAAAACTCAAGGATATAAAAGCATCCTATATGCATCCTCACAATGTCAAGGGTTTCTGATTTTGGAACTTCCAAGTTCCGAAATCACAAACCCTTGACATTGTGAGGATGCAATATATGGAGCACTGGACTATGGCCAACACCCTGGACAGAATCACTGATCATCAACTTATCAAGGAAAGACAACCTATTGCTATGTAATAGCTATAGTACCTTCAGTGAAATTAGCCAACCGAGAAAGGTGATGCTATATAAAGATTATATGGAAAGGACTAAATTCTGTTGCAGAAACCACCATTGCTAAAGAATAGGCAGGCTTCAAAATAGAGAGAATTATCACTAAGCAGATGTTTAATCTAAGAATAATCTACAAAAGTACCTGTAGTACCAACAAGACCCCTAAACCACGTGTTCATTGATTTAAAAAAACCTTTGACAGATATTCTTCTACTAATTTACAAAAAAATGACAGTTGTTAGTTAACTAGATTTACTGTTGATCACTAAATTTTCGCAACATTTATTTTCGCGTGATAGGCATTGAATCTTTATAAACGAGACAAAATTTTCACGAATTGTGGTTAATGCTCTATACAATCCTAAGGAATACTATTATGCGCAAGAATTAATTGTTCGCGAGTACACTGTCTCACGTTATTACGCGAAAAAAAAGTTCCAGCGAAAAAAGTGATTTACGATACTTTAAAGATCAAAGAATCGTCGTAGATAAATCACATTTGTCATGAAAGTTTTTTGCCTCCCGCTGACAGTAGTGGTATTAATTTTGGACTGTCTGTACGTCCGTCTAGCTGTATTTCTGTCTGTCTCAAACACTTTCGTCTCTACGCACTATCTCGAGAAGCCTTTCAGCTCTTGCAATGAAATTTTACATGACAACTCCCTATGACATGACGAAGACGCATATTGATTTTAAGATCCATCCAGCTGTATTTCTGTCCCTCTGTAACACTTTCGTTTCCAAGCGATATATCTAGAAGCCCTTCACCTTTGCAGTCCCTGTTGTCGAAAGAAGATTCAAAGGTTAAGTAAAGGTTTAAGTAGACATAATACGTTTTGTGTAAATTTTGACAATGTAGAACATGATGTTAACATGTTTGTTGATAGTTCCCCGACTACAAATTAATGGTTGTGGCCTTTGACATGTTCACCTCAAATTCAATAGGATCTTCCCTAGGTTATAGGGAGTTATTGTGTGAAGGATATGGAGATAACGAACACTGTCGTATTCAATCTCAAAGGTCCATAAAACAATACAAAATAAGAGCAGAGCAAACACGGACCCCCGAAACATCAGAGGTGGGATCAGGTGCCATGGAGGAGTAAGCATCCCCTGCTAACCGCTCACATCCGCCGTGTGCTATTTGTCATGATCAGGAAACAACGGAAAAATCCGTCGTCAATTCAGTGTATAAATAATGGACTAACAATTAGTATGAAAAACGTCAGACAGCATTTGACTCAATGATAAATTGTATTTGCTGACAAGGTTATTGTATCCACCACAGAAATTACGAAATGATGACTTTAAAGGAAACTGTTGATATTCTTGTTTCATCAACTTGCTTGTCGATAATTTACCTCGTTTTAGAAATTGTTCATACGTAGAGCAAGCTCTTGCGTATCGAATCAACTGAGATATATACACTCCGTATGCAGGTGACGAAGGCATATTGCTGCATAAGTAAGGGAAGTTGACGATAGAAAAGTTAAAGTTATCACGTTTATCATATAGCTTGGTTGTTAGATTACCATTAATGTCTTTTTCGAGTAAAATATCCAAGTATGAAACAGATGTGTCAGACTCTGTGGTATGTTTTATATCAAGCTCACCAGGATATATCGTATCGACGTAGGAATGGAAATCACCATTGTTAATTGACAATACGTCGTCGATATATCTAAATGTCGAGTTGAAGACCACAGCAAGTGTTTTCTTCTTTTCACGCATAAAATTTTGCACAAATTCTGCTTCATATGAATATAAGTAAAATTTCACAAAAAAACGCTTAAAGGCTTTTCGATATATAGAAACGAGTATTACAGACAGAATTAGAGACAGGCGCACGGACGGACTGAAATTAATACACCCAACATTCAGCGGGGGACAATTAATGACAGTAATGCCCCTATCCCCCCTCCCCATTCTAACTGCTCGATTTACATCTGCTGGAAATCACGTGATTTATTAAAGTGAGTAAACGTATTTGCACAGCATTTCTTCAAAACTCGACACGTGAATGACTTACAAAGTTTGATTTGCTTCCTTGTGGATCATTTAAAACAGACAAGAAAAGGTACTCAGAATCTTTGCATAGAGTAGGCTTACTAATTTATTTATTTACTGAATTATAGGGATTTTTTATCATGGATATATTATAATTATATATACATTGTATATAAATCAAAATCAATGTCTTTTCAAAAGGAAATCACAGGCACATGTATCTGTGTTTAACATATTTCTAATATTTACATACATAAATAAATCTCAGTAATTTTCAGTAGTATTGAGTTTGTTTAATGAGTTATTTATGCTCTTAAACAACCTAATACTGTACCCATTTTTTCACTCCTCTTTCTTTTTCGTTTTCATTACGTAAAGCAAGGAAGTTAAGGATGTAAAATGCAACAGTTAAGAACATGTTGATCATGTATTTGATAGAGACTGAAAGAAAGCGAACGCATATTTATCTTTACTGAATAGATTACCTAAACATCATGCAGTTTCTTGACTCAATGAAGTTAATATACGCTATCTAGAGAACAAAATTTGTAGGTTACATTTTAAAAAGTTTTCCCCATCTCTGTAGTTTAAGAATAACATATTTGAAAAATTGCAACATTGTACGAAAAGTCGACAACTGTGATGTTATATAAATACTGCCAAGTAGTCATTGCCGTAAAAACCGGATATATAAAACATTGTATAAAACATAGCATGTCAAAGAATGTTTGTTTGTTGATAGTGCCCCGATTGAAAATTAATGGTTGTGGCCCCATCCAGCCAACCCCACTGAAATTGAATTCTACAACCCTCTACTTGAGGGTAATTGGAATTTTCACTCCATTGAAATTATTGTCAAACGAGGTGCAGCAATGTTGACTGTTGCTAGGTTTTATCGCATTTGCGATCGTAATTTTTTTAACTCATAGGATATCATTGTTTTTTAACAATTGTTTCGAGATCATTCAAAAGTGTAATAGCGAGTGAGGAACAACGCATTGTGTCACCAACACAACACATGTCCTCACGCTAACGCAACTTATCACAATACGCCGTCACGCTATCAAACAACACGCCGTTGCTAACATATCTTAACACAATTCTTGCTAGTCTGTGCAGCGGTGTGTTGTTACTATTGGCGCGATGGCATGTTGTGTAAAATAAAAGCGATTCTGGGGGAGGGGATACTTCATGTAAATCGAAGTTGGATACCTTGTGTTATTATTCTACTATATGGGCCACAAAATATTACCAAAAACAAGAGACCCATGGGCCACATTGCTTACCCGAGAAGCTTTGACCATGCTGTTCTTTTACTTGTAATACCTTGTATTATCTATTGTGGCCCCGCCCTATCCCCAGGGGTCATGATTTGAACAATTTAGAATCTACACAACCCCAGGATGCTTTCACATACGTTTCAGCTTTTCTGGCCCTGTGGTTCTTGAGAAGAAAATTTTCCAAAAAATTTTTAATATATTTCAATGTAAAATTTGGATTTCCTTTGTGGCCCCGCCCTAGCCCCGGTTGTCATTATTTGAACAATTTAGAATTCACACTACTCCAGCATGCTTTAAGATATTAGTTTCAGCTTTTCTGGCCAAGCGGTTCTTGAGAAGAAGATTTTTTTTAAAAATCCTATATATTCCAATGTAAAAGTAGGATTCCAAATTGTGACCCCTCTCACCCCTGGGGATCATGATTTTGACAATTTAGAATCTACACTACCTCAGGATGATTCCACATAAGTTTCAGATTTTCTGGTCCAGTGGTTCTTGAGAAGAGTTTTAAAGATTTTTCCTATATATTATATTTCAATTTAAAACTCGGATTCCATATTGTGGCCCCGCCATATCACTGGGGGTCACGATTTTAATAACTGAGAATCTACACTACCCCGGGATGCTTCCACGTAAGTTTCAGCTTTTCTGGCCCATTGGTTCTTAAGAAGAATACTTTTTATGACCCCACCCTATTTTTTGTATTTTCGTGATGATCTCCCCTTGTGATCGGACTTTGCCCTTCGTTTTAACAATTTCAACTTCCCTTCCCCCAAGGATGCTTTGTACCAAGTTTGGTTAAATTGGCCCATTGGTTATTGACAAGAAGTCGAAAATGTGAAAAGTTTACAGACGGACAGACAGACGGACAGCTATACGGACGACGAGCAAAATGTGATCAGAAAAGCTCAAGTGAGCTAACAAGTTCCCGTGATACAAGTACCGATATATAGCATGCTCTTTATATAATTATCTCTTCCTGTTTCTTAACCACTGTTCCCACGAGTAATTTACAAAAAAAAAAACACGTATCAACTAGTATAAATTGCTGATTATAAAACTCATTTTAAAAATGTTAACCAATAATTATTTTTTTTCTGTAACTTGATACAGGGATGGCCTTCACAACATGTTTGTTCGTATTATGGATTTGTACGATCACAGGTGCCAAAGGTATGTGTAAATTTTATATATTACAAAGAGAACAATGTTAAGTACTTTTTTTAACTATTTTTATCATACCAGATACGATTCGGATGTTGTAAGAGGCTACCATTACTGATCATTTAAATTTACTCAATTTTTAAATACCACATTTCTGTCATTTTGAATCATTTCTGTCAAATAGTTCTTCTAACTGTTCTCTTTATAAGCAGTTTACATTCAACATTCAAGGAACAACATCCGCGACTTCTTTAAAACAATGAATAGCATCATAGAATGTATTTAACTCATTGGACAAAGAACTCTTTACCATGGTAGTTACTATTGAAACTTTACTCAATAAGTTATGTAATATGTAAAATCAAAATATCAGTTTGTAAGTTGCTGAACTCCATATTTTATCAACAGGAATTTATTTCATAAATATTGACTGTGAACAATATTTAAAAATTAACAACTTTTTTCATGTGAAATAGTTATCAGATTGATTGATTGATTGATTGATTATACGGTGTTTTACGTCCCATTCGAGAATTTTTTACTCATGTCACCATAAACCGATGAAGGACCTTTTAATACATGGCAATCAGGACCAATGAGGGATATTTATTATATACCTATGTGTATCACCCTATTTTACTATTGAATTTACGCTATCACGTGACGTCGTGATCCGATTTTCCGGATCACCAACATGTTGTTTTCTGAATCCATATCACCACTCTCTGAAACTGATGACGTAGTACGCAGAAACATGACGTTGTTTTTCTTGCGCGTTAAAAAGTCCCTTGTTATTATGCTTTGTTTTATGATTAAATATTATACAATTGATCTCTTAAGTTTTATTTAGCTATATTTTGCTAGTTGTGAGGGGGTATATAATAAATTTATCATTATAACAGTAACTTGATCCGAAGAGCCGTATCACGTCTCGTTGACAGGCGCGGATCATCAGATCAAACTCGACGCTTCGCGTCTCGTTTGATCTGATGATCCGCGCCTGTCAACTCGACGTGATACGACCCTTCGGATCAAGTTACTGTTATAATAATATATATTTATCGTGCCAACGCCTGTCACGACACGGGACCTCGGTTTTTAATGTCTCGTCCTAAGAACCCGCAACTTTCAATTCAAAGTGTCGAACGCATGGCAAATGAACAGTTGCTACTCATTTTTGTTGACTTAAGTCAGTCGCGGCTGTTATTAGTCACGAAGCTTTCTACCAACTGTACATACGGTGCATAACATGAAACGATGAAATTACAGAGGTGGAATCAAATGACAAGGAGGGTAACAATCCCCTATCACTCGCACTTGCCGTGACCCCTGTGTTTTCAATTTATCGATATCAGGTAGATAGAATACTAGTATTCCATATCCAATTTTGTGTTTGAAAATAATAATATGTATGTATATGTATGCATATGTACCCGATAATAAAAGGCCTCATAATTGGTATGTAAAACATCAAGCAAAATATGACTCAGTGATCGTGTCTTTCATCATTACGACCGTAGAATCAACGAGTGATAAAAGACACTGCAAAATCAGTCGCATCTGTTTCTAATTTCGATCTTTTATTGACTATAAATGATAGCATCCAAGTAAACTAACTATTGCTCTTTTGTAGGGATCAATATATTTTGGTGAAAAACAATTGATTAATATACGTCTTTTAAATATATGTCTGATTGTCTTTAGAATTCCAAATTGGGGGAACGATTAAACTTCCATGCAATGTTCCATCTACTTTTACTGAGGTAAAAAGAATGCTTATGTTAATGCAAACTTGATTCAAAAAAGCATTTACAAGGTCCTGATGCTAATTTCAATAATTTCTTATATATAATAGTTTTCATGGACAAAGTTTGCGACAGTCTTGGCAAAATATACTGTGAGCGGTTCATCATTTGTCAGCAACGATGGTAGAGTAGATGTCATAACTCCTGAGAAAGCCGGAAAACTGGGAGAATTGACTATCAAAGACATCACAAGGCACGACTCGGGAAATTATACCTGTACCGCTCTAGTTCGTAATGGACCGCTAAAAGAAACTTCTTTCACAGTCACTGTCGTCGGTAATGTACTTTGAATTTATAGATTTACTAATGATCCAAATACAAAATCACATTTTTCTTCCAGGAAAAAAAAATAATCACGTCCTGTAAAGTTGTGAGTTGAGAAATTATTTTTATATATTTTCTGGTTTTTCAGAGTTAACAAGTACAAAATCAAGCACTTCTGGGATGACCACTTCAGTGAAAGAAATAGGTAATTAGCAACACCTATTTACTTACTTATCGGTGTTTCGATTACATTCAACCGCTGGAAAATGTGACTGATTCTTTAAGTACAACTAGGCCGATTTGGACCGATGTTGGGGCTTCGCTCACACCACGGATTACCACCGGTCTTCCAGAAAAAAAAAATAATCACGTCCTGTAAAGTTGTGAGTTGAGAAATTATTTTTATATATTTTCTGGTTTTTCAGAGTTAACAAGTACAAAATCAAGCACTTCTGGGATGACCACTTCAGTGAAAGAAATAGGTAATTAGCAACACCTATTTACTTACTTATCGGTGTTTCATTACATTCAACCGTGGAAAATGTGAGTTCTTTAACATCCAGCAATGTTGGGGCTTCGCTCACACCACGGGTTACCACCGGTCTATGGCCGGGAAATGTGACTAAGGCATTAGTATTAGTAACATTATCCAGCAATGGGGTATACGATGAGAAACCGATGCGTTTTTTTTCATATTAAAATGGCGTGGTTGCCGGCCGGACACCTATAGTAATCGGACGGTGACTGAGGTTATTTGCCGAATCGGTTTGGGGTGGGGGGTGGGGGGGGGGACGGTAGAAAATAAATTGTAGTTAAAAATCAGCGATGTCTCCACCGATGCCCCACATAGCTCCTCATCGGCAAACCACCATTAACACGTCTTTCCAGGATCGGCCGATGTCTGGCCGAGCATCGTCAAGTGTCCATTGAATCTGAGGTCATCGGGGGTGGGGGTTGAGCGGCGGGAATCGGCCGATCATCGGTCGATATTTGACCAAACATTGTCCAATAGTCGACCGATGTATGACCTATGCACAAACGATGTACGAACGATGTTCACCAATGTATAAGCGATGTAATACACAATAGCCAATTACTCTAGAGCATCGTTTTAGGATTAACGATGCATCGGTGGGTCTTTGTAAGTCTGGCCTGCAACCACGCCATTTTTATTAAAAAACGCATTGGTTGTTCATCGTATCCATCGCTGGATAATATGACTGAAACTTTATGCCTTAGTCACATTTCCCGATAGGTGGATGGTCGTAGACCGGTGGTAATCCGTGGTGTGAGCGATGCCCCAACATCAGTCCACATCGGCCTAGTAGTCCTTAAAGTATCAGTCATATTATCCAGCGATGGGATATACGATGGGCAACCAATGCGTTTTTGATACAAATGGCGTGTTTGCCGGTCGGACTTACAAAGGTCCAGCGATGCATTGCTAATCATAAAACATGTTCCAGGGTAATCGGCCGATGTATATTACATCGCTCATACAGTGAACATAATTCGTATGTAGGTCGACGTAGGTCGAACATTGACCAATGATCGACCGATGTCTGTTGCCCACCACTCAACCCCCTGATGACCTCAGATTCATCGGACAATTGACGATGCTCGGCAACAAGTCGGCCAATCCTTGAAAGATGTTTAATGATGGGTTGCCGATGAGAAGCGATTTGCGGCATCGGTAGAGACATGCTGATTTTTAACTACAGCTTATTTTCTACCGATGACCCCCACCGATTCGGCAAATGGCCTCAGTCACCGTCTGATTACTATAGGTGTCCGGCTGGCAACCACGACATTTTTGTCAAAAACGCATCAGTTTCTCACCGTACATGTATACCCAATCGCTGGATAATGTGACTGATACTTTTTGGACTTTTTGGCGGATGTGCACCGAAATTTAGGCATCGCTAACACTATTAAATAAGTACCAGTCACATTCTCCAGCGATGGGGTATACGATGAGAAACCAATGCATGACTAAACATTTGCCCTTAGTCGACATACGTACAAACGATGTTCAGCAATGTATGGCCAATCACCCTGGAACATCGTTTTATGATTAGCAATGCATCGATAGGCCTTTGTAAGTCTGGCCGACAACCACGCCATTTTTATCAAAAAACGCACTGGCTGCCCATCGTATACTCCATCACTGGAAAATGTGACTGATACTGTAAGGACTATTTGGCCGATGTGGACCGATGCTGGGGCATCGCTCACACCACGGATTACCACCGATTACCACCGGTCTACGGCCACTGGCCGGAAATGTGACTGAGGCATTTAACTTAATTCTCTCCGTGTCAGGAGGCACAAAAGTTCTGAACATCTCTCTGGGACCGGTGTGAAGCTGCATGGCGCGCCATATTCCAAAAGTAACAGCCTGCATTATTTCGCTCCACCATCCACTGCCATATTTTCTTGGGGCGGCCTTGATTCTTCCTCTCCTAAGGTGTCACCCCCGAGGCCCACTACAGAGTCATCTGTTAGATAGTTTCTCAGCAGATGATCGATCCAATTCGATCTCCTCCTCCTCACCTCGTCACGAATGCTTTCTGTTCATGCCATCTCCAGAACTGTCTTGCCTTGAATATGCTGCTATTCTCCTCTTCTTGATATCAGCATTATGCAGTTTAACAACCCTGCTGTACTTGACATACTGGTCCGAGGCCAGTGCCATCTTCCCAGCTCCTGTCCATCTCCACTCAATGATTTTGAAAATATCTTGTTGGTATCCTTTCATTTCTGTAGATACCCCTCCTCTGAATATTGTACGCACATCCCAGTGTCCGATGGTTAATGTTTGTTTAGATTTCACAAAGGATCTAGTCGGACGCTATGCTTCCCCAAGGTTTTCGCCCCTCGTCGTCATACCGCTTCACCCGGTCTTCTGTTCTCTTTGATGCCCTTTGTTTCTGTAGCTGTCGTTTTTAGGGAGGAGGCTGTCGGCCATCTTTGTAATCCCCAAGCTTGGAGGACCAGTGGTTTTCTGTCAGGGTGCTGTTTCCTTATTCTGCGTTGGTCCACGGCACCTTCTTCAGTTTTTCTGGTGCATCCCTCACTAAGTGAGGGCTCCCCTATCTGCCACCAGGGGGAATCCCTCCTAGCCGCTCAGCTCCAGCCGAAAATAATATATAGTGCGTTATAGATATTCTCCCTTGCGTTGTCCTCTGGTTTAATGATGCTACACAGATAAATAAAGTTGTCCGTCTGTCGTACTAGTTCAACATTGACGTTAACAGGAGCAGGCAATTCCACATTAATTGTCGTTGTCTCAATCTTCTTCCTACTGATACATAGCCTCACCTGCTGTCTGTAGGTTTGCAGCCTGATGGTCTTCTCTGGAATATGGTGGTGTGTGTGAGACATTATTATTATTATTATTAGCGCAATGTAAAATCCACCTGTGACGTAATTCTTTTGTGCAAGCGCTCTGGACATTCTTTTTCAGGAATGGAGAGTTGCAAATATTATATTGCAAATGGAATTTGTTCTGATCGTATAATCCTTCCCGTGCCTCTATAAAGGAAAGAACTTAGAAAATTTATCAAGTTCATTTTCACATAAAGAAAATTATTGTGGCCATGGCGAGCAGTGAACCTGGTACCCTGCCCATTAGAGTCGGGCACTCGTTTGACTGAGCTGTCGAAGCTGTTGAAGCGCTGGGCCCAAGAATCACTACAATACATTTTTCTCGCCTTACTTTTTATAGTATATATAAATTGAATAGTAACAAGCAAATTCAAAGAATTGTGGTCCCCCGCTTTCGGTGTCTTTGTGGGTGAGATGTTATTTTTATGACATATTGTGTATAATACAACATCTATCATATTTCATTTATTTAGAAAGTAACACTGAAGTTGATTTTTTTGAAGGATGAAAACCCTGACCGTTAAAAAGTTATAGCCAAAGTAAAAAAGTTTTTTAAAATTAGGTCAAGATCAAAGGGTCAAAGTTGTTGATATCCAATGAAAAGTTTTCTCACAAGGATTACATATGTGAAGTATGAAAGCCCTAGCCCTTACTGTTCAAAATTTATGGTCAAAGTTTTTTTTAAAGTTTTTTCATAAGTACATAAATCTTTAAGGTCAAGGTCAAAAGGTTAAAGTTGTTGATATCCAATGAAAGGACTTGCCACAAAGAATACATATGTAAAATATAAAAGTCCTAGTGTCTACCGTTCAAAAGTTGTGACCAAAGTTAAATTATTTTTAAAAAGTAGTTAAAACTCCAATGTCAAGGTCAAAGGGTAAAAGTTATTGGTATCCAATGAAAGGTCTTCTCAAAAGGATCACATATGTGAAGTACAAAAGCCCTAGTCCTCACCGTTCAAAAGTTATGGTCAAGGTCAAAGTTTTTTCATAAGTAAATAAATCTCCAAGGTCAAGGTCAAAAGGTCAAGGTTGTTGGTATCCAATGAAATGTCTTGCCACAAGGAATACATATGTGAAATATAAAAGTCCTAGTATCTACTGTTTAAAAGTTGTAACCAAGGTTAAAGTTTTTAAAATGTAATTAAAACTCCAAGGTCAAGGTCAAAGGGCAAAAGTTATTGGTATCCAATGAAATGTCTTCTCACAAGGATTACATATGTGAAGTACGAAAGCCTTCGTCCTCACCGTTCAAAAGTTATGGTCAAGGTTAAAGTTTTTTCATAAGTACCTAAATCTCCAAGGTCAAGGTCAAAAGGTCAAGGTTGTTGTTATCCAATGAAAGGTTTTGCCACAAACAATACATATGTGAAATATGAAAGTCCTAGTACCTACTATTAAAATTTGGAATTTTTGTGTAAAAGTGGGTCAAACTCCAAGGTCAAGGTCAAAAGGTCAAATTTGGTGGTACCCAAAGAAAGGTCTTGTCACAAAGAATACACATGTGAAATATGAAAGTCAAAGCTCCACTAAATCAAAAGTTATGGGCAAGGTTAAAGTTTTTGTGACGGACAGACTGACGGACAGACAGACAGACGAATGAGATTTAATGTCCCCTCGCTTTCGCGAAAGCGGGGACAATAAAATGTAGTGATTACTTACAATGTATCATATAAATATTCTTTATTTTATATTAACAAACATTAAAAACAAGCATTCAGAAAGGCGGATTTTACGCGGGTTAATATACTCGTAGCGCTCCATTCCTTAAAAGTAATGGGCTTCGACCATTCGGGGCCTCGGCTCCATTACTTTAAAGGATTGAAGGGCTACTCGTACATGAATCCTTACGTCATTTGCAAGGCCCAGATCCTCCAATGTTTAGAACAGGCCCTATCAGATCCCCCTTTGAAAGTCTTCTTTAGGATCTTGATTGCATCCATTGTATCTCATCCTTGGTGGATGGGTCAGTATCGACGTCCAAATCCTCTGTGACTTCTTGCATCACAACTGTTTAATCAGTTGATGGTCGATTGAGTAGTTCGCAGAAGTGTTCACCCAATCTCTCTTCTTGTTTTTTTTCTGTTGTCAGTAGTGTTTTGTGTTTGTCCTTGATAGGTCTTTCTGTATTTCTGTATTTTCTCTAAATTTTCCATACACTCTTTTGTGATCTTGTACGATCTACCTTGCACTCCACATACCGCTGCCTCCTCTGCCTCAGCTGCCAGTTATACCATTTCCCTCTTGTCATGGCGTGAAAGCTTCTTGGCTCTCTTGTGAGCCTCACTGTACATCTCGTCTTGCCGTTTATATATATATATATATTATAGCAGGTTAAATTCGCGGTCGTAAAAGATCGCGATTTGTTCAATTTTCAGAAAATCGCGGTCGTTTGAATTCGCGGAAAGGAAAAATAATACTTTTTTAACAGTACGTGCAAGCATTTTTCTTTAGGTATATATTGTGTAGACTGATATTTCATGTCTCTATCTTACGAAAGTCTGTATATGTATATCGCGCAGCACAGACAGGCAAGGCATATTGTGTCGATTTTGAGCCCGATTGAATCATAACGAAACACCCCACTGACCCCCATTTGAAGTCAAAACAATGTTAACGCAGATTTAATTTTTATTTCCGAGTCCAAATCATTAAAAAATGAACCGTATCGAAATGTTGAACTTCTAATCACATAATTTACTACGTAAGTACCTTGATTTAAGGAATGACTAAGTGATACACACGGGAAACATTGATGTAACCATCAATTGTCGCCCGGGAAATATATAAAGTAAACAATGAAAATGAGTCTTGATCACCAAACCGCTTCGATATGTGTAAAAAGGCATGCGTCTAACTGATGGAGACGATAGTCGCAAATATTTTTAAAAACTTGCAGTCAGAAAAAAAATCAATCAAAAACGATACCATTTTAAACTTGATCAATTCCTCAAGTAAATGTTGGCTGCATAAAAAATAAATTGTTGTTAGACACAAGCATCATTTATATTTAAAAATGTACTAATTTTCAATTTTAGAATATAAAACACGAACTGTGCAGAGTACGTTTTTATCCGAGAAGTAAAATTCGATGTTCTAAAAAAAGGGACCTGTGTTGTTTCGATAGTAAATGATAAGTAACAATATACATTAAATATAAAAAAACATATATATTTTTACAGATTCACTTTATGGAAGTAAATATATTATGTATCTCGTAATTTATAAACTGAAAGAACATTCTGATTAACAATCTTTTCAAAGTTTAGAAAACCTTTAATTCTACATAACTACTCCCACCCCAATCCCCATACACCAACACTTAAACTTATATGTATAGAGCAGCCCGGTCCTCCGGGCTGCAATTTCATCGCACATCTACTAGATGGCAAAATTAATCGTTAGCTATAGAAATTGATTTAACAATTAATAAGCTTTAAAAACAAAAAGTATTATTCACTGTATTTTGAAATCGCGGAGTTTCTTTTTCCGCGAATATAGCGAATATTAACTCCGCTAGTTAATTTCCTGCAGTAGAGTATGCAGCCATTGAGACTTGATCTGCTGCATCTTTTTTCTTTCTCTCGTCAAAAGCAACCAGAGTCTACTGCTGGATCCAGTCTTTGTTGGTGATTCTCTTGCGAAGACGTAGTTTCTTTTGCTGCTTTCAGCAGTGTACAATTTGACAACTTCCTTCCTTGTGTTGTCCACTTTGATCTCCTCACCTTCATTCGGTTGATTATCATTCGATGTGTCTTGCAAAATTTGGAATCCGTGTCTTACATCGCTGATGAAGGTAGCTTTTACGGTGTTGTCCCTTAGTCTCTGAATGTAAAATCGCATGTTTGGCTTCTTTCCTCAGCTTTTTTCAGTTTTATCTTAATGAGTACTATAAACAGATTATGATTGCTGCCTACGTCTGCACTCCGTTTGACCCTAATATTTAATAGACAGCATCTTCACATGCCATTAGTCATTAGATGGCCAATCTGGTTCTTGTCCTTTCAATTTGACGGTCAGCTAGTGGATGTCACGATGTATGAAGAGAGTTTCTCCTATCACCAGGCTATTTATAGCACAAATCTCCACAAATCTTTCCCCATTAACGTTCCTGGTCCCAATTCCATGCTTTCCCATGACTTTTTCATAGTCGGTTTTATCTTTTCAAACCTTGGCATCAAGGTCCCACATGATGACGAGGAGGTCGCCGTGCCATGATGTATTCTCTGTTTCTGCCTGCGGTTGACCGTAGAACTTCTCTTTGTCTTCATCGCTACTGTCATTAGTTGGTGTAGCATTGTATGAATGTGGTTTTGATGTGATTGTCCTTAAAACTTGCGCTAATCAATCTATTATTTATGTGCCTCCATTCCAGTATGCTGCCAGACACCGCTCCACACTTTTCTTGAGCATAATGACTACATCTTTATGATGTAGATTGTCATTTCTTTGGGAGTAAGAGACAGTTTTTCCGCTGGTGGTTTTCATGTTTCCAGATCCAGTCCATCTACTCTCACTTACTCCTAGGACATGGAGGATAAATTGTCTCACCTAAGATGTTAATTCTGCCAGCTTGTCTGTCTTATACATTTTCCTCACATTCCAATGTCCAAATCTGGTTTTTGTGGTATTCAGGCCTTCTCTCATTCTGCTGGTAACGCCCTTTTGGCTTTGATTGCCAACAATCAAACTAGTCTCATTGTGCTCGTCGATGTCCTTTACGCGTTGTAGTAAAAGTTTTTTCTTTTGGTGCTGTTTCTGTAACTTTCTACTTCTACAGGGCTGTTAGCTGCGCCTTACCCCAAACCTGGAGGACCAGGGTACAGTATTTTTTGTTTATGGTTTCCTTCTACTACGTCCATGGCTGTTCATTGCTGACGAATCTTGGTCTATCCATGATTTTTAGGTAAGAGTTCTCCTGTGTCGCTTCGTTACCGGGTAAACGCCCCCACTTTGACGGTAAGTTTTTGTGGTACGGACATTTCCGGAAGGGGTGTCTCTTCAACAGCCTTAAAGCATACACTTCGGATTTCTGCATAATTTTTACAGATTAAAGGCACCGGGGCGTATCAACTCGCCGGATACGCCATGCGTACCGTACATTTAGGAGCCTAGTCCACCTAAACAGGGGGGAAGATAATTGCATGTCATAAGTATACCAAAGTAAAAAAAAATGACTCGAAAGTCGCTTTTCTCCTTCTTATTAGGGACTGAATTTTATTTTACATAATGTAATTTGTAATACGTGTACTATGTAACCTTTTTTTTTGGATTTGTAGGTCCGACGACAGATATGGATTTTCGGAATACAGCAGCGACATCATCTTTTCGTCTGAAGATGCTTTTGTGCTGTGGTTCTTTTCTTCTTAATTACATGCTGTGTTATTATCATGAACATTGAAAAAATCTACAACGTTAATGGCAATGAATAATTTGAAATCATACAAGTTCTTCCTCTTTGTGGTCGTTGAATAAATTGATTAATAAAATCTCGTTTTGCGTTTACTTTTTAAAATTTTTTTTCTACACTGCTCTGAAAGATATGAAGAGATTGGTAACTACTGCATAGACTTGTGTAGGTAAGTCTGCATAAAATTATATTAGATTTTGGTCAGATTTTGATTGGAAAAGACACAGAAAGCAAGTATTCCATGAGCATAATTTGCTTCCCATTAAAGTATCAGTCACATTATTCAGCGATGGGGTATACGATGAGAAAAAAATGCATTTTTTTTCATATAAAAATGGCGTGGTTGCCGGCCGGACACCTATAGTAATCGGAAGGTGACTGAGGCTATTTGCCGAATCGGTGGGGTCATCGGTAGAAAATAAGTTATAGTTAAAAATCAGCGATATCGATCTCTACCGATGCCCCAAATCGCTCCTCATCGGCAACCCATCATTAACACATCTTTCAAGGATTGGCGGATGTATGGCCGAGCATCGTCAAGTGTCCGTTGAATCTGAGGTTGGGGGGGGGGGGGGGGTTGAGTGGTGGGCAACAGACATAGGCCGATCATTAGTTGATGTTCGACCAAACATTGGCCCATAGTCAATCGACGTACGGACGATGTTCACCAATGTATGAGCGATATAATATACATCGGCCGATTACCCTGAAACATCGTTTTATGATTAGCAATGCATCGCTGGGCCTTTGTAAGTCCGGCCGGCAACCACGCCATTTTTATCAAAAAATATATGGTTGCACCAATCGTATACATCGCTAGATAATGTGAATGATACTTTAAAGACTACTAGACCGATGTGGACTAATGTTGGGGCATCACTCACACCACGGATTACCACTGATTACCACCGTTGTACGGCCACGAAATGGTTGACAGTCAACTCGTACCCAAACCGAGTAGTGTAATGATTTTGGAATTTTAAGGTACGACCAAGAGAAGTTCTCAATTAGTCATTGTTGACATCACATGACTTTCATTGGGTATATATACTGAGACTCCGCGGTCGTCTGTTGTTGTTCTTCGGATGCAGCCAATGAGAGAAGACGACTGACAGTCTTCTGAAGTAAAAGAAATGTTTCCCAAACACTCTACTCTAGCTTTATAATTAAAGAAATCCTTCAAAACATTTGATCTTTTAGTCTTTTGTGCAGATATTCAGAGCAGTATGAGTACAATGATCAAGCTAAATGGTTTAAAACCTGTGTATTTTTGTGACATTGTTTTAATCAATCATAAGTTACATGAGTGGGTAAAAGAACGCTGTATATATACATGTGTGATGTCATGGGACTGACAAGTCAATGTCCCATTTAAATAGCTAAAAGGCTTTCTAACACCTAAAATTAGTGGAAATTTATTGAAAACAAGTGTTTTGTTTAAATGAAATTCTTAAATGACAGAGGATAATTTTATCAAGAGTAAACTCAAACGCACCGGTTTTTTTTTATTGATCGGGCTCGACGTCTCGAAAATACCAAATCATCTAAACTGGTGAAAGCGTTGTTCGACTTGCCGGGGATTATTCTTTACCAATTATTTATTTTAGAAAATGTCTCGTCGTCGAAGAGATTCAAGTGACGAAGAGGATGGTAATAAGTCTTCATTATATTGTCTAATAATATGTTAATTCAAAAGCAATTTTAGCATTCTTTGAGGAAATTAAAATCGAAACTAAAAAATTTCAACGAGGAAATTCTGACCTGGAAAAAAACTATTTTGACAAATATTCATTTCTTAAAATCGTGTAAAACTTACTTTTATTAATTTACATTAAAAATATTTTATATAGTTGGTTCTTTAATATGTATTGGCAAACTGTATTTTGAAATAATCTTGAATATCTGTAATGCATAATATATAATACGTATACTATTCAAAATAGTATTCAAAATTTAAGGAATCACTGCCTTGTTAGTATAGTATGCCAGGACATCAACGATGGTGGGAAACATTGGATAATTTATCCCCACATCAACTTTGTCTGTTATGCATAAATTCCCCACATTTCCCACTTTCACCGATGTCCCTGGCATACTAGGCTAACTAAACAGTGATTCCTTATAATATATTTCCATTTCATTGTGAAATAAAATTGTAGATTTAGATTTTTAAAATGTAGCCTTATAGATTTAAATGTCACGAGGCCTCCCATGTCAATTTCAACAATTCTCACCCACTGACGTCAAACACAGAGACAGCCACACAAGATTTACATGCATATTTGGCCTCCTTAGCATCAGACACAAAGACAAACAGGCATGAGATTTAATTTACATACATATAAGGCCTCCTTAGCCCCTGACCTATTAGAGTTATCAAAGAGAAAACAAATAGAAATTGAAATATTTATGTATATCGGTAATCAGAGTCAAAATCCCCCAAAACGACCTATGAAATTGAAATTTTTGGAATTAAATAAAGCAATTCATTTCTTGGGTTAAATTATACAAGAGGTCAATTCTGGTCAGCAAGATGATTTATTGGTAATAATTCAACACAATCTAAAGCAAAGGATTTATTTATCAGGGTTGTCCCTCATACCCAGGGGCCAGGGTGTTCCCCTGTCTATATGAAAAAATACCAGCCGTCTATATGAAAAAATACCAGCATTCCTCTTAAACTTCCCATTAGCATGACTAGGGGAGGAATGCCAGATTCCTTTCTAGGGACTGACAAATAGATTTTTAAGGCACTTGTCCAAGGGCAAGTACATGGTCCTATCTGAATTTTTGCTTGCCCCACCATAAACTAATAATGTTTTTATAAATATTTCAAAAAAAAGAGGAAGACAAATACTGAGTATATCATGCAAGCCCCTATGCCCATCTTTAAATCTGTGGTTTACAAATAAATTTTAATAATTTTGATAAGTCACTTGCCCACGAGCAAGTTGGATAGTATTTCACTTGCCCACCCCTAAAATTCACTAGCCCCGATCATCGGGCAGTGGGATTTGTCATCACCTGCTTTCTTCTTATTAATTGTCTTATCTATTTTTATTCTCAGGGAAAACCTTGTATTCTAGTTAGAATATTCTTAAAATATGAATTCTAAAATGGTTTCTTTCACGAAGGAACTATGAAACAAAGTAAATTGTAAATTATTACAGTTTTGTTTTTGTGTGTATAATAAGGGTCATTCAAAAAATTCGTAGACTTTTGTTGTCTAACTTGTTTATTTGACGTCATATTATTTCCAAATTTGGTACACATATTTTAACAACAAATTCGAATAATTTGAGTAAAAAAATTGGAATATATCTTCATATTTATAGAAATTTTCAAAGGAGCAACGTCAAAATTGAGTAATTTTCTAATTTTCACTTTATAATATCTATAGCCAATGCTGCCATACCTCTAATAAATGGAGCTGAAACAAAATAAAATTTACTTGTTTAAATTAAGTCTTGCAGTACAATGTATTACTTAAGATGCTATCAGGTAATGTAATACCGTATAAGTAGAAATTTTAGCGAGAAGCAGATTTAGCGATTTGTCCTTAAAACATGATATTTTATTTTTAGCGATGAGTAATTTAAGCGATTTTAAAATGCTCACTAATGAAGCTAATACAAATTAAACATAGGTTATTTTTAGCAATATATAATTTTAGCGATCTCAGAACTCTTGCTAATAATGCCAAAATTAAAACCTCGCTAAATATTCTGCTTATACAGTATATCTTATACGGTAAAAAGATATGTTTCTAAATACATATGAACTTGATTAAAAATGCTAAAACCATGAAGTTGGAGGACGTTACGGAGCAGCGAGTAGCAATAAAATTTCGCTTTGCATTCGGAAAACTTTAACAAACTATTAAAATTCTCTAAAAACCAGGAAGTGTGTGAAAAATGAGCCATGTTTTTGTACAAAATGGAAAATAAAATTTTTGAGTGGTAGCGAGTTTGAATCAGACAATAGATGGTCTGCAAAGAAACAGAATATAGTACAATATCTTGTCGAAAGAGTAAGGAACGTGAAAATGTCATTAAATGTGATGTGCGCTTCACAGTTTTGGAACTAATAGAGTTACGCAGTAGAGAATTTGAAAACACTGACAATCTAGTTCAAGCTATTTGCACAATTGTGAGCAAACTTGAGTGTTAAGTGTTATGGATATGTTTTTATGAATGGAGAAGATGCTAAAAACTGTGTATGAAATTAAAAAATAAAAAGCAGAGTAAATAAAACTGTAATTTTGAGAAACTTTCTTGAGGTTGCTTTTGATGTTACAATGTTAGTTAACCGCACTCCATTGTAACAAAAGATGTTGATTTAAAAATTGGCCAACATGAGTTCTATTTAATCAAATGGAATGAAACTTCACACTTTGACAAAATAAATGTTTTTATTTACGAAAATGTGTTGATCTGTAATCTTTTAATAATAATATGACGATGAGGAACATTGTCTACGTATTTTTAATGACACTCATACAGAGACATAAATAATCATGTCCACTTTATGGTGTCTGACAGTCAATAGTTGCTTTCCATTTTAAAACCTTATTGGTAAACCATTGATTCACTAAGAAAATCATTTTCTCGAAAGTTAATATTGTACTGATCAAGTCTTCAGTATAGGTTAGTCTATAAGTAAAAATAACATTTACTTTTAATTAGTTGGACATTCTGCAAGAAAGCGTAGACGAGGTTCGGAAAATATTGACATTGAGGAAAGACTGGAATCCCTCATTACCAGAGTTGGAGAAAAGGTAAATATCTATATAATGTGTACAACAGCAAAAAAATATTTCATGTCTGCCAACCCTCTCGTTCTGTACAGGGGAGATGTTTACCTTGTACACAATCTGTTGTTTTCTACATCATCAAAGTCCTAATGATTCAATTACAATTGAAACTGTCTCCCACATATTGATATATGAAGTATTTTGGAAATCAATATAACAAGTTTTGTGACTTTTGTTAAGAGCACATCCTCCTTGGAAAGTAACTTGGAAGGACTTGCCAGTGTACTGGAGGCAGATCTGGGGAATTACAAAACCAAAATAATGAGAATCCTGTGTTCCTGGTGAGTACAGCATCAATACTGTAACCCTCCCCATTGTTAGGGGGAGGGGGGCTTAGGTATATGTGTAATTTTTTTTTTACATACAATATAGCATTCCATTAAGGTTAAACACTGTGTTAATCTCAAACTTTTTTCCTAATTTATTTTTAGTGTTGTTAAACTCCCAGAGAAAATGGCTGTGTACACTACCTTGATTGGTCTCTTGAATGCTAAGAACTACAACTGTGGGGGAGAGGTAGGGTATACTACTTGTTCTAGATCACCTTAGTACAAATACATACATGTAAAGGACCTTTTGTTGCCATTCTAACATCAACACATTCATGGAAACAATGCCTCTTGTAAATAATTTCAAAAGAATATATTTTCATAAATGTTTCATTCCCTCTTTAATTGTCAAATTCAAATGTATACATGTATCTTTATTTTTTCTTCAGTTTGTTGAAATGCTCGTTAGAAATCTAAAGGAAGCCCTGAAGACTGGGGAGTATGAGAATGCCAAGTTACAAGTAAGTAAATGTCACCGGGTACAGAGGTGTGTGAAAGTCAATATATCAGGTCTCAATAGCTCAGTTAGAGCGTTGGCACATATGCCAGAGGCCCCGGGTTCGAGTCCCATTTAATTCTTGATTTTTCGCCACTTGTGACATTTATAATACATACATAACCCACTGTTCCCTTGGAACATGCTTCAGGCATTTCCTCAAATCATAGAATTTAAGGATGAATTTCTATGAAGAAGGGAATATGTCACCAGGTTCACAGGTGCGTGAGAGTCAGTCAATATATCGGGTCTCAATAGTTCAATGGTTAGAGTGATGGCTGGGTACGCCAGAGGACCTGGGTTTGAGTCCCTTTGAGACTTGATTTTTCACCACCTGTGACACAAATATATGACTTTTAAATATCATTACACATATAAGGAATGCACCATATTTGTGGTATATATAATACCCCTGTCAGTCCCACTGAGGATTTAACTTATGTAGTTGATCAGTGTACTCTCCTTCACTTCCAGGTTCGTTTCCTTGCCGACTGTGTCAATTGTCATGTGATCGTGGCTGGTTCACTGTTAGCTTTATTTGACAATTTTATTGAAGTGACGCTTGAGGACAACATTCCACAGGTAAAAAGTAGTGTTCTCTCAGAGATTAAATTTCCATCATTCACTTTCTTGATTTTTATTTCCTGAAAGGAATACATTGTATGCATCTCTCTGTCCTTACTTAAGCTATACTTTTATGGAGGTACAGGTTCTTAATTCATACCAGACTCAGAGTTTGTATGATCATGTGGGCTACATCTCAATTGTAATCAAGTGGTATTTGTGAAAGTTCAAGGTCACTGGTCTGGACCCTTACTTTATGCATGTAACAAAGAAAAATTTGACAATCGTTCATGAGGCAATATTGCTTATGGTTTGAAGAGTATGATTTGACCTAGACTTACAGATTTTTTTATGAGATCAAGGTCTCTTGTACAAAAAAAACATGGAAAGTCATGCTGGCAGCAAAATTTCTGATAACAGTGATGTGCAATGACCTTGGTTTTGGGTTTAGGAGGGCTGGGTGGTTGTGGCCATTTAAAGATTATAAAATTATTGATTTCCTTTAGAAAAAGAGCTCCATATAAAGATGTACAAAAGGGATGAAATTTTAAAACTAAAATTTATGGAATTTTTCCTTGCCAAGTGACGGTTGATAGTTAAAGATATATTTTAAAAAATTGAATAATATATGATGGTTAATTTGTTGACCCCTCCATGTGGAACCATATCAAGATGTTTTATGCACCATCACTTTATTACCTTGACCTAGGCACATAATTAAAAGAGAAACATTTGTTGTACTAGAACAAAATCTTTATTATACATGTACTGGAATGAATTTCAAACATGAAATTAGAAAAATTCAGTTTAAAAATAGTTTTGAAATACATATACAGCTGTACTGGTAATGGAGACTGCAAATGAGTAAATTATTTAGATTACATAGAAAAATAAAGGTTTTCTTATACTATGTTTAGGTGCGCTCCGACTGGTATGTTTATGTAGTGCTGTCTGCTCTCCCATGGGTAAGTAAAATTATACCTACATTAGATTGTTTTTAATTATTATATTATTTGATTGATTTCATGACTCATAAAATTAAAATAATATTTTGATAAAATTATCAAAAAATAGAAATGATATATTTAATGATTACATTTTTCAGAAATATAGTATGTGAATTTTATCATTTTATTCATCAAATAAAATTGTTATTCACTGATTCTCTAAGGACATACACAGCTGTCTTAGGCTTAAAACAAAATAAATACTGTAAATTTATTATATTTAGTGTGTATGACATTTGGCAGAAATTGACTTTTGAGCAAGTTAGCATAGATTTGATTTAATTAGCACATTTCTTAATGTTTTTAGTTATGAATATACTGTACATGTATGTGCAAGACATTTAGCATTGTTCTGAATTAACGGAAGTTTCATATCACAAATGGTGTTAAAAGGAATACACAGCCAAATAAAATATGTTTACAGTATCAAAAAGTTTCAAAAAGATCACTTTTCAATGCTCATTTTCTTATTGCAGGTTGCGAGAGAATTACATGAAAAGAAGGAGACAGAATTTAACAAACTTTTATCAACTATTGACAATTATATTAGGTTAGTAGCTCCAATCTATAATTTCAATACACTGTAAATGTTTTCTTTACATGTCAATACATATCATTTCCTTTTAAATGATGAACAAACAAGAAGCTTGTTGTATGTTTAAATGAGTGTATTAAAACTTTTTTTGCATTCTGTAAAAGAGAAAAACTGGAAAATTGGGGGGGGGGAATGCTAGAGATGGATTTATTTTATAAGTAATATTACAGTGACAAGAAAAGAATCTGAAATTTTAAGAAGACTTATTTTGACAATCAATTTTACTGTTTAAAAAAAACAACAAAAAACTAATATCAGGTGTTAAATACATGTATAATGAAAAGCTTATAATGAAAATAAGTTTCAAAAAAATTTTGGTTTAAGTCCTTTCATTGTCTCTCTTAGGTTATAAATGTTTGTTTGAATGTTTATGATTTTTTTTTTATTTTAGCAAGAGACAGAAAATCCATGTCCCAGCCTTGAGAGTGTGGGTGTCTGATTTTCCCCATCCTCAAGAAGAGGTAAAATAAAGTGTCTGATCCTTGATAGAAACTGTAAATAAACTTTTATTCCAGACAACTTCATTTCATGATTTACTGGGGGGTAAACTACAGTACAGTGTATTTCGGGATGATTAATTTCGCGATCAAGGCTTTTTGGATCTGTTGTTATAAATAGACACACATCAGGGACTTTAAGGAATGGTTCGCGAAAAATTCTCACAGGTGAATAAAAGTTGGTTTACAGTACTTGTTTATGGAAGCTATATTACATTTCAATCGAAAATTATATGACTTAAAAGAATTTTTTTTATTATGTTCTATGTATTCATAATGAATAATGTATAAAATAAACTTTTATGGGTATTTTTCATAAAGTACCTAGACTGCCTCTGGGCCCAGATTAAGAATATGAAGTCCAACAAGTGGTCGGAGAAGCAGATCATGAGGCCTTATTTGGCCTTTGATGGAGTGCTCTGTGAGGCTCTACAACACACCCTACCCCAGATCATCCCTCCCTCACACAATGAGGAGAGCACATATCCCCTCCCCAAGGTCATCTTCAGGATGTTTGACTACACAGATGTACCTGAGGTAAATAGTCATGAAGAGCTACAGATAGAACCATCATCTCTACTAGTGTTGTCAAATCGAACGATTTTTAGTAACTGGTTACTTGCTTAATCTTCCGATCGCGTACCCGGTTACTTGGATGATTTATTGTTATAGTTTCCATAACTATAATTTATCCTTTACTCATTGGAAGTAGTAAAGTACAAAAATAATGTATATGAACTTTATTCATAGACACCCACGCATGCACGCACTACAAAGTTAAAAGGTTAAAATCATGGTCAGAAAAGATCGCAATTTCTTCAATTTTCAGCAAATTGCGGTTGTTTGAATTCGCGAAAAGGAAAAATAATATATATTTATATTTTTATCATTGCTTCAAGCATTCATTGTTTTGACTTTGGGTTCATTTAAATAATAACAAAACACCAGATTGATCCCGATTTGAAGTCAAAATAATATTAAGCAATTTCTGAGTCCAAATCAGAAAAATTTGTCTGCACCATAGTCAAAAGGTTAACTGCTAGGAATTTCTTTTCCCACGAATAAAGCAAATATTAACTCTGCGAGTTAATTTCCTGCTGTCGGTAATGTAAAGGTAAATAATAATTTGGCAGTTTATTATTATTAATTACTAAATGATGCAATTATAACTCTGGTCTTCAAAACTTGTATACCCCCTTGGCAATCAAAGCTATCAATTAACAGTGAAAACTAATAAAAACAAATCGATCCTATTTGTGACCACTAGATCAAGTCTAACACAGTGTTTGAAACTCACTGAAAAATTAGGTAGACATGCAGGGCTGACTGCTAGTGAAAGTTGTCAGCTCTGCCAAAAATGTACTAGCCCGGAAAAAATAATTATCTTTTATAAGTTTGTTTTAGCAATAATATGAATGGGTTCAGCTCACCATATATTTGATCCCGGCCTCTAGGCTGATGAATTCTACCCGTTTGCTTGTTACACTGCAACCAATAATATTAGTTGATTTTAGAGAGTTATATCAAAATGTCAGAATTTTAATATTGGAAAAATTTTACACGCGTCAATACGTGCAAAACTGTTTGCCTGTGACAAAAAATGGCGTGTGTCTCGGGCAGTCTGGTGCGCTGTTACTTCAAACACTGGTCTAACGGTAAAGAAAATTAGGAAAATGTGTATGCATACCTTATAAATAATATAACATTTATTTTTTTTAGTCATTTAAATGAGCTATACAAGATGTATTTTTATCTTAGGAACCGAATAGCAGTTTTACTAGCCGATTCTTGACAGTTAATCAGTTTCCGGATACTTGTTGACAACACTTATCTTTACACTTGGAATATTAATAGAATTTCTGATATATTGAAAATGAATTAAAGTAAAATCCAGTGATTCTTTCTTTATATGTTGTACATTTGATGAATAATTGGCAAGTTCTTTCTTCTTAAATGGATAACAGATCCGGTTTGTTAAGAGTAGAATGTTGTCTATACAGGGCCCTGTATTACCTGGTAGTCACTCCATTGAGAGGTACCTGATAGAAGAACAGATTGACAGAATAATCAGCACATATTACGCAGAGCGCAAAGACTGGTAAAAGTTATCTCAATGTTAATTACTGTATATATACATGTATATAAATCATAATAAATGTTATCAATTTGGTGGTTTAAAAGATGTAATTCTCCACAGATGAAAAACTAATCTGTTTATACATGTATTAGATCTATTCTATAAGTTCTCTTCTTCTTCTTCTTCTACAAGTCTCTATTTATATTCCATTCTAGTACCATTGTTTCTTCTTCCAGTGCTGCAGCATTACTAAGCTTTCCCTCCAAAAACAAGATCCCGCTCAATTACATGATAGTGGAGGTAAGACTCGTGTTTATTTTCAGGCTCATTCTATTCGTTTTTCATGAAAGCAGAAGTGATTTGTTTCTCATGAATGCTATGACAGTATGTTAGTACAGATCTGTTATTATGTACCCTGAGCTATATTGATAGACCGGAGAGCATTAGTTCTTCTTCCAGTGCTGCAGCATTTTTTCCAAATTCTTACCTCAATTGCAAAAAATGGAAGATTTTAAAAAATTACTCTCTCCAAAAACATCTGAGATACCCGCTTTGAAACCAAAATGGCTACATGTCCGATAGTGGAGGTAAACAACAATTATGAGGAATGTTTTGTTGTGGAAAGGTCAAACAATATGTTAGGAACACACGGTTGGTAATATTTTGTTTTTAAAAACATGAGAAATAAATCAGAAGTGATTTGTTAAATATACAGTTTTTTCATGAATGCTATGACAGTATCAATTTTTTTTTTCGTAATCTTTGTATCAATTTTTGTAAAACATTGTTACATTAAACATACTGTATTTATGGTGAATTCATGCTTAAGGGGGCCGACTATAGTTTCCATTGCGCAATATTTCGCGCATCATAGTAAAATAAACCGTATTTACTGTTTTAATGCAACTTTTTTCGCTTAATTATTAAAATTAAACAAAATTAAGAAATTATAGGCATAAAAATGTAATTACAATTTGATAAAATTAATTTTTATAGCGATTTTGCAATTGATAGGTAGGTTGACGTTGCAGTGTGTTTTTGACGTTATGATATCTGTAGCTCTTAAAGAAAGGGGTAATAAAAATATTATTAAATAAAAAGTAATAAACATACGCTCTTGAAATTTAAAACATAGAAATTTGAGAATATCTCCAATTATTTTATTATGTTTTCAAGTGAATCCATTGTGTACGTCAAATTTTGTAATACTCTAGTAAAAATAGTAATATTTGCTAATTTTTTGCATTTTGAGATGCCCCCTCTGGTAACAAGATGGTAGAATTTTGTGTTTCTTACATATATTGTATAATATAGTATTACTCATCAAATATTATAGTTTGAACAAAATGTCTATTGTAGTATTTGTATAATTTGCTTTAAAGTGCTAAAAATTGGCATTTTCCTATATAATCCTATACTGTAAATCACTTTTTATTCGCGAGAACTTTATTTTCGCGTAAATACGCGAGACGGTATGCTCACGAAAATTTCATTCTCGCGTATAATAGACTTCCTTAAGATTATATAAGGTACTGACCACAATTTGTGAAAATTTTGTCTCGCTTATAAAATGTCAATGACTATCTTGCGAAAATAAGGTGTCGCGAAAATTAAGTGATCTACAGTAGTAAAACCTTGATGGTAGATTTCCCCCAAACTTTGCATGTACACTGAAGTTAATGTAAGTTATATATGGTATAAAAACGAAGAGTTTCGCTATTGTAGTTTTCACACAATAAAATATAGTCAGCCCCCTTAAATGCTTGTCATTTCCTTCAGTTTTAAATTATATAATGAACTCATAAGGTTACATATCACAGTCAATTTTTTGCTATATTGAATTATTGTTATATTTTACTGTATGTTTGTTGTTGTATTTCAGGTGATGTTTTCTCAGCTGTTTCGACTCCCAGTACCCCCTTCCCTGGAAATTTTCTATGGTTCTCTACTGATAGAGCTTTGTAAGCTACAACCAGGCTCCATGCCACAAGTTGTATCCTTTCTTGACAAAAATGTATTTTCTGAATTTCAATATATTGTGGTATACTCTACCCTTGAAGGATATTTTCAGGTTTGTATGTACATGTATCAAGATGTGCAAAAGAAGTTGTTTTAAGAATTCTGAGAGAATGCTGTCATTTTGCTTAACTTTGTAGTTAGCACAAGCCACTGAAATGCTGTATGAGAGAATTGACACTATGAATGTTACCTGTATTGAAAGGTTTGTCAATTGAAGCGGTGATTTTATTGTAGAATTTATTATCAAAATTGCATTAGAATGTATTTACTGTGTTTTGTAAATTAAAAATGTACTTAGCTGACAAAGCAATGTTATTTCACTCATTCTTAAGTATTACGTACATGTAAAAGTAAGTAATATTTTTCAGATTTGCTAACTGGTTTGCATACCATTTGAGCAACTTCCAGTTCCGCTGGAGCTGGGATGATTGGTCTACCTGTTGTCAAATGGACCCAGAATTACCCAAACCCAAATTTGTCAAGGAGGTGCTTCTCAAGTGTTTAAGGTATTGTGTCTGACATTTTTAGCTCACCTGACCTGTAAGCTCAAGTGAGCTATTCTGATCACAATTTGTCTGTAGTCTGTCTATCTGTCCGTCTAGCTGTACTTTTTACATTTTTGACCTTCTCCAGAACCACTGGGCCACAAAGTATCCTTGGGTGAAGGAGATTCAAATTTGTTCAAATGAAGGATCACACCCTCATAAAGGGGAGATAATTAAGAAATAGTGAAAATTTGGTGGCATGTTTTAAAAATTTTCTTCTCAAGAACCACTTGGTCAGGAAAGATGAAACTAATGTGGAAGCATCCTCAAGTAGTGTAGATGCAAATTTGTTCAAATCATGACCCTGGGGGGTTGGGTAGGACCACAATGGACGATCAAAACTTAACATAGGAATATATAGGAAAAATCTTTAAAAATCGTCTTCTCAAGAACAACGAAGCCATGATTGGTCATATTTATATGGAAGCATCCTAAAGTAGTGTAGATTCAGGTTTGTTCAAATCATGACCCCGGGGGGTTGGGTGGTGCAAAAATGAAAGTTCAAACTTTTATGGAAAAAAGCCAAATTAAGTCAAAGAAATATGTAAGCATCCTTTGTAGATTCATATTAATTCAAATCATCTCCCTTCTGTCTTTTAGGGGTAGGTTGGGACCACATGCATTTAAGCTTTTCAAAACTGGATTGATTTTTGTTTTTCTCCTAGTCACAATGCTCAGGTGAGGGATGTTGCCCATGGGCCTCTTGTTATGGAATATTAACGGGAAAACAATCACATATAATTTTGTCTTTTTTCTGTTTCTTTGCTTCACAGATTATCCTACCACCAACGAATAGCAGAAAATGTCCCTGAAAGCTTTGAAGCTCTGATCCCTGAGAAACCTCACCCTCAATTCAAATATGAGAAGGAGGGAGCAGGCTCAATGCCTGGTACTATGGTGGCCCACCAACTGATGGCTGCAATCAAGTCCAAGTGTACCCCGGAGGAGGCCATGGTATTGCTGAAAGATCTGCCCAACCCACTCAGTGAGGAGGAGAGTGAGTTATTCAATGTATTATTAAATGATTAGCTAGTCCAAATCAAGCGTGAAGAAAACTGTAGCATGTAAAGAAAAAGTATTAAATCAAAAAGAGATCCATTTATAAATATCTTTGCCTCAGTAAAACAACATACATGTGTATGTATGCATATATATTTAATACCTCAATGAAACAATAAATGTATACATTGCATGTTTTTTTCCGTTTAAAACCAAGATGCTGAAATTTCATCCAAAAAATTGTTAAAAAGTCTGAAAAAATAATAGCATAATTTTTTTTTATGACATTATTTCAACTTCTTCTATTATTGCGACCAGTTGAAAATTTATTCATTTGCAAAAAACATTACGTGCAGTATTACATGCAGTCTATTGTATTGATAATGTACCTGTAAGATATGATTTATTTTGTTTATTGCAGGTGACCCGACGTATCACCCTCTCCGAATAGACGTCTTTGTCTCGGTTTTACTCTACCTTGGCAGCAAGTCATTCAGTCATTCCTTTGCTGCTATAGCTAAGTAAGTAGAAACAGACTGTCATTCATAACTAAATGTACTGGAATTCACCCCCAGAACATGGTACACTGGAATATAGCATATACATTAGAATCAGGTAAGCAAATGTCTTCCGTCACATTGTTTAAACGTATCTGTCATTTGTTTTGCAGATTTCATCATATTTTAAAGCTTCTAGCTGACACAGAAGAGGGACAGATTTGGTTACTCCGTACAATGTTTGAAATCTGGAGCTCACATCAGCAGGTAAGTAGATTACAGGTCAATATTAGATGATAAAATGCAGGTAGTTTCTTGTAGGGGATACATGTATTTTATTAGTTTTTTTTTTTTAATTTCTTGTGTAAAATGATGATGTTACAGTATTTGTAATATTACATATGTAAAATGATTTAGATACAGAATTTTCTAATAAAATTGATACATATGTGAAATGATGTGATTACAGAACTTTCTGTTAGTATAATTACATACATTGTATTTGGGATGCTTTGGTTACAGATGATGGTTGTTCTTGTGGACAAGTTACTGAAGACTCAGATTGTGGAGCCCTCAGCTGTGGCTAACTGGTTGTTCTCCAGTGAAATGCAGCCAGAGTTTACCAAGTCAGTACAATTAACAACTTAAAGATTTATTTCATCTTTTCTCAAATAAAATAACATAAGGAATCTGATGTCATCACTCCATTACAAGTGTTTGTTTATACCAAGAATTAACTTTTCTTTTTGAATAGATTTTATGTTTTGTTACATTAAAAAATGCATGTGACAAAAAGAAAGATTCAGTGTATATTCAAAAATTTCATCAGATGAATTGTGCATCATAAAAAAAGGAAACAGTTATCTTTGTTTCTGCATTGCAGATAAATTTAATTATTATCCTCTTTGTTTGTGAACAGATTTTATGTTTGGGAAATAATGCATGCGACAATTAAAAAGATGAGTAAACAAGTCGACAAACTACAGCAAGATGTTGAGGACTCCAAGGACAAACTGGATGCAGCAAAGAGAAAGGTAAAGAGCATGTGGTGTTTTTAATTACAATGGAATTGATTTTAAAGAGTGTTCATTTATCACTGCCTACAGCTATCTCTCTCTCTCTCTCTCTCTCTCTCTCTGTTTCAGCAAGCGGATAATGGAGCAAGCCGGTACCTACAGATGAAATCATGAGAGAATATTAAAATTTTTCTCTCTTCCAGGTTTAGTGGCCCTTCAAGCGGATCATCTTCCATGTATTATTGCCCTTTCAAAACGACTCTTTCTGATCATCTTCCAGCTATTAGTGGACCCTCAAAACGACTCTTTCTGACCATCTTCCATGTATTATATTGCTCCTTCAAAACGACTCTTTCTGACCATCTTCCATATATTGCCCCTTCAAAACGACTCTTTCTGTCCATCTTCCATGTATTATACACTGTATTGCCCCTTCAAACGACTCTTTCTGATCATCTTCTATGTACTGTTGCCCCTTTATAAGAAAAATAACCCATCCTGTAGATTAATATTTATTAGTGTATTTGAATGTGAAATGACTGTGAAATTCAAGGAAAATACATGTTGAAGGTTCACTAGATGAAGAATTGATTTTCTGTGCTTTGGTAAAATGATTTGGGTAATTTAATTTAATAGCAGAATATCCTTTCCTAGTCTCTCTATATACTAAAGTGTAATAATGTAACTGTTCTGTATTCCATAGCGATTTATTATGATCCTGACTGACCATTTGGCAAAGTGTGAAGGAAATGGCATTGATTACAATACTCCATGGTACAAGTGGGTTATTGAAAGATTACAACAAATATTTTTGCTGGTATGTTTTCTGTACGTTTACATTGTTTTTAATGAAATTCTTTACCATTTTAATTTATTCCATTCTCTCACATGTTACTTTTGGAATAATATTTTTAAAAAGTGGCTTCAGCTGAAAATTGATGATGTGCATGTATTTTCACTTTTATTTAAATGTACATGTTTGCATTAAATATATCAAATTTTAAAATTTTCATGAAGTCCAAAAAGTGGTTTAATTTAATCTTAACATTACATATACCATAGTTAAGTGCATGCATGATATATTAAATGCATGATATAATAATTATTCATTTTCAAATAATCCCTTCAAGAATGAGACAGTCACTGCAATTAACTATGCATGTACATGTATTATTTATAACAATTTCCCAGTGTATATCATGTTCACAATACATTTATATATGTATAAAAAAAGTGAACTGGTTATACCATTTATAATGTGAATAATGTTTAATCAGGTGTTCTTATCTTTTATACATTGGGTTTTAAGTTATTTTTTACCTTTTTTTCAGCACCATGAACTGGTTTTCAGGTACATCAGTACACTGGAGTCTCTACTTTTCACAAGTGACATTGACTTTCACATCCTGGAAGTATTCCAACAGTTTTGCGCTCTTCGTTCATAGTTCAGTCATTATCCATTTCATAAAACGCTTTTTGGCTTCATTCATCATTGGAATTAAAATCTTCAAGAATTGAATCATCCTCAAATAAGTGCAGAGATTTCATTTAATGTCTTGAACTTTAACACCTCTCTGGACAATTTAATATGTTTATTAAAAGTGAAAAATATTCATTTTAAAGTTGAAATTTATAAATGTAAAAATGATCTTTCTGTGTGTCTTTGGACAACCAATATACTGTAAATGTGGATATTTTTATGGGATAAAATTTTGTAATTGCCGTAGAAAAAAGCATTAGTGTGGGGGTTATTTTTTAAGGATATTAAAGAATTGTAAATTTTTTGGTTCCTTGTTTACTAGTATGGACTATATTACTTTATATGAAACAGTTTGCAGGTGATATTACTGACCTAATACCCCCCCCCCCCCCACACACACACAAATATATAATGAAGAATGACTGTATTTATTTTTCAGTTGTTTGATGATAAAAACAAAAATGAAATGTCCATTGTTTATTTTTTACACAATCTCAACTTTGCACAATGAAATACATTTATGTAACAATTATGAATTTAAATTGAATTCTGTGCCACTGTGAAGTACTCATAAATAAAAAATATTTTTAAACATGGAAGTTTTGTGTTTTAAATTATCTTTAATATAGAAATTTCTCTTAAAGCTTGATCAAGTTGTTGGAACAAGGATTATTACAAAGAGCAAAAATTATTTACATATATATGATCGAAAAAGCCTTGGACAAAAGTTTTTTTTCTGTGATAGAAAAATACACAAAAAAATACATACTGAAAAAATAATTTGTACATCTACTTTTTTTTTTTACTCCAAACGTACATGTATTGTACATGTACATCCTATTAAATAATTCATTTCCTGTTGAAATATTGCAGACTGTGTTAAATACTACACAACTCAAAGTCAAGCAGACACAGTACAAGTGTCAAGGAACCTGTTCTTCAGAAGATTCAGGTAATCCATTTGAAAATAACCTGAGATTCAAATCATGGCCACAAATGAAAGACATGCATGTAAACAAAATCAGATTTTGAAATATCCTGTCAGAAGTCGGTTACACGCCCCTTCCTCTCCCAGTCACCGTACCGCGTGGGCTCTGGTCCTCTAGGGCCTCCTATCTCCCCCGTGACCGGGTTCTTGTCGTTAGGAAACCTCTCCAAAGGTTCCTGTTCAACAGTCATATTCACCACTTCCTCTGTTTCTAATTCTTGTCGAGGATCATCAAATTTTCCAGCTGGGGTTTTTCCCTTTTTGCGATGACCTTTTCCATCCTCCGAATGGTTACGAAAACCTGTCATCACTGACGTGTATGCTGATCTTCCTGAATTCAAAATGCCTAGATATAAATCAAAATGTTTGATTATATATTACACGTATTCAAAATGTATTTTATAAAATCGCGATAGAAACTTATACGTGCTACTATGGTAAAATGAATATGTATGCATAAAAATTGCATTTCGGAAAAAAACTACAAAAATATCAAGATTACATGAAAATCAATTTTCTGTGAACTACAAATTAATACCAAAAAGTATCAAACACATGAAAATCAATTCACATCTGTGAACTACCCGGTACCCTAAACTTAAAAAAACACGAACTATTCTTCTGGTTACGCAAGAAAAAAACTCACCATAGATGCGTTTAGATACAATTCTGGTCACTGAAGACATTATTCTGCAATTACAGTATTGCAGTACGCCAGTAGGACGTTTGTTCGGTCAGAGCTTAAAACTTATGAAATTCGTCAAAGTGAAACCGAAAGTAAATTAAGTAAGTCATACTTCAAATATTTCGCTGAAAAAGATTCTTCTAGAAAATATGTACACGTGTATAGAGATGTAGAATACAGTAGGGCCTACAATTCGTGTACACTCTGACACAAATAATGAAATTTTTCATCACATACTAATTAATTTGAATTAAGTTTATATATATTTGTGTTCCTGAAAGATAACATTTTTTGTTAGTTTGTTTGTCTGCAAACTTTAAAACCTTCGCCATAATTTTTTTCATGAACCATGAAACATAAGTGGCGAAAATTTTATTTGCTATGCATAATTTGTGTAGCCTGCATTCAATGACACAAAGTCAATGACCTTATGACCTTGACATATATGCTAAAAATAGCTTTTTGTCTGCAAACTTTAACCTTCGCCATAGCTTTTGAACCATGAAGGATAGACTTTATAATTAGTATGCATACTCCTCTAATAAAACTCTTCCAAATGACACAAAGGTAAATGGCCTTGTGACCTTGACTGTGACATATATGCTAAATAAAGCTTTATTTGAACCTTCACCATAACTAAATTTATACCATATGAGATAGAGACTTCATATTTGGTATGCCTACTCCACTAATTAAGTTCTTTCCAATGATGCCAAGGTCAGTGACCTTGACTGTAACCTATACGCTAAAAAATGTTTTTTTCAGATTTTGTTGCCGCATCGTACGTACATGTTTCACAAATACATCTTTTTCATCGTTACCTAAAACCTTGAAAATAAGACGGGTTTGATAACAAGCCGGTTTTAAAAACAAGCCACCTATTTCTTGCATTGAAAATTACTCGAAAATAAGCCTGTTTTGAAAATAAGCCGGTCATAAATTTTCTGTTAATTCATGATGTACGTTTAGCAGTCTCCGTTGCTAAATTATTCTAGTGCATAGCTCTAGCTAGTGTAATAAATTATAGTTGCAGATCTGTAGCTCACTGATCTGAAAAAATTACAGCATTATATTTTTTCTGAACACTATTCATTTAACTCATGGATGTTTACATGGATATCCTAGTTTTTTTCATAAGTTGTGAACATTTCTTTATATTAAGTTGTTCTTGACTTCATTCTTAATATCAAAATGTAAAAAAAAATAGTAAAAGACAACTATTGTTTTAAATATATTTATATCTTATTCTGTATTTTTACATTTACATCATTAAAATTGAAAATTTATGAATCCTGGAAAATATTTTAATTAATAAATGAAAGTAAACAGAGCCAATCATATAATAACAATTTTAACATACGTACAATACATATTATATAGACCTACAAATTGAAATGTTTCAAAACATCAGAGTTGATACATTTTCGAGTCAACATGTCTGTTCTTACAAAGAATGTTTTTGTTTTTCAAAGTACATGTATTATCTATTATATTGACAAAACAGTTTTGCCTTGAAATTTCACCTCTTGCTTGACTTCATGTTACCCAGTACATACCTGCATGGTAATATACAAGTACCTGTAAACATTTCTCGTGTGTATTTTCTCCACAGTAAACATTTACTAAGATAATACATTATGTTCATAATACAGAAATGAATATTACAGAAAAGAAACCTTTAGAGCTAGATGGTCAAAATTCAAGGAATACACTTTTCAATCATCAATAAAACTCTAGGCTATGTTTAGAGCACAGTAGGACAAAAGTATATGTGTACTGGTATTTGCCAGATCTTAGTCTATAGTACAAAGTACGTTGGGGCCATTTTTCATTAGAATCAAAATAAAAGAATTGGAAGGGAATCTGTACACAAATATAGAGACTAACAAAATAAAAAATAGGCACAAAAACATAAGTGTAAAAAATAAATTAGGACGGATATAACATGAAATTTGTAAATGCATAATTACTTCATTATATAATCAAAGTGAAAATGTGTTCACTTAAAAATGTTTTTTTAAAAATAAAAACGCAATGTTATGACTGCATACTGCATATTACTTACTTCCTGGAATGTACGCTAGAAATAAATATATTAAAAATACTGACCTACAATGATATGGTAAATTACACTATGCTTTGGTGGTCATGGGAAATGAAAGTCAATATCGTTTATAAAACAAAGTTCAGTAATTACAATACACACCTCTTGCTAAAACCTTACTAAAAGGAGAAAAACAAATTTTGAACTAATTTCTATTAAATACACATGTACACTACATCATTCATACATAATTTCCATTTTTAAAAAAAATTAAAATGCAATCTGTTGAAAGCATAACAATTTCATCTATAAACTTCTAAACATTTAGTCAGATACACACATACAATAGAACAATATCATCTCTTAGTAACAATAGCACCACAAAGACAGTCTTACACAAAAATCCTCAGGTTTCTGGATCTGTTACATCGGAAGGCTATGACTACCACAGATCCCAGTCAAATGACAGATGTTTGGTGGATTTTGATTGGAATTATGTGGTCAGAAGAAATGAGTGAGTATATTTGGTTTGTGTAGATATATCACAGCTGACAGTATGGAATGCTAACCCTGTAGAGTTGTCCCCCTTTACATTCTGCTACCTCCCGTGTGGTTCAAATGCTTTAGGACGGATGTTGGTCGATCGACTAGACCTAACTGGAGTCTGGAATTTTGGGGACCTGTAAAATATACTCAAACAATTAACTGGTGATATCAATCATCTTATGATAATAAAAGGAAAGGATTTTTTATGGAAAACAAAATAATTCACTGAAATATGCAGAAATAACTGACTTTTAAATAAAAGATGACACATGATTATGATAAAGTTTCTAGTCTAGAAGTACATGTAGGCATTAGTAGCATTAGTTTTAAATGACAGAGTTAAAACGGAAATATCAACTATAGAAAATAAATTCATTAAGTTTGAAATACAGTGTCTCAGTGAATTCAAAAATCAACATAAAGTAAATGAACAGAATATTTTAAATACTTGAAAAAATTATACCTCTACTTCCCCAACACTAAATATAAAATAAAACAAGAATACTCTGTTTTTGAAAAAGAAAATCCTGGGGAAAGTAAGAGGATGAGGCTAAATCAAATGTAGCCTCCAGAGTCAATTACTGTACAATTGGAGAATTGTCAGTGGCTCGACTCCGAGCGATACTCACTACTGAAGATCACAGGGTGCTGGTAATCGTACTAAATCTTCAGGACTTGTCATTAAATTTCAACATGACGTAAATACATCGTACTAGTTAAATCCTCAGGACTAATCATTAAAATTTAAACAAAACATATATATTATCCGATATGGCATAGAATGGAAATTAAGGTTGTTGGATTGAACAGTGTACAGAAACATGGAAAAAAGTAAAATGACAATATGGTACTGAATCTTAATGGAAATATATATTCATATATGCACTATATGTATATATAAATATAAAACACACAATCTTAATTATATATACATATATGCACTACATGTATATATAAATATAAAACACACAAGTCAAAATATTTATACAATGTATTTTCAACTACTTGAAAATGAATCTTTTATGTTGGTTAGAATATAAATGTACAAGTACATGCACATTTTAAAAGGCAGACCACTGATATTAGATCAAACATCTAATTATTTAGTTTTAATTGCACTCCTTTGTGTAGAGAATAATTTTTAACAAAATTTATCCTTAAATTGGTTAATATTTTTCTTCATTATTAAATAACAATCCACTATGTCTAATAAAACCAAGTACTGTTATCAAATATATTGCAATGTAAAGCTTATACCATTTCTGAATAAAACGCTTGGCATCACTAAAATGAAATTGAATATATAGTTTGATACAGTGATCATATATACAAGAAAATTCTAGAATTTATGTGTATTTGAGTAGCAATTCTAAATGGTTTATAATCAAATGATTGCAAACTTTTCTATCAGTAATTTAATGGATATTTACAGATGGAATCACTTGCTTAAAAATTCTGAAGTCCAAGTTTTCACTCAAAAATTTAACAATGACTAACTCTACCCGGTATATTGTTTTACGTATGTGCCATCTGAGAATTATTCACTCATATATTAAGTGAAAATAATTATTAGCTTTTCGATTCCATTTTTTTAATTTTGATTAAGCATTTTGATACCAGAATTTTTTCTACCAATCAGTCGAAACAAAGTTGTGGTTAACCAAATGAAAACTCTGCATTTGACAACCATATTGAAAAGCATTCTAAAACTCCACACATAAAACCGATTATATCTAGTACCTTTCTGATCTCCTGAGAGATGAATCCAGCTTCTTAGACTTGGGTGTAGCTGCCTTAGGCATACCAAAGGAGATTTCTGAGTCCTCTCTAAAGTGACACATAAACAAAACTTTACACTATCCTTAACTTAAACACAAACATTGACAATGCACTTATGCAATACAGGTATGAAATCAAAGGTCCTATTGGAAAGATTTTTAAAGTACAAAAACTTTTTTAACATCTTTATCAGCTAGTACCTGATTGGCAAGAAACTTTCTGACTGAGTCATATCCATGTCTCTATTGTGGTCACGTGTAGGAATTTCAGCCTAAAAAATGTTATACATTAAACAAGAGTGTCTAAATGGCCTACAATACAGTGTATATATGTAAATATAATTATTACTACATACTTAATACCTGGTAATATTCTGGCTTTAATAAGGTCTCTGTATTATACATTCTATACTGAGTTGTTTCAGAGTTAAAATCAGCGACATAGTGTTTTAGATAATGAGGATACTAACACTCTCGTCATACTCGCGGCGGACAGCGTCGCTGAGCTCCCGTTTCAGCGTGTTGATGTGTTGTTGGTGTGTATCTATCTCCTCCTCCAGAGACTTGATCTTACTGATTGCCTGGTTCTGAGTCTCAACAAACGCCCCCACCAAATTCTGACAAAATTCAAAGACAAAGTTATACTCTTAAAGGTCAAATATCAAGGAAATAGATATACTTGTAAATATATGTTGTAAACAATGGTTAAAAAGAAGGATTACAATATTCGTTTAATTTTAAACCTCATTGTTTTCTTTATTTACCTGTTCAAATATCGCTAAAAATAACGTTCATCAATAGAGTTACCTCCCCTTTTTGTGATGCCATTAGAGACACTCGACAAAGTCTAGTTACATAAGTATAGTAAAAAGTGCTCTTGATTATCTAAAATTATGACATCCCAACTGAGATTTTTTTTAGACACGATAACTTGGCAGATAATCAATTCCTTGTCTATTATACCACACCTTCCGTTTTTTGTCAGTCAAGTCCTTCACAGTATATGAATTTTTTTAGTATTTTATTTTTTTTACTCCAGCATGTTACAGGTTTACGCCGAAATACATGTACTTTTGACATGGCGCCGCGTAATGTTCAGTCATGTATATACCGAGTGCATGCTCTAATGGGCCAATCTCTAAAACTTAACAAAAGCGGAAAATATAAAATATCGAAGTACTGGTATGACGGACAAGGAATTCATATATATTTTGCTCAGTTTTATTTTCAGTAGGGGGGAGGGGCAAAGTACATGAATCAATCGTCAGGTTACTCAGGTACTTGTGATCTTGTTGATTACTGTAACAAGAATCAAAAAAAAAAACTTTCCCTAAAACAGTATTGCGGCTATAAATACCTAAACTGACAAATTGAAAAATGCAATTTAAATTTGAAATAAAACCAAGAAATTTGTGAGATAATTTTTTAATTAATAATTAAAATGTAGCCTAAACTGGTCTATGTAAAATGTCGCTTACATTTATGTAGACATTATAGTGTTTCGTGTTTATTGGGCTCAAAACCATCTCTTTATAAATTGAATGTCCATATTGCCCTCAATTTCAGGTGCGTAAAAATTTAAATATATACTCATGTCTTGTTCCGATTTATTGGTACAGTTAAAAGCCCACATGGCAACATCTTGCAAACAATAATGTTCCAAACACGGCAATATAGCATGCACTTCCTATTTCACGCTGTCTCTGATGACGTTACGCAACAAGGGAGATAAGCAATTTACAATAAATGATCCACTTGTCACACAGGTAAGTTTAAACGACTATTAGTGATGGAAATTGGTGACAAAAAAATAAATAGATCTCAGAATGTCATTCATATTGCTCCAGAGGCTGACAATAATGAATAATTATGAATTTTCACAAAAATATTATACTTGACCTTTAAATATAAAATAATTCTGACATAAACTGGGAATTTTTAATTGTTCATTAAATTCACTATAATTTATATTAGTATAATACATGTACAAGTGACAAAATTTTTTTAAAAATTGACATCATTAACATTAAACACCTGAATTTCATTTTTGTACTGTATTGTAGATACCATCACTTGCATGAAAAAAAAAATTATTTTCTTCACTAAACACCAAGGACTATGTTTTGTTTAATGGTACAAACCTGTGCAGCAATGAGCTCTGGCCCAGCCTTGCCGACATCACTAGGAATGAAGTCAGCATTCAGTAACCTTTTAGTCCAAGAGAAGTCTGTGATGCCCTTAGCCAGGGTCAGCTCTTTCTTGGCCTGCCAACAAAGTGTGTGTTTTATAGTACACCTGGGTTACTTTGAAGTTAAAAGTAGGTAAATACTAAATCCACTTAGTAGAAGCTAACGCTCACCTGCTCCAATGCCATAGTAACAGCTTTGAGATATTGGGCCAATGTTTCCTTATCTCTACAATTGTTATTAAATATCATTTATATTATTAATACATGTAGTGATTAATAATATAAAATACACAAAAATATGCTTAACTTTTTCCTAACAGTAGTTAAGCTTCTTACAGAATGAGTATTTTAATTTTTTTGAAAAATTGGTTGTTCCAGGTTATTTTCCTGTATGTACGAGGGTTGATCCAAAAGTTTGTGAAATTTCTTTCTAAAATCTTTTCGTGATTTGATGAAAGCAAACAATAGGCATATTCATAATATAGAATCATAATGCAACAATATTGGAAAATTTTACCACTTTCCAAATACAAATAAGGTCACACGAGCTTTCTGAAAATGGACAGTTGTGAAACCTGGGAGAGACTTCAACATAATGTCAAGTTAGATATGTCACATCATGTTATAGATGCATTTTGCCCTAATGTAGTATACGTCCAATTCGAATATGTAATTCTACAAAATGCTGCCCTTTTCTGCATTTTTTTTCTCCAGAAAAGCCTGGGTATCCTCTCGCACCAACTTATCTTCATTTTTCACTCATATTTCAAAATACTACCCATCTTTCCATATGATGTTCCAATTTCAGTATCAATGTCAAGAAAAGCACGTCAGCCGACAACGTTCATTTACACTTTTAACTTGTCTAGGGGATACGCACTTAAAACAGAGCCTCCAAAAAGTGACCATAACTTTAATCAACGTCCATCATGGCATGGAAGTTCTAGTTTTCCTATATTTCTAATGCCACCGGAAAACAAGTAACTAAATGCATTTTTCCCAAGCCTATGTCAATAATATACGCGTTTAAGATGAGTGATAACAGGATTTTCACAAAACGCATGATTTGACTGAAATTTGATGTTGTCTAACAACTTAAAGATGAACAATAAATCATCAATTAATAAACTAAATATCCAGTAAAATCAGTAAAACTCTCACACAAAGGTTTATAAAAGATCAGGCAATCGTAATAATAACATAATTTTCATTTTATATACCATATAGGGCGGTTTAATTCTCATTTCACATATTAAGAATTAAACTGATAATAAACATGTTAATTTCTCCCCTGCATTTCCAAACAACCGTTTCTATGGCAACTACCATAGAGTTATTTTCAAAGATATTTAAAATGTTTTTTAATTTAAAATGTTCATCAAGTGTCTATATTTTCATATGTAATTTTCAAGCAATTCCACTTAAAAATAAATAAAATATGAAGAAATTCCACAAACTTTTGGATCAACCCTCGTAAATGTAATTCCATAAATATAAATGTATAGAAACAAAAAGAAGAGAAGACTGTTTTCTACAAAAGATTTGGTATTTGGTTGGACTAACACACCTGGCTACAGTCCTCAATGCCTTCTCAGCATCCGCTACATTGGTAAGGAGGGCCTTCTTCTCTCCCTCCAGAGATATCACCTGTCTGTTCAGCTGCCTCAATGTCTGCTCCTTCCTCTTCAGCTCACCTTTAGTCTCCGTCAGCCCCTAGAAAGAACAACAAGTTGTGTTTATTTCATACTGACTACTTGTTCAGTATCTTAGCTGAACAGTACCAAATATTTTCAAAAGAAGTGTTGAAAATCCCTTATTTAACATCCATCCCTACCTCCACTCCACCTCCTCACATAAACAATCACCACTACTACTCACACCAACCAAAACTTTTTTAGAATTAAAGTTGATCTTTGACAACGTGTCCTACTTTCAAACAGAAATATCTATGAACATTTGAAATTGTCTGTTTATATTTCACTCCCTAGATGCAGTAGAACCCCCATGGTCCATTTCGTGTTAAACTCTCCACTTGTCTTTCATCCCATTCGCCCCCAGTAACTTACGTGTACAGCCTCTGAGAGAGTCTGTTCCTTCTCCATGCCCTCTGTTGTGTAGAGATCCAGCCTCATTGTGATCTCCTCTAGCTGACGACTCTGTTCTACCAACAGCTGCTGGGCCTGCTGCTCCCGCTGTAAGGCATTGTTCAGTTCCTGACACACACTCTCAAACTTATCAATGGAGACTACATCAAGGTCCTGTATGTATGAAAAACAAAAATTCAAAGGATGCTCTTGCAATCAAAATGAATAAGTACTGCTGCACATGAATGTATTCTTTCTGAGTAGTCTTCATATTTGTTAAGGTTTTTACAGACTAAGTGGTGAGTGAATGCTGTTTGAAATCAAAACAATAATTTTCTATGTAGAACAAAAATAATAAATTGCTATGTTGGAGCTTCCCCAGTGTACTGTTTTTGTTGTACCTGGCCCTTGATGGTGCTGAGTTGGTCCTGTAGCCTCTCTATGTCCTCTTTCTGTGGGAGGTCAGCACACTCGTCCTTCATACGACCCAGTTCTAGGACCAGCTGCCTCCTCTCCACTTCCACTGTGTGCAGCCTCTGAGTAAAATCCAGAATGTGGGTCTGTAGAGCTCCAAGTAACTCCTGTACAAAATCAAATACCTCCAAGTTTAGAGACTAACACAGAGATTAACATCAAAATAGATACTTAGTCAGATGTAGAGGTTGCAATCAGTATCTGCAGTTCAACTTCAGTATTTTAAACACTAATATCTGGAATACAGTACAATGAATACAGGTAATTCAAAGTGAATTTGAAGTCCTTGCCAATTTTTTTTAAGTATATATGAAAAACCCTTGACATTTTGAGTGCCCGGATATATCTCGAAGTTTTTTCTTGGTCCCACTGAGTTAAGATAACATACATGTAGTTTGACTGTATTTAAAACTGATAATCACTTTTACTACTGTACCTGAGCTGGGACCATTTGTCCTTTCTGGTCCACTGATTTTCCAACACATATTTTGCTGAGACCTCTCCCAAGAACCCTGATAAGAGAATTACGATCTCTACCACCTAAACCAGGATGAGGGGAAATTCCCTCAAACTGTCGGCACAATTTGTCCACCAGCTTGGTAAAGGAATTCCTGGCGGCATTGACAACAGCTCTCATCTCTACAGCTGATGCTGGAAAACAGAGTGAAAGATTGATTTTCTTTTTCTGAAGAAAGGATCAAAGCTTAAAAAAAATTGACACACTTTCTAAACAAAATTTTAAACTTTTTGAAATTATAAAGAAATTATAATACTGACCTTTCTCTTTGCCCTTGATCTGATCTGTGACCTCTAAAAGCTCAGACATTGAAGTGGTGGCAGTGTTTAACAGCTCTGTGCTGGACAACCATTGTAAAATGGCACTGTGCATCTCTCCAGTATTTCTTTCTTCTGTATCTCCTGTAAAGTGTAGATATATTTGTATACATGCTAGTGATGTCCATTTTAAGTTTAGCTATGTATTTTGCAATATTTGGCAAACAATAATCATACCATTTATTATCTCTTCACAGAAAGACTTCTAAACATAAATGTATTCCCTCGGACAATAAATATATCTAATTATTAAGGCAAACACAAAAAAGGTTCCCCTTTTTGATTATGAAAATAATATACAGCCTGGAAGTATGCTAAAATTCTTGTATACTACATGTAGTTAGTAGGTTCAGCCAAGAAATGGTCATATGCCTCAAGGTTGCTTATTACTCATAAACCCCCAAATCAGTTACCGCGTATATCCTAATACTAATTTACTCACTAGTTTGATTTAAGTGGTTTAAAGCTTATATTTCTGTTCAATATGTTTGTAAATAGTGTGATTTCAAATAAAATTTACTTACTTACAAAGTACAAATTAGTTATAGAACAGGGCTCGACATTAACTTTTTTTCCTACTTGTCCATTCGGACAAGTGACCAAGATATTTACTTGTCCGAACTTCAACTTTACTTGTTCGAAAATTTTTCAATGAATATGTCATTCTGTCAACTTGAAAACATCTATTACTTGAATTAAAAAATAAAACGTGCTTGATTTATAAGTGTAGTTATTATTGATAAATAAGACAAACACTTGTCATATAAAACAAAATTTTATCTAGACTTCCTGTTCTGACAACAACATAAATGTTCGCAAGTGAATCTGTTCTATCAATCAAATATAATTTGAATGTAATTTTTTTTCATTGGTACCGGACAAGCGGACAAGCATTAATGTCGAGCCCTGTAGAATACTTTATTTACATTTTTTTTTTTTCAATAAAGATTAATGATCTGCAGTATATTGAGACAGTTACCTGGGAAAGCCTTTAATGCTGATTTCACTCCCCCTGTACATACAACTATTCCATTCATATTGGATATCACTGTGTCATAAGTCACAAACATTCTGTTACAGTTCTGTCCAAAGAATCTCAGCCTATTAGCAGCCAATACAGCCACCACTCCCACTCTGAAGGTCAGCAGGGGGTGCCTCTTGGCTGGTTTCTCCAGCTTACTTGGTTCCCCGGCGGCAGCCTTCATCTCTGCACTGAGTGTGGTGACCAGAAGCTCCATTCTCTCTCTACAAAACTCCCAGTTTGACATCTGCTCCTCCAGCATGTTTCTCTGGATTGCCAGGAGGGAGGATCTGGAAAAAGTGGGATACAGGGCACCGGCCAGGAGACTGCAGGTAGCCAGCAGGGCCCGGTTCTGTTTCTGGGCTTCCATTAAGTGATTTCTCAGATCGGAACATTCAGTCTCTAACCCTTGTTGGACCGTGCCAGTCATCCTTATCTTCTCCCAAGCCTGATCCGCCATTGACTGACTCTTCTACAAGACAAAAATATCAACAAAATAATCCAATATATCAGGATAGAGATATCTTGCATACAAGTAAATCATTTTTACCAACATTCTGAAATGTTACAAAGAATAAACTAAATTAAATATAGAAAGTAAATGAACCTATAATTTCCATTTCATTAGCATTAAAAAACTTACTTTAGACCGAGACTGAATTTCATTCAGCAGTTGTGAGTAGTGAGCCTCAATTTCCTCTTTCTGTTTGTTCCAGGCAATCTCTCGTTCTTTGGTCAATGCTGTCAGTTTGTTAAGCTGATCTTCATGAGCTTTCTGCATGTCATCCAAAGCATCCTCCTTCATCCTAACAGCCTCTTCAAGATGTCTTATCTGTAATATGTAAATCATTTACTAATGAGTACATGTAGAAACATGCTCTATTTTCCTCTAAAGACACAGCTATTCCTAGCAAAATAATAAATTAAATACACAGATTTTTTATGAGTACTGACCTTCTCATCAGTTCTCTGAGCAGTGGTCACTAAGTTACACATCTGTTCATACACGAGACTAGTGAGGTCAGCCCAGGTAAACTGATGGATGGAGGTATCCTTAGGAGGCACCATAACCCGGCCGGCCAGCAGGCGCTGGTACATACCATGCAGGAAGGCCAGCTTCTCCTAAAACAGAATACAACTCCATAAATAATGTTAGTAAGATAAAGATTAAGGTGTATGTTTAACCTACATGTAGGTATGAAATACTCTAATCTTTCATTTTACCAATTTTAGACCCCCATTGAATAACCAAATTTTAAAAAAAAATCCTCGATCAAAAAGAGTTCAACTTATAACATCCCCCACCCATACAACTACACAAAGATGAAATAATTCACTGTTTTAATACTAGTTTATTTCATATTAATTTAGTAAAATCCCCTCCATTTAATTTTTTATTGAACGGCCACTGCAGTAAAGAAATGAAATAATCCTGTGTTGCAAATAGATTTTTCTTTTACCTCATCATCTGCTTTATGTCTTTTAACCAATTTCATAATCTGGAAAATAAAATGACATTGATGTTATATTTACAGAGACTGACTACAAGTACATCTATTTTTGATAAGAACTCCTGTATGATATGTCTGACCTCCTCTGACAGTTCCTGCACTCGTTTCCTGTCCTTGGTGGAGTTACTACTGGAGCTCTGTAGAGTTATTCTCATCTTGGCCATGCTGTTCTCCATCTCTGAGTACTCTGATCTCACTCGGTTCAACTCCTTGGCTGTCCTCGTGTAGTTCTTCTGAGCATCCTGTGAATATATACACATTTTAGAAACCCTATTGGAAATTCTTAATAATGTATCAGCTGTTTTTCTTGATTATTTCCATGCACTTACTTCCAGTGCTTTGTCCTTTGCCCAGATCATCTCCTTACATTGGTCAATCTCTTTATGAAGAGCATCGCTGGACTTTTTCATTTTTACAAGCTTTTCAATAGAAATAGAATTTTTGTGAGTTAAAGTTTTAAAGAATTTTTACAGATTTTGTTTCATAGATATTTACCGGTATATTGATGTTAATACATTGTACATGTATTTAGTGTACACAGTGCTTATATAGAGGTGACTCACTTCCTCTGTGGTGTCATCCAGGCGTTTCTTGTACTCAGTCAGAGTCACTCGTAGAGTCTCCAGGACAGAGGATGGGGCCGTACTTTTACTATCCTTCTTACTCTCTGAAATAAAAAATAACATCATTGAATTTCCTCATAAACCATCATGTCATTACAATCTCTTTAAAAATTTAAATAACTAGAAAACTGACCAGTCAGCAAGGGCCCCGCCATGGGGTAGAATTAATAGGGTGCAGCTTACGGAATGATAAAAAAATGTACGAAGAATAAGCAACAGCAACTGTATTCTTAAAATTTCAAGATAATTCCTGAATATTCAAAAACCTGAAAATAATATCCTTGTATTTACATTAGGCAGTAAAAAACAACTTAACATTGAATGTATATTTAAACAATTATCATGATTATGAAGCATGTGTTATATAAAATGCCAGCCTTCAATGAATGCAAATATCATGAAGGCTTGACCTTAACTTCAAACAAACAGCAGTTGCAGACAAGGGGTTTCATTAATCTTAAAGTGACAGATAAAGATAAGCCTACTGAATTTTCTGCAGCAGGCTAGATAATTAATCCCAAGGGATTAATTGTACCTCTCTCATCATTTTCTTCTTAAGTTACAATAAGAACTTTTTCAGTATTAATAGGTCGATACTTTTTTTCTCAGAACCGCTGGGTCGATAAAATGGTGTTTTTATACAACTATCCTAAAAATTAATAATATTCTTGAATTAACATAAAGTGAAAAAAGTAAATCAAAAAATCTTCTTTAATCTATTTTTTTGTTATTAGAATTCAAAGAAATCATAACTTTTAAACAAAAATAAATTATAAATATTTATATTTAAATCCACATTTCAGAGTGTTCATAGCATTTCAAATTGACTTAACTTCAAAACAAACTTCATTTGCAGACAGAGGTGGTAATTCATCTCAATTTGACAGATAAAGATAATGCTCTGGATTTTCTTCAGGAGGAAAGCTAATTAATCCCAAGGGACTCATAGAAGCATTCAGTTTACAATGGCAACATCTTCAGTAGTTATCTCTCTTTGCCACTGCTTTTGTATATAAACCACCACCCCAGCTCCAAACCAGGGGACATAGAGAACCAAACTTAGCATCAAAATATGTATTTCTGCCTACTGAACTACCATACCAAATTTGTACTTGATTGGGCAACCATAAAAAAAGTTGCCCATTCATTCTTATGCATAGTTAAGGAATCTACCCCACCACCCCAGCTCCAAACCAGAAGACATAGAGAAGCAAACTTAGCATCAAAATATGTATTTCTGCCTACTGAACTACCATACCAAATTTGAACTTGATTGGGCAACTATAAAAAAAGTTATTAGAAAAAAACAGAAAATTTGTGGACGGAAGAGTGACAGACGGACAGCTAGACAGACAGACAGACAGACGGACGGACAGACAGAGTGATTACTATAGGGCACCCGCAAATCCTTGCGGGGCCCTAATTAAATTCCTCATCAAAAAAGGATACTGTTTGACAATTTGTAATCTGTAGTTTTTCTGACCAGAAATGAGCCTGTGTGCCCCAGAATTTGTTTGACAATAGATTATCTGATGTTTTGTCACAATGGATTTAATACTGTGTGTTCCTGTAGAAGTGACTTACTAGATATTGAGGCCCGTTTGGGTTTTTCGTCCACCTGGAAGTTGTTCAGTAGCAGCTCCAGCTCCCTCATACTTCCTCCATACGTCTCCTCCAGGTAAATCTGCCTCTTCTTGGCCTGAAATCAAAAGGTAACTCATACAGTAATTAGTATAACCTTCAACAACCTGGTTCATGTTAATATCCACATGTCTAGTTAATTAAAATAAAAAAATAACAATATACATACAATTTACAAGTTACACAAAAGCCTGAAAAGATTTGCATGAAAAAACTCTTGAACAGTCAACTTCTCAATAAAATTCTCATGTTTAAAGTCTATGAATTTTTTATAAGTACACACATATAATATTGAATCTAGTACACGTACCAAGATCTATTAACACTGACCTTAGATAGCTCCTCTTTGAGCTCATTAAAGTTTTTCTGATGGACCTCCAGTTCCTTTGACAGGTTTAGTATGACGTTTTTCTTGTTCTCCACCTCTGATGTCAGCTGTCTCTTCACAGAACTATACTCCTTCTCCAGCTTATCTAGCTTGGTGTTAGTGTCCTTGTTATTCCTCCGCTCCTCCTCATATGAATGCTCCAGCTCTCGGATCTGTTTAGTGAGTCGGTCTATTGCCTTGTTAGCTTCATCATTGGCCGACTTCTCTACCTCTAAAGCCCCCTCCAAGTCCCTTACTCGAAGCTGATAGAGAATAAATCAACAGAAATTGAATGTCTGGAATAGTCTTATAACAGCGCTATTTTTGTTTTCAAAATATTACTTTCCAGTACCTGTATGATTTCCGAGTTGAACTTTGTTTCTAGATGTGCTGCCCTCTCAGCTTCAATGTTTTCCTCCACTGTACGAAGCCTCTGTAGGGACATCTACACACAAAGTAATAACGTTATTAACAGAATCTTTAATTAGTGAACTTACCTTGATTCAAGAATACTTGTATTTTAATCTTTACCATATGATATACATTCATTACAACTCAAGAACTTTATAAAACATTTATATACATGTATATCAACTCCCCTTTTCTGATACCTCTAAATCTTTCTTAAGCCTATCTTCTCTTTCCTTTGCATATTCAATTTCTGTTAAAGTTCTTCTAAGGTTTTCTGTTTGATTTTTTCTTTCACCTAAAAAAGAAAAAGAAAGTGACAGTAACTTGGTAAATAATCAATTCTATTCCTACTTTGAATAATTCTTCCATATAATTTTGTAATGAATTTACTTAGTAATTAAATACTTAATACAGTGTGTATGAAGAAAAGCAATGAAAGAAACACATGTACTTACTTTCTAGTTCTTGTATTTTTTCTGAGAACTCAGATATGGCACTGAAATAAATAGGAAATACATTGAAAACTGATTAATAGGGATGTCGTGTTATCCAGAACATTGTCTAAAACAATGACAAGAGGCTCATGGGCCACATCGCTCACCTGAGCACTGTGGCTAGGAAAAAGTAGCAATTGGTTTATTATTGAAAAGTTTAAATCCAAAAATAGTTCCATGACCAATCATGGCTTTGCTATTTTTGAGAAGATGATTTTTAAAGAATTTTCCCATATATTTCTATGTAAAACTGTGGTCGGCCATTTTGGCTCCGCCCTACCCCCAGGGGTCATGATTTGAACAAACTTGAATCTACACTACCTGAAGATGCTTCCATATAAATATGATCAGTTATGGCTTTGCTATTCTTGAGAAGAAGACTTTTAAAGAATTTTCCTGTATATTTTTATGTAAAACTGTGGTCGGCCATTTTGGCCTCGCCCAACCCCCGGGGGTCATGATTTGAACAAACTTGAATCTACACTACCTGAGGATGCTTCCATATAAATATGATCAATCATGGCTTTGCTATTCTTGAGAAGAAGTTTTTAAAGAATTTTCCTATATATTTCTATGTAAAACTGTGGTCGGCCATTTTGGCCCCGCCCTACCCCCAGGAGTCATGATTTGAACAAACTTGAATCTACACTTCCTGAGGATGCTTTCATATAAATATGACCATTAATGCCTTTGCTATTTTTGAGAAAAAGATTTTTAAAGAATTTTCCTATAACTTTCTATGTAAAACTTTGGTCGGCCATTTTGGCCCCGCCCTACCCCCGGGGGTCATGATTTGAACAAAATTGAATCTACACTACCTGAGGATGTTTCCACATAAGTTTCATCTTTCCTGGCACAGTGGTTCTTGAGAAGAAGATTTTTAAAACATACCACCAAATTTTCATTAATTCCAAATTATCTCCCCTTGAATGAGGGCGTGGCCCTTCGTTTGAACAAACTTGAATCCCCTTCACCCAAGGATGCTTTGTGGCAAGTTTGGTTGAAATTGGCCCAGCGGTTCTTGAGAAGAAGTCGAAAATGTGAAAAGTTTACAGACGGACAGACAGACAGACAGCTAGACAGACGGACGGACGACGGACAAAATGTGATCAGAAAAGCTCACTTGAGCTTTCAGCTCAGGTGAGCTAAAAAATCATAATTCCTTTAGCTAACTTCAATTGTTTAAGATGTTGTCTTATCCAGACATATGATTGTCTGCAAAATTCCTACCTACTCTGATTCTGTGTAACTGACTTCATAAAAAAGTATGCTGAATACTGTAGCTCAGTAGACATGTATGTGAATATCACACAAATATGGTTCAACTATACTGATACTCAAAGATAGTAAGGAGCTATATTACAATGAGTACAGTACTAATGTAGTATTTACCTTTCATGTTGTAAAACAAGAGAATCCAGTTTGTCTCTCTCTGCTCTCAGTATATCCAGCTCTGTGTGACATTTTGACACTGAATGATTCTAAAGAAAAAAGAAATCCACTGTCACATTTCATACTTCTGAATCAAATAATTCATAGATATCCTCTTAAGATTATTTTTATGATATTTCTGCAAACATTTACCAAATTAATAAAAAAAATAACTGAATTGGTCCACAACATACACTTATTACACCAAAATCTTTCCTCATTGTAAAGTAAGATCTTACTTTCTCCTCACTGTATAGCAAAATTTTGTTCTCCTCAATACTCATATAGATAACTATCTCCTCAATTTTCATGAAAATCTTACTCTCTCCTTATAGTTACTAAAATTCTGTCTCCTTAACGTTCACCAAAATCTTACTTTCTCTCCTCAATATTCACTGTAATCTTAGTCTCTTTCTTCAATGTACAACAAAATCTCACTCTCACTCCTCAATGTTCTAAAAATCTTACTCTCTACACTCTTAAGCCAGGCCCTGCCGTCACCAACATCCCTTAATTAGATGAGCACACCAAAATCTACCTCTTCTTAATATTCAACAAATATTCACCAAAATCTCATTTTAATCTCTCTCCTTAGTAATAAACCAAAATCTTACTCTCTCCTCAATGCTCATCTTGAGCTGAGCCTCCGTCTCTTTTGATCCTTGTTTTTCAATCTCTAACTGATGCTGGGTATCCTGCAAGTCCCTTGTCAATTCCGAAATTTTAGCTACAAAATAATCAGTCAACTTAATAAAGATTCTAAAGTCTTTTAGTTTTAAATCAGTAGTTTCTCAAGTTACTTTAATTCATATGTCCCACCTTGTAATTGGTCCTTGAAGTCAGTAAGCTTCGTTTCTTTTTCGTAGGAAGAGCTCCTTTGGTGGTTGATTTCTCGCTGACATTTTGTGAGCTCAAACTCTAGGTTTTGTCGGGTGGCCTCCCCTTTCTCCAGCTGTGACCTCAATTTGGCAACCTGACTCTCCAACTCAGAGATCTGGAAATACACATCAAGACATACTATGTCATGCTCTAGTTTAAATACCCTGTATTTCTTTATATCAGTGACACATACTACATGTACCTGAACTTTCTTATACTGTATGAATTAATGTAGTTTATGGAACTCTGCTGTCCAAATGCTTGGTTACAGTAAACTTTGTACACTGAAAAACACACACACATATATATACCTCTGCATTTGAACGAGTGGCTGCTTCAAGTCTTTCTTTCTCTACTGCATTTAATCTTCTGCGCACTTGAGACAGGGATTCTGTAATAGATATCAATGCGGTGTATTGATAGAAAACTTATGCATAAAGTATTTTCAAATCATAGATCTTCAGAAATGCTTTATGATAAAATTCTTACTTACAAAATTAGAAATTTCACTATTATTTTCAACGTTTTTAAGAATAAAAAATACACATATATTATGCTTTATTTTTTTTCGCTGAAAATATTCTGGTAGTAATATATAAATAAATCTACATTAATTAATAAACAAACTGCTTGGATCACTATCTGTGATTTTTTTTTAAATAACTAAAAATGAAATAAGTTCAGAAATCAATCAAATTAGTCCTCATCATATATTGAAGCAGTACAATGAGACCAGCTGACCTTGTTCTGACTGGAGGTCAAGGTTGAGTTGTTTGACCTGTAGGCGGAGCTGGTTGTTCTCCAGTCTGTATTTATTGACATCGTCGTTCTGTATTGGAGATCGGGAGAGTGACATCTTCCAGTCGGCAGTCACGTTCCTGTAATTATTGGAGGTGTCCTCTGGCTTAGGCTACAAAAAAAAAATAAGTCACATGAACTACAACAGGATTAGCTTAGAATAGATGCTACCTTAGTAATTGATTTAAATCATCTCACAAGTAGACGTTTTCGTTTCCATAAATCTTTTCTGTTTTCCATCACAACTGCTGTTTCTAAATTACTATTATTAAGTGACCAAATTTCGAAGAACTAATGTAAAAATCATGCAGAACTTTGTTTACTTTAAAATAGTTTACGTCAACTACCTGTAATGAGATGACTATTTGTACATTTTAGTGTCCCATAGATCTGTTTATTATTTATCACTAACTTTTGTAAAGATTTAATCTTATAAGATTACAAAATAAATATTTCAAGGTGTCAATAGCAAAGCATATCAGCTGTTTCTTATCTTGTTTATAAAATAACAACAAAAGTTTTAACACCTGTACAGTGACTTTACAATCAATGAATCATTTATCAAAGAATGTCTGACACAATATTTTCTCTCTCTTTGCCCATAAATGCACAAGTGTTTAGAGTGTTATTTGGGCACAGATCAACCAATGCTAATACTGTTTATTGACTTAAAAAATAACAGATATATAGTTAATAATTATGTAGAAAGAAAACACTAAAAAAATGCAGATGACATTTTCTTAAAATTATTAATTTAAAAAGCTCAATTGAAATTCAAATGAAGTCTATAATGTAATTTTTGCTAGTGTTAAAGGCAAAAAATTTATAAAAACATGCATTATGTTCTCTTTCAAGCAGTCAGACAATATGAAATTTTTATTTTCATGCAAAGTTAATAACAGAACCGCAAGAAAGCAAAAAAAAGATTAAAAAAAAAAAGAAAGAAAGAAGCAGTGAAAATAGCAATATATAGCTTTAATTATAATCTTTTCCCTAAAAGGATTAAACATTCTTGGCCTTTTTAATACCAGTATTTTGCAGTATGATAACAAAATATATATTGTATTGCAGTTTGTTGTTTTAATTACCGTATATACCAATATACGGGCAAAATGCTTGTGCTCTATATAAAAATAAAATGAATACGTATGTTTATGGTTGTGTCAAACATAATTCAAAAGTTTTGTAGTGCATGTATTTTGATGAATAACTGTAAATAATCAATTATAAGAATTTTTGTCGTTTATCATACATGTAGTTATATATACATTGTCATTTTGCATGCTATTTGAATTTAGTAAAATAAGAAAATACCATTTAAATTTTTCATTGAAAATATAATTGCAAATTGAATTGCAATAAATATAAAAAATACAAATATTGCAGTATATTGCTATATGAAATCTCTTGCCAATATTGGATCCGGGTCAATTAAAAGTTGAAAAGAACTGATTTTAATCAAAATAGAAGCGACTTTGTACAATAGGTACATAAGGACCCCACCCCCACCCCCAACACACACACACACACACACACACACACACACACACACACACCTTATCCAATCCACTGCTAATGTACTTAAGGTGGGTGTAATATAAATGTACAATCTGTAGGAGGTAATGATATTTTACTGTCCACATATGAAATCTATTTAAATGGGTATGTGCAGCATTGGCCATTATCTGCCCAGAAATTAAACTTTGGTAAAAACAAAACAAAACAAAAAAAAAAAAACTACAATTTCATGTACATGTATATCTAATGTGGGAAAACATTTTTGGTCATTATTAATAATTAAGATATGAATATAGTAAAAAATTATGCATATGAAAATTTGGTCAGGAAAAGGGGGTGGTTTGGTTGTGACATTACCACAAACAGTCTGGTCAATATGATTCAACAGGTAATAAAAGAAACTTTAAGAAAACTTCATGCTTTCAGAGAGAGAGAGAGAGAGAGAGAGAGAGAGAGAGAGAGAGAGAAAGACACATTTTTAACTTTGTTTCCAGATATGATAGAACATCTTTAAATTATATCTCACATTTTACTTATATAATCATGCCAAAAATATCCAAATGATACAGTCTGCAGAATCAGATGTTTAAGGATACCATAAGCCACACATATGATATTACAACACTGAAATAAATATTGACTTACCCTACCCCTGTAAAAACTACTTGATGGTGGGAAAAGGCCTCCAAAGTACTGTCCAAATATGTTACAATACATGTATGTAGATTTTTTTTTAATTTTAATGAAACAGAATATTCAGTTCACATTGAATGTTCAAACATAATGATGTAATGTTGTAGTAATGGTAACTGAAGACCCATTTGCCCATATTATGATTGGGTTACTTTATTTGTTCTACTAAATGCATTTCAATCAAATTGTCTTAGCTGTATGTCAAGTTCAGACAAAACCTGAATACACTACTAATGTTACTAGGAGGAGGATGGGATTACAAGTTTATAGAAAATACTACATGAGTTAAAACTTTACAATTTCTCAGGCCAACAATGAGAAATGAGCAAAAATGTTGGCCAGGTATCCTCCCTTTTTAAAACATAAATCGACAGTTGAACTTTGAGCCGGATAGTTTGTTGATCAAACCAGAATACCAAATACCTGATAATAGTATACATGTATTGTGTACTCATAACCTACCAACTGCTCATTGGAACTTGGGAATTCTTCTTCCTCTGCATTTGTGCTTTCCTGTGAGTCCTGTCCTTCCATGTCTCCCAAAAGCTCAAACTCATTTGTGGGGCTTTTTACTTCCTCCATCTTGCTAATAAACGCAAGACGTGAATGTTGATTTATTTATCCTTTGAATAGTCAATTATATCTAAATGTGCATTAGGAATGTTGTATGATTTGCTGTAACTTGTTGTGAACAAGTGGCTGTAATGTTTTATGCAAACAGTGGTGGTATATAGCTAGCATTTAATTTTTCAGAGAAAGATTGGTGTTTATCCTTTTGATATTTATATGTAACATTCACAGCAAGCTATAGCCGAGTAATATTCTATTCAGGCATTCACATAATACATTCTTCAAACAGATTGAGACAAAAATACCTATCTTATTATAATGGCCTATTCGAATAAAATATCCCAATAATTATATTTACAATTAACTTGCAAGAAGATGGGTAATTGGTTTCGTTTTTTAATAAATCTACATCGTACTCAGCAACTTTTACTATGTGTTTCTTTAACCCTTCATCTTGCAAGATTGATTCCTTTGTGGTGCTATCCTAGAGTCTGACAAAAACAGTAGCCTAGCCAGGGACCTATAGGCCCTATACTATTATACTATAAGTGTAGTATATAGGTTCCTGGCCTAGCTGCAGATCGAAAACTTATTTACCAGAAGTTGTAGCTGTTCATGATTTTCCCAAAGACCATATGGATTTACGCTTTAATTACATAAACATTCTACATTGCATATACCGTAAATATATATCCCATTTGGGATATTATATCCAAAACGGGTTATTAGGTCCTCTTTCGGCAAATTTGTCCCAACCTGTCTATGGTTCCAAACGTTAGTATCAAATGTAAATAAGCGACGCATGATTTGCATATGCATGCACAGAATAAATGACTGAACATTTAAAATGAAATTTCTACTGGGTTAAAGTAAACAAGAGCTGAAATGTGAGAAAATAAAACCTTATTGCTGTTACAACTTATTTCTGTAGCCCCCTGATCGCCATATTGTTTACAACTGCAGATACGGACTGATAAGAATAACGCCTGTTGATTGGATAAAATTCAAAATCTGCATTACCCGCGAAAACAAGTTCAAGCAGCTGCATAAGCATCGTCGCAAGACATGGTTTTGTGTTCTTAATTCAATCTAAACGAATTTCACAGATCTTCAAAATATCATGAATGTAAAATTGATTTTTGAATTGATTTTCGCTAATTAAAGATAATAAATTGGAAAACCAAGAAAAATTTCATTTCAAGTTAATATGCTCTATATTCATGACTAGATGTCAGTATATAATGTATGATAGTGTTGTCAATAAATAAATGAAATTGAATAAACGATGTCACAATTAAAAATACTTTCACTTACATTATTTTTTTTTAAATCCATAACTACATGAACTACTTAATTCCCTTGGACTGTTGAAAGAGGACAATATATGGACCTTCATTTGAACAAACTTAAATTTCCCTTTATCCACCGATGATTTGTTGCAAGTTTGTTTTTAAAAATGAAATAATCATAAATATAATTAAACAAATAAATATTTTGAATAACATATACAATATCTTATGAAAATCACAATTGTCATACCCATCTCAAATTGGAGTTACCAACTTCAAAGTTGAAAAAAACACTATAAAGTTAGAATTTCACCTGGAAGCTATAGGTCAGTTCCATTTTCGAATAATGTCGGGTACAAAAGATGTTTGTAAATTAAGTTCTTGTCTGGTGATTGGAACCTACAATTGTAGCTTATAATTTTCACATTTATATATTTTTTCAGTTAGGGGGAATGATTCTGGGACAGGTTATTAACTAAGTAGTATGACGGAGTTTGTCTAGAGGTTCCCACCCTGCCTCTAAGTATAGAGAGATTCTTCAATGCTAAAATTGGTAAACCTGTAACTATTCTATTCGGCCATATCCATGCGCGGATCTATAGCCCCCCCCGGAATTTGCAGAGTAAGTGACATTGGAAACCCCCTTCCAGAAAACGCAAATGCTTCCTTGAAAAGAGGATCTTTACGTGATAAGTTGGTATAAAAATCCTAGGTATGACTCTTTGAAAAGTCAACGAAAACCCACCCCCCTCCTCTCCATTTTTTTTTTTTTTTTTGCTTGTCAAGAAATATCTGGGTTGGAATTTTTGGGGAACCGGAGTGACCCCCTCCCCCCCCCCCCCTCTCTCTCTGCCCGGGAAAAAATCCTGGATCCGCGTCTCATATCAGATTAAGTACAGTTGTCCCAGACTACGAAAGCATAATTCAACAACTGGTCTAATAAATGTGATGTACATTTTAGATATTTTTTTCTTCTGTACATGTCAAGAGCGGATTTAAATACTTAGTTTTAATACATGTAAGACGGCATATATCATTAAAAAAAAATAAACACAGGTCTGGTTTTTTTTTTTATCAAAAAAGATAAATTACGTGATAAAATTGCACTTACTGTCATGTCCATAAATTCTGTACAAAATTTACACATATTATATAATATTTCATGGTCGCATAAAAGGAAATAGAGCACATTGACTGTTATTTTACTATAAACGTACACGAATCTGGATAAATATAATGAATGTACATAATGAATGAAAAAGATTAAGCATTTTTTTTCGGTTACAAATCAGATATTAACATTTTAGGGGGTGGGGTCTATATTGCAATACATCTTTTATACCTATCAATCACAATGAATAATATGAGAAGGCAATGTAATTTATGTTACTGAGTAGCAACTCTTTGCATGTAATAGCTTGATTATTTTGTACTCCAACTGCACAATTGCTGATACAAGTGTTACAGGTACTCAAGTAGCGTACTTCCAATATGATTCAGAATTTTTGTAGATATGTTTGTACACGTAAACTGCATTTTTTTTTCTTTCTATGTATACATAGATATCAATTGTTTCAGAGTATTTATTCCAATATTTGCGCCACAGCCGACTATAACCACACGTTTCCCCATAAATCTCCCAGGATTCTTCATAAAAGCACCCAGAGTCATACCAGCTGCCCCCTCAAACACCTGTACGGAGAGTCCATAAATTTAGAATGAAATAAACATCTACATGAAATGTCTCTAAAAATATGCTATATTAAGGTACAATTCAGTAAGATCGTCAGCCTGTGTTACCATATTCAAAATCACAAATACTATTATACCTTTTGATGGTGCTGTAACATGTACACAATTGCTTTTCCTATTTCTTCTTCTGTGACCATTATCCAGTCGTCAACGTATTGATCACACAATGGGAATGTTACCTGAAAATGTAAAAAAAAAAAAAAAATTGAGCTTGACAAAAAAAAAAAACAAACGTTACAAACAAACCAAAAAACGTTAAACAAACAAACAAATATATCAATAACATTTACAAAATATGTACAGGAAAGGGTATAATTTAATTTATTACTCAACAGGTACGTAGCATCGGGAGGGGGGCTCCCTTTTTTTAGGCATACATGTACATGTAGGTTTTTTGACAGGAAATATTAATTCATTGAAAGTCTGCATGGTTACCCCCTCCCCCACTTTTGGTTGCAATATTGTCAAATAACGGTAATATAAGTGGGTAATGGTAATGCAGAGTTTAAGTAAACAGTTTGGTACTAAAAGAAGTTGGAACCTACACCCCCACCCCACTACCGAATACCCCCCCCCCCCCCCGGCTCTCATTATCCTCCTCACGATTTTCGAGATTGGACATTTTCCTTTTATTTTTTTTGCTTGTCAAGTTTTCAGAGGAGTTGGGTTTTTTTTCGTCTGCCATCATTATGCAGTCTAGTACTCCAGTGATTTGTAACACCGTAGAGTACACAAAAACCATCGCTCAATGCTCATAATTTTATTACTAGATTTTAGATTTCAGATTTTATTAAAACCAAGAGACACACACATCTCATAGGAACATAATACATGTAATACATATGTTACACAGTAGGACAATTCATATGAACAACATAAATAATGTATAGTATTAAGTATGTATGAATAAAGCATTTGTAATTCTAACAATTCATTTCTTACTTTGTTTGCAAAACATATATATTTTCCAAGATTACATATTTCCTTAGTATTTGAACTTGACAACAATTGCATTAATTTAAATACACTTGGTCTAAGTACAAAATAGTTTTTATATATATATATTTTTCCTCAAATTGACATATTTTGGACATTTAAGTATAAAATGAAATTCTTCTAAATCCCCCATACCACATAAATCACATTTGCTAAAACTTAATTCCTACGTGTAATCATTGTATCTCCCTCTTTCGATATTTAAGTCATGAGCACAAACTAAAAACCCTACCGAGTTTTCCTCCACTCCCCCTGCCGTGCCCTCAGAAAGAGTGTCCAATGATTCCTCGAACACGATCCTCCCTGCCTTCACACTCTCATACATTACCTTGGAGTTCTGTGGCTGGCACCCGATGATCTGAATAACAACAAAAATACTCGTAGAAAGTATTTTGAAGAGCAATATTAAAGTTATATGAATTATGTTTAGTATCGAACTAGTTATATATCTAAAATTGTTTCAATTTAAGATTACCTCAACAGATGGCTTTACTTGCTTGATGTATCTGGCTATTCCAGCTATCAATCCCCCTCCCCCAACTGGGACCAAAACGCTGTCCACATCAGGAAAGTCCTCCAGAATTTCTATTCTGCAATTAATCACGATTTCCAACTAATTAAACGGTCATAATATACACACACGATGATAAGATGATCAACTCACCCAATAGTTCCTTGCCCTGCAATGATGTCAAGATCGTTGTATGGAGAGACGTATTCTGTATTTTGCCTCTGGAGAGGAGAAAAATATATCAAACAAAACTTTTTAAAAATCTTCAAAGTATTATAAATACATAATTCGTTGCATACACCTATATTCTGCTTCAATACAGTAATTCTAAAAAATGTAATCATTTTCAAAATAATTACTTCAGCGCTTGACCTAGCCTCGTTTTCGGCTTCCACACAATCATTCCCATGCAGCACGACACGCACTCCTCTATCTTGTAAGGCAGTCCTTTTATGTTCGCTAACATCCTTATAACAGTATACTGTGATTGGAATTCCCAGTTTCATCCCCGCCTCAACCTTTAAGTTTAAATGAACTTCCTTCATGATCATCTTTTCTACAGCTATAACCGAAGGCGAGGACCCGCGCTCCTCAGCTTCCTCTCCATGAAATGGGAGGAGCAGCGGATAGCAACCCTTGGCTATACATAAATAGCGAAGACGTTTGAATTCAATTTTTTCAAAAAAGAATCTCAAGGGAAAGAGGTCTTGAATTCGGTCCATGAATAAGGATTACAGCTGTTTCATAATTAAAGCACATTTATTTATGGTGTGTGTTTGAATAATTTTCTTGTTATTATGACGAGGGGGAAAAGACTGAATAGCCCTATCTCATAAAAAGACATTGAACCATAATTTTGTTTGGTCATTGCTAGATAATTACACAGGCCATTCCATGGTTTCCAGAGGATGCTGTGATAATCCCCCTTTCTTTGACTATGTCACTTTCAGACGACATCTTCAACAACTTGTTGAAAGCACCACGTATTTTGAATGAACCTGTCAATTGTTCAGTTTCTGAAAGAATAAATAAAGAATTAGACTTGGAGTGGTTGATTGTACGTTGTTTTAAGTCCCACTCGACAATTTTCACTCACCATTAACCGGTGAAGGGCTTTAAATTTTGATCTTAACTCGACACCCATGGCCAGTGAGGGATCTTTATCGTTTCTTAAGAAACCAACAACTCAGACCCTTTCACCTTGGAGTTTGACCTACCTTTCAAAAATTTATCCTCGACTTTAACTTTTGAACAGGTGGAGCTAGGGATTTTGTATTTCACAATCGTTTTTCTTGTAAGAAAAACCCTACTTTGGGTAATAATATATTTAATTTGCATTAAGAAAAGTTTAATCTTCCTTATGTTGCCATACGGGGTCATCAGTGTTTCACAAACACATCTTGTTCCTAAAATATTGAGAGGAGATAGGGCTTTCACATTTGACATGTGCATTACCTCTGACAAGATAATTCCGAGCATGCTATGATTTCTCACCCCTTGACCTTGACCTTCACGATTGACCTTATTTTTTTTTCTATTTATTTATTTATTTTTTTTTTATATATAAAATCAACTTCAATGATAATTTTTAAATAAATGACATATGATAGAGTGTTCATATTAGACACAATATGTCAAAGACACCGAAAGCGGGGGACCACAATTCTTCGATCTGTTATTTACCAATCATGACAAGTAGCACACGGCAGGTGTGACTGTTGTCGGTAGGAGATGCTCACTCCTCCATGGCACCTGATCCCACCTTTGATGTTTTGGGGGTCCGTTTAATTGCTCTGCTCCAATTTTGTATTGTTTTATGAACTTTTGAGTTTTGAGCCCGAGTACTGCATGTTAGTTATCTCCACAGGCGCGGATCCAGAAATTTTTCCCAGAGGGGGGAGGGGTCCAACCCAGTACCCAAAAAAATTTCAACCCAGAGATTTCTTGACAGAAGGGAAAAAAAGAAACCTTAACTCGCCCAAACTTCAAAAACCTATTTCGTGGGGTGGGGGTAGTCGATGACTTTTGACTTTTCATACCACTTTAATTAATACAAATTCGCGTTTACCGGGGGGGGGGGGGGGAGGCTGTGTTTTCCGAGGGGGGTCCAAGTTAACTTGTTTCTTGCTTTTGTATATAAATTTGATAACCTTGCATATTCCACGGGGGGTGGGGGGGTGGTCCTGACCCCCGACCCCCCCTCTAGATCCGCGCATGCTCCATATATTTCATCTACTATATGAATTATTTAAAATGTGTTAAACTGGCACTCCGTAGCCCCAAATAAACAAAGATATATTAATACCGTTTATCATTCCATGGGGGTCTCCGATTTTTAATATGTAGGTTTTTACAGTTAACGCTTGTGATGAAAACTTATTTTTTGACGTACCGAGTTTGATTTTTACTTTGCTGTCACTAGCTAATTTGCTGAGTGGGCGTGAAAACATCAGGGGTGTTTTGTAAACATATTGCTTGATCCGCCAATGTGCTTCCAACGTTTTCTGTACCAGATCCTCCATTGCCTCCACTAAAAACCTGAACAAATAGCATTTTGACAATATGAGATAAATATTAGCTAAGAAATGGACATGTATTTTCCATATCAAAGTGGCACTACCTCGAGCTGCATTTCATTTACTCACCTAGCTGTAAACTAGGTAAAGATGCCGTACGTATACTTACAGGTTGGACTTTGTAAAGGGTTTCCAAGTTCCGACAAAAAGAAGAAATTAATTAAAATCAGCTGGTTAAACCGTTGAGTTCGTATTTCTGATTTCCAAAACTCAGGAAAAAATCCAGGATTTGATAACTAAGGGGAAAAGTTAGTGCAACAAGTACATGTATGTTCTGTGACTGTTTTTGTCCGATCTACCTTGTGTGTCGCTCATCGGATGTGAACTTTGAACATATAATTTCAAATTCTTTTCATTTATAGATTACTGAAACAATTTCAGCCAATTTTGAAATGATCGTTGGTGAAGGGGTATATAAAATACCATAATTTCTTCGAAAAATCAAAGGGAAAAAGTCTCCTTTTCTGTCCTGGGTATTTAACAGACAACCTAGACTATATATAGTCTAATACACGATTCTGTTGAGCTAGATATCTTTTCAAAAAGTTTGAAATTCATATTTAAACCTCTGGGTTAGAGGTAATAATTGTAATGGGAGGCCTTTTAAATGCCTATAGTTACAACTTAATGCATTACTTCTTTGAAAATCGTCTTTTCTGTCATTGGATACATGTCTTGCGCGGATCTAGATAAGGGGGGTATAAAGGTCAAGGTGTGGGAGATGAGAAGGGTACTCCAGAACTAATGTCCTATCTAATCCACATTAGGATAGTGATAAGCGGGGTCAAGTATGTAGGAAATGTTACATTATATATACTCAGGTGACCATTAAGGCTGTTTGATTAACCATTTCTAAATTAATAAATTAATCCGATAGATCCGAGGCGTATATTTTTTTCGTCCTGTCTGGCTGTCTGTCTGTCTGTTTGTCTGCAAACTGTAACCTTCGCCATAACTTTTGAACCATGAATGGTTGAGACTTCATAATTTGCATGCATACTCTACTAATTAAGCTCTTTCAAATGACCTTGTGACCTTGACTATGACCTATATGCTAAAATAGTTTTTTTTGCAAGCTTTAACCTTCGCCATGAATTTTGAACCATAAAATATACATGTATAGACTTCATCTTTTGTATGCATACACCACTGATAAATCTCTTTTAAATTACATCACGGTCATTGACCTTGTGACCTTGACTCTGACCTATACGCTAAATATTCTTTTTTTGTCGGCAAACTTTAACCTTCGCCATAAATTTTTAACGAAGAAAGATAGAGACTTAATATTTAGCACGCATACTCCACCAATTAAGCCCATTCACATGACACCAAGGTCAATGACCTTGTGACCCTGACTGTGTCCTAAATGCTAAAAATACCCGTCTTTTAACTATGAGAGATAGAAACTTTATATCTGGTATGCATACTTCACTAATCAAGTTCTTTCAAATGACACCAAGATCAATGACCTTATGATTTTGACTGTGACCTATATGCTAAAAATATGGGTTTTTTTTTAATTTGTTGCCGCCGGGCGCATAGTCTTTCACAAACACATCTTGTTTTTATATGTGCAATTATACTCTGTGCAATGATGTTTAATTTGTAATTTTGCAATATTTGTAAATCCCCTATTTTTTGTAAATAATAATCTACGAAAACTGATCATTAAAAAAAAACACTGCATTAATTAAAAAAATCTTTTCTTTAAAATTTCTTTAAATCTTTCTCTCTTTAAATTTTATTGTCACCCGCTTTTGCGAAATCGAGGAAACATTAAATCTTATTCGTCTGTCCGATTTTCCGTCCGTCCTTCTCTCCGTCAGTCTGTCCGTCCGTCACAAAAACTTCAACCTTGCCCATAACTTTTGATTAAGTGGAGCTATGTCTTTCATAGTTCACATGTGTATTCCTTGTGACAAGACCTTTCTTGATACCACGAAATTTGACCTTATTACCTTGACCTTGGAGTTTAACCCACTTTTACACAAAAAATTTTAACTTTTACTTTGGCCATAAATTTTGAAAGGTAGATACTAGGACTTTCATATTTCACATATGTGCTCTTTATAGCAAGACCTTTTATTGGATTCCAACAACTTTGACCTTTTGACCTTGGAGATTTCTGTACTTATGAAAAAACTTTAACGTTGGCCATAACTTTTAAACGGTAAGGGTCAGGGCTTTCATACTTCACACATATAATCCTTGTGATAAGACCTTTCATTGAATAACAAGCACTCTGACCCTTTGACCTTGGAGTTCTCCCTACTTTTAAAAACTTTAACCTTGGCCATAACTTTTGAAGGGTTAGGGCTAGGGATTTCATACTTCACATATTAATCCACGTGACAAGACCTTTCATTGGATATAAAGAATTTGATCTTTTGACCGTGACCTTGGAGTTTTACTTACCTTTTAAAACTTAACCTTGGCCATAACTTTTGAACGGTTAGGGCTAGAGCTTTCATACTTCACACATGTAATACTTGTGACAAGACCTTTCTTAAAACCAACAACTTTGACCTTTTGAGCCTGGAGTTTGACCTACCTTTCAAAAACTTATCCTTGGCCAAAACTTTTGAACAAGTGGTGCTAGGGCTTTCTTATTTCACAATCGTATTTTTTGTGAGAAGACCCTTCTTTGGGTAACAAATTAATTAAATCTGCAATTGAAAATGTTAATCTTCGCTATGTTGCCATACGGGGTCATCAGTATTAGACAGAAAAGAGATGGGGATTTCATATTTTGATATGTGCATTACCTGTGAAAAGATATTTCCGTGCGTGCTATGATTTCTAACCCTTGACCTTGGCCTTCACGATTGACCTTATTTAAAAAAATCAACTTCGGTGATAATTTCTAAATGACATATGATAGGGCGTTCATATTTAATTGAGACAATATGTCATAAAAAATGACATCTCACCCACAAAGACACCGAAAGCGGGGGGACCACAATTCTATGGATTTGCTTGTGTATGGATAAACATATATGGGAGGCGGGGATATCATTTCGTGAGCTGATTGCTCGCAGTACCTTTATTTTAGTGGTTTAGGATTGGGAAGGGGTGTTACAAGGAAAATTATTTTGTTATTTTTATACCCCCGTCTGTCTGTTACGCTTTGGGGTACCCATCTATCAATCTCTTATCCGCAACTCCTCTTTTACCACAGAATGAAATTTAATGAGACTTTTAAAGAATCTTTGTTATATAGTGCCATTGTTCACCTCTTATTTTACTTTTTGATCTGACTCATAGTTTGGGTTTCCCATAGCAAAACATGGACTTTACCATTTCAATCATATAAGAGTTGGCGGGTGGGGTTGGGGGTATCATTTAGTGAGCTCACTCAGTGCTCACAGTACCTCTACTCTTGCTATTTGAGTATAGAATATATTTTTCAGCATTTTCAAGATCAGATTACTGCTAGAAATCCCCCCCAGCCAGTGTTTCTCCTAAGTCCAAGAACAGTTTTTTTTGTAGGGGGGTTTTTATTTGTTCAATACAAGGACCTTGGGTTATGTTAAGATAAAAACAGAGAATCCATGAGATTAACAGTTGGTAATGATTTATGCAGACTTTCCCAGATACAATGATGTTTCAGAAGTGTTTACTGATTCATTACATACACTTGCATGTATATGATCACCATCCCCAAATACAGTAATACATGCATATAGCAAACATGCATATAATGAACTGACACTTATAAGGCCATCCTTAAAAAATTGTTTGTTTGGAATTGCCGCCTGAAGGGTTTCAGACACAGGAGGGAGGGAGGGAAATTATTTTATTTTTTCAAATTGAAGATAAATTAAAAATTTTTGATAAAAATCTTAGTATAAAGTAAATACATTTTCTGACTTTTAAAAAAAGTTAATACCATCAACAAAAAATCCTAATTTTACATAGATCTGACACTATCTTTCGGTGTTTTGTATGGTGCATATGATACATGAATAATGGGCAAAAAAATTGATTACCGGGTAAATAAAAAAAAAAAAAAATCTTCCTTCTTTTGGTCAATAAAATTTTTTCAGTAAGGGGGCATTTCAATGAGGCGGGAGGCAATTCCAAACAAACTATAATTTTATTTTGGCCTAATGAAGTGATTTTCATTTTTCCAAGGGTTTTAAACATACATGTATTGTGAAGCTCACAGATATAAAGACTTATTGTTTCAAGGAAGCAAAATTGCCTGTTTCTGGCACTTCGTTATAACTGTGTGTAACTGTACACCGACCCAGTTTATTCCCTGACAGGTTTTCACCTGTCACTACCAGGGCACAGCACACAATATAGCTGAAAAGGACTGGCCAGAATTTGATCTTGGGGTCCGTTTTACAAAAGAGAACTTACGACAAAGTCCTAAAACTCTACTTAAAGTTGATTGTAAAACTTTGCAACATTGATGATTGAGTTTTTAAATTTAATGCAAATAATAAAGTTATTATCTGAATAAATTTTGGTCTTTAGTCATAAGTTCTTTTGTAAAATGGGTCCCCGAACTGCAAATCAGATGCTTTACCCACTGAGCAATCTGTTCACAGAGCCATTAGACTCCCCCTGTCTTTATATCTAAATAAACAAAATCTGAAAAAATAAGTTTATTTTGAATATTTTCAAGTTTGTCAATCAGATTCATATATTTCTAACAATTAATGTTCATTGTCCAGTAATACAAAGTTCCTGATCACATACTTAACTGTAATGCATCAGATAAAGTTCGTTTACATGCTTCTGGTACATCAAGTTTTATTATATTTTGTAACTGCCTTTCCACATACTCTAGGTTCACATGCTTTATAAGTATCAAACACTGTGTGCTCAATTCCTCAATATTGTGAATGAGTTCAAAGTCGTACTTATCCTTATCAGATACATCAATTAATAATTTCACCAAGATTTTCAAAATAAAATCAACATAACGAGGCATTCGTGGCCAAGTAGCTATAATCACTGACTTCAGCAGTCTAAGAATCTGTGGTTTAGCTGAGTGTCTCTTTCCGTCATAGACTTCTAAGTACTCCTCAATGACTTTAAAGAGAAGGTTTGTGTGTCTTAGTGTAAGGAGGCCAAGTTTCTCTACAAAGAAGGTCAAATGTCCAGTAAGAGCAATCCGCAGGGTCAGATTTTGTTCTCCATAGGCATCTGTAAGGATGGTGTGGAAGATTTCATCGTACTTGGTTGGTACTCTTTGGATTCCCTGGGGATCAGTGCAGTATTGCGGATCCTTTTCCACCACTGACAAAATGTATAGCAGAGCTGGGTGTAGGGTATCTATGAGTTTAGCCTCCCTGGTGTAGAGCTGATGTTTCAAAGCCTCATAAATAACATCAGCTTGTCCATACCATCTCAGCTCTTCCCTGCTTGTGTTCTGCATTATGTGATACAGACAAGTTACACCTAAAATTTTGTTTTCTAACTCATGGTCATCAATGAACAAAAGAGCTGTGGGAAGAATCTTTGGGAAAAGTTCACTCATATTTGGAAATTTTGTATGAAGTAAACACCACTGATAAACCACTTTGAGGGAAGGATAGCACATCCAGGAATCCCGCCTAAGTTTCTCATTCAAGTGTTTAAGAATAAAGAAGACCACAGAAGAAAGTTGACTTTTTGAAATTTTGTATTGCAGCAGCTCTTCATTGTTGTTGACATTTAGTACATCCTTGACCTTGTCAAGCATTTCCTTTGATAAAACTAAGGATGCACTTGATGTCCACAGATCTGGATGCTGGTGTTCAATAACAAGAATGAGAAGGTTAGGTAAAGCTTTTGAGACCACTGATTTCATTTCTTCACATTCCTCATCAAGGTACATTTTGCTTAATAAAGACTTTAAAAATTCAAGAACAGATTCTGCTTTTTCTGCAACATTTAAGAAATCTTTCTTTTCACATTTTCTGTGTTGAAGATCTCTAACATAAGGAACACAGCCTTTTAAAATTAACTGTTCTAATAGGTTCTCGGCACTTGATGAGATTTTGGAAACTTCAGACACATAGTTTTTTATCCATTCTGCCTGTGCTAAGAAAATTAATTTTGATAAAATCTTGAAATATTCCAGAAAATCTCTGCCTTGAGTGTTGACAATAACTCTTATTAGCTGCTCCAGGCTGTTTGATGAACTGGAGAAAACATTCTGTGCTCCAACAGTTTTCTCCAAATCATGTTCCAAAACTAGACTCTCAAGCAAACTCTTAGCTGAAGACATGTCAGGACTGGTTTGTGCAATCTTAAAAATGGAAATAAATTATTCTTTAAAGTTAGTTTTATAAACATTGAAAATATTGTCTAATAACATGATAAAGCACAGGAAATTAATTCCATCACTGAAAAAAGTAGATAAGGCAAGTAATGAACAGCTACTGCCTAGGACACAGTTTTACAAATTTGAACTTTCTTTAGACTACATGGACTAAGACCAAAATGTTATTACTTTACATTAATATTTTGTGCGCAATAAATATAAAGTTTTTCTTTCAATGGGTAGCACTGTAGCTCTCTGGTCTGCCATTGAATATATATTTTTTTCGGAGAGCTACAATTATGCAGCTACTGATAGTACGTGCCTCCAACTAAAAATGGCAAACAAGGTAAGTAAAGCTATATATTTAATTCAAGATATGTAGATAAATCTAGTGATTGTACAGGGAATTTGTACCATCTATGCATACCTGATGAACAGGTCCAGCACAATACCTTGATAAAGGATATAGCTAGATAAAGCTATACACCTTTATCAAGATATTACAAATACCTTGATCAAAATATTTTATGTAAAGAAAATAAAAAAAAATCTTAAAAAATCAAATTCAAAAGTTGAATTATGAGTTGTGGTCAGTGTGTTCACTCGTGCATGAAAAGTACTCGGGTTAGTTAGAATAATCTAACTGTGTCTCGGGACAAGCCCTCACCACAGTTAGAATACCACCCATATACTCGCAATGTAGCAAAAAATTGCAGAATCACTCCGAAACGATTTTGAAGGATACAAACGGATTTGCACTGAAAATAACTTATAAATTAATCAAAACAAACCTTTTTGGGGCTGCGTAAGTATTTAAACCTAAAGTTTAGTCTAAATAAAGACGAAAATTCAACTAATTTTCTCAACGTTTTTTCTTGCTTTAAATTTACACGCCATGTTTATGTTCAGAGCTCTCTTGCTTGTTCATAGTAAGTGCACTAGTATGACTTATAGCCTGTGTTTACTTTGCTACATTGTGAATACACGGAACGCATTCTATCATTAAACTGGGTCCGTAGGACATTTATCATTTTAACGATAGAACATTCTATCTATACTCGGGTATACAGGGCTCTCACACCCATTTTTGGTACTGGGGCCGGGGCCATTGAAATTGGGAAAAAAGCGATGTTTTTATAAAAATTGGGAAATTTGTACCAGTCATAATTTAAACTCTTACATTATTATCTTGCTCTTAGTAAAAATATTTTTTTTTCTACATTGACAACAGTACTGCAGGGATCAAATTTAACTTTTTGACCACTGTAGCAAATATCAGCAGATTTAATATTTTACTATCAAATTGTAATATTGAACTTTCACTAGCATTTTTTGTCCTCATAGTGATTCATACAAGATTTCAATAATCTATAAAAAAAAGATAATAATTTACCTCTTGGAAGCATTTAGGCCGTTTTATTACAGATTAAATCTGAACAGATAGCCTACAGAGTAAATGAGTTGTGTAATAAAAAAAATCATCGTTATAAATTTAGAATTAAATCATTAAATACACTGGGAATATATTTTTTTGGAAAATTACATAACTTTTTTTATTCAAGTTGATTAAGAGATCGTAAATAATTTAATGGAATAAATAACGTTACATTGTATTTACGGAGTGGAGGAAATTCGGATTAAAAAAACGATCGTTCGTTTTAGGTCTATGGTTTTTGGAAGTAAATAAGTCAGGTAGTGTTGCAAAATGGATAAGATTATGGAGATCTATAAACTGTAGGAGCATGGTACCTAAGTTTTTTTAATTGCTAGGGAATCTAATAGCAAAACAGTGAATAAAATAACTGTAGGCCTAGTGCTTCTCATTCAGTCTTGGTAATCTGAATTTCTTTAAAGACCTTTTTTCTCACAAAAGGTGGCGACCACAGGTCGCTTTTAACTCAAAATTTTTTATTTTAATTCTCATTTAAAGAGTATTTTCCATTAATTTCGAGCCCTGACATCATAGATCTTTACATTCTTCGACATGTTGTGAATGAACAAGTCGTACCTACTTTACTACAGACGACTTTCGTTTTCATACTAACTGGTTCCAGCATATAAACAAACTACCAGTTCATAACACGAACGTGTTTCCTTCACATCTTAACAGTGCTTTTACGACTGTCAAAGATATGCTTTTTTTGTTACAGTAATAAATTTGAAGCAATCATACATTAGGAATTTTTACACTTAAATTTGGGAAAAAAGGTACCTTTTTCACGTTGGGAATGGGGCCGAATATCGGCCCCAATTTTAGAGAATCGAGAGCCCTGGTATAAAAAAGACAGCATAAAAAAATGTCTCCACAAATGACATCCTTTTATACTGATTTCTTTGTGCTTGAGTACTTTACCTGCATGAGTGAATTTACTGACACAACTCAGAATTCGACTTTCACACAGTATTTATTTTTTTTAGAATATTTTTTGAATTTTCACTACATAAAATACCTTGATCAAGCTATATAGCTTTAAAAGGATATTGTGCTGGACCTTATGAATTTATTAATCAACACATGACCAATATAATGTCTTTCATTTGCTCTTCAAACATTGGAAATGAAAAAAAAATATATGTTTACAAGTCACAAATGCACATCTGAAATAACAAGAATTAATTTCATGTCAAGTATGTAAATACTGACCATATACCATGTATCCTACCACTATACACTACACGCTAACAGTATAAATCATGATAAAATAAATGATTCACACACACCACACACAGTCATTCGAGTCCCGCAAAGTGAAAGTAGGGGTGAAAATTTAGTCAATTCGTACACAGTCAATTTTGAAACGAAGCGAAAGTAAATTTGCATGATGCACAAGGAAGTAAAAAATTGCAATAAATGGATAAAAAACACTCCATGTAATGTTTTTTTTGTTCGTGATAAATTGAATATAAGGCAGAAGCGTAAATTATGTCAAAATATTAATTTGGTTGATTGGGATTCATCGAACGATTTACTATGATTCTTATGACGTCATCACTCAACGACAAAACATGGCGGAGGCTGCTGTTGAAGAAAGTAGGACTGAATCAAATAAGTTTTACTGCCATAGCTGTTCCGAAGAAATTGACCCCAAACCTGTAAGTATTAAATCATAATGGAATGTACGTGATTCCAGAGACATTTATTTCCTCTGTGTTTGATAAACTGAGAAAATGGCTGTTGTCCTAAGAGGTTACACGACATTGCCATTTCTGCGAAGTAGTGTAATTTGCGACATTCTGTGACAGTTCAAGTGTATACTTTACTATTTTTATTTTTAAATTAAATATTTTGTAAAGTGTTAACGTATACATACTGTATAAAATGGTTTGAGTTAGAAAGGTCTAACAACAGCTGGTTTGAAAATTATGGGGGTGATTCAATTATGTTACCTTGAATTTGAACTGTTAAGAGACGTTTATTAGAAGTTTCAATCATCAATGTAGTGTATTTTCCCCTAATTTTTATATAAGTTGCATATTGTTATTATGATAATACAGTAACTTTTTACTTGTTTATTTTGGTGTACTTTCAGTTTAAAATTAAAATTTTTGTGGTTTTAGTCTTTTACATGGTCGACTTAGAAAGAACATTCAATCGCTTAATTGATATTGTCCTACAGAGTACAAACACAATTAATTGATGAAATTTGTTCCATGTATTGGCAATGTAGCAAAATAAACAACAAGGATAACCTGAACTGAGTTTATTTACTATGAACAATCCAGAGAGTTCCTAGTGTAAACATATGTACTAAATTGAAGAGAGAAAAAAGCAGTGAGAAAATTTTCATCTTTATATCTTTATATTATATTTTGGGAGAAAAGGTATATACTATCTCAAAAGAAATTGCTTTGATTAATTTGGTAGCTATTTTCAGTGCACCCCTTTTGTATTCTGGGATGGATTCAAAGTGGATCCTTTCCATTTTGCTACATTACAACTATATGGGACATATATATGGTGAGGGCTTGTCTGTACACACAGAACTATATTATTCTAACTAACAATAGGCTATGTAGTGATATGTGCTGCTGCAGATAGTCATATAAATCTATCTTTGAACAAAGAATTTTTATAACTCTGTGTCAAAATAGTTGACCTAAAAATGCAGACACGGAAAAAACAAACATTTGGTATGATATGAAAATAATGCATTAGACCTGATGCAATAAACAACAATGGGTCTGATGGTCCAATATCTAATGGAAAGACCGACATAGACTTGAATCTTTTAAGCTTTTAGGTACTACAGAAAAATTTATCTCTAGATGATTCCAATCTATTGCAGTCAGACAAAATTAAGTTTCATTTTTTGCGTTACTTTTGTTTTTTATTCTGCTATTTAAAATAATAGATCTAAATATTTTGTTTTTGGCATTGGTCATTCTTGTCAGTGTTAGCATTAAATGTTCTAACTTCAAACAGAAAAATCAAATCCAATATTTTGCAATTGAATACTACTTATTATTTATATTTGTACATCCTGTTTTTATTCATCATTGCTTTGATATCTTTACAGGATTTTACTTGTCCCAAGTGTGATAATGGATTTATTGAAGAATTAACAGGGTAAGTCCTTGAGGGCTAGACATTGGAGAATTATAAATATTAAGAAAAATAAATTTAAAAATTTTCTGCATATGTTGCTTATATGAGATTGTTTTTAAAAAGCTGCACAATCATGTACATAAATCTTTATTTCAGGGAGTTAGCTGAGAGCTCCAGTCCTCAGCCATCACAGGAACGGGACCCTGCTGCACAATTTACAGAGGTTAGTCAAATTGTAATCATTTTTAAAGCAAATTCACTTAAAACTGAAGTTAAAGATTTAGTTTTTATCAGAAAACCAGAAGATTATTGGTAGGCATTTAGAAATACTATGTATATTACTTACCTATATTCATCATTTTACAAAGTGAACCTGAATACATGCCCTTGATACTTTGTCAGCTTTGGGGAAGAGCTTTCTTAGAAAGTTTTCAATCTCAGTCTGGAGCTGGATCTTCAAACAATACACAGAATGGTGGGGAGTCTGAATCTGACGAGGAGGAGAGCCGGCCTCAAACTAGGTCCCTGAGGCCTCGACCTTTGACCCGCATTTCAGTAAGGACAGGTGGACCAAGAACCAGACAAATGAGACAACCACAGTATTTACATGGGTAAATCTTGTCCAGCAATTTCCCTAAACAAGTATTGTTAAGATTTGCTTATTTAGGCTTAATAGCAGTAGAATATTAACTTATCAGTAATTTCAATTTAATGAGGACATAGACACATCTTACTTAGTTGCAACTACCCATTGTAAATCTTAATGATTAGCGATTGATCCGATGACAGGTTTTGTTGACAACACTGTGTTGGATATAAAACACTTGTATTTGGAATGATTTGAAGCATTTTTGAAGAAGTAATACAATTTTTTCATTCAATCGGTTGCCAAAATATTGAAACTATAATTCTCCAGACTTAAAGTAGTTTTTATCATAGACTATTAACTCATAAATATATATATTATAAAAGCCTATTGCCTTGTATGAAATGATTTGATTTCCTTTCAGGCTTTTACAGTTGTTTGTTGACAGACTAACTGGTGAAATGGGACAACCAATGTGAGTATTTGTTGAAAACTTTTGCTTGAACATTTCATATGTTGTAAATGTAGGATATAAATAATACTTTTTAGTTTATATCTGCATTAAAGTGCATGTTGAAAAAATGTAAAATACTTATTGCCAAACCTGGGTCCCAATTTTAAACTGTAAAATAATTGTAGGAACTTTATGACACTTCATGGGAACCCAGCTGATTATGCCTGGGGTGTCGGGGGTTTAGACAACATTATAACACAGGTGAGTCTATAAAAGAACAAAAGTGTAATGAAATTAATGTTCAGTGGCTATTGTTAGTATTGTAATCATTTTAAAACATAAGTTAACTAAACTTTCTTATTTGTCTCAGCTGCTAAATCAACTAGAGGGATCTGGACCTGCCCCTGCTGAGAAATGTAAAATAGATTCATTACCAACTGTCAAAATCACCCAGGTTCAAGTCGGTAAGTACATGCACTACCAGGTTGTGTATTCTCAAATTTGAACATGATTCATAGATTCTTATAGAAACCACATGTATATGAAGCACATTTCAAGAATGTGAAACAGGAATAGGTCATGCTTTCTAACACGATACTGCATCATCCCAGAGCTGAAAGAATGTTTGGTTTTGAATGTATTTTAATAATAAACGATGAATTGACATAACTATGGTCTTAGGTCCCATTTCCTTCAATGAATTATAATAAACTTAATACAATTATTTTGATAAATTCCAACAAGAGTGAAGAAAGATGACACTTTCTGAATAGAGTTAATAGTTGGTATTGTTTATAAATTTGAAGATTACTACACTATCTATGAAATAACAATATGATCTTTAATCAAAAAAACAAAATTTGCTTTTGTAATGAAAAGTCCCAGTTTACTAGGCTGAGCTTTCGTATATGAAAACTGCATGTATTTTTTTTTCTTTTGACAGATAGTATCTTACAATGTTCAATATGCATGGAGGATTTTAGTTTAGATGAAGATGCAAAAAAATTACCCTGTGAACACCATTATCACAAAGTGTGCATTGTTACCTGGCTAGAAATGGTAGGTATTCTGGGTTTTCTAATCAAACTAATATTCTAGTAACTGATAAACTTCATATCTGTACAGGGTACTCCTTATGATTACTAAATACAGCGTACTCCGGATATATTGAAATTCAGGGGACCATGCAAAATATTTCAATATATCCGTAATTCAATATAAGCGAAATCGCGAAGCCGCCATTTTGAAAAGTTCGGCCCCGATCGAAAGCCCGAACAAATTAATTTGGTCAACTGAACAAATTAATTTGGTAATTGTTATTCTATAACAGTAAACAGATTACATGTAATATTTTATATTTTACGTAAAATTATTTCTTTCTGTTGCATTGAAAAGACAATCTTCAACCTCATTATAAAATTCATTTTACAATAATGTTTGGTTATTATGTTCATTGAACCGTGACTTTATTGTGATTCTATTGGTACGAGGTATCTTATTCTTGTGTTCACATTGTGTCTTAAGTCGTTCCACATATTTTCGTACTCAACTTAGAAATATAGTTGTAGTACGATGTGTCTTGTAAGACCATGTGTTGCTGGTGTACCAGGTCGTACGGAAACTTCTCGTATAAGAAGAGGACGAAGGCTGGACGCAGGGTCATCAGGCATATCCACACTGTCTGTGGTGGGCGGTTGAGATACGAAGGACATCAACTCGGGGTTAATGGAGATAACCTGGTGTATATCTTCAGCGATATACTAAGCAATCCTTCATCTTCCTTAAAAGTTCCTTATGAATGAACCGTGCGAAGCTCTCCCAATCCCAACACTGATTCAAAACCGAGTAAAGAGAATTGATTATCCAAACAGTCGTAATGAATCAAATTTGTCAAGACCAAAGACCTTTGACCTAAATACCTCCAACATTACGGATGCGGTGTGTAAGATAAACACTCGTATTACGTATGGTAAACCGAGAACAGTTAGTATGGAAAACAGAATTCAAACACTTACGAAAGTGAAATTGAAAAACATAAGACCAAGTTCAAAGCTTTTTTCATTGTCTTCTCTTAACTGTAGATCAGTAAAAAACAAATCACTATCAATATGTGACTACATACTTACAGAGGACCTTGACTTAGTCACATTGACTGAAACTTGGTTAGGTTCTTCTGTTGATGAAGCTGTTGAGAATTAACTGAAACCATCATGCTACGAAATCATTCGTCAAGATCGTAAAAGTGGACGTCGTAGTGGTGGAATAGCTCTTGTTTTCAAGAAGGGAATTGATGTGACCGTTCTGAACACAAGCTCGGATATTTTCACTCAATTCGAACATCTAGAAGTTACAGTTCGAATAGAAGACTTGAGAATGAATCTATGTATCATTTACAGACCGCCACCTTCTACTGTGAATGGTTTAACTACCAGTCAGTTCTTCTCGGAATGGGACACCTATCTCGATCAGAATACTACATGTATATTTCCCCAAGAGCTAGTAATCACAGATGATTTCAATTTTCACGTCGACAATCCTAGTGATCCTGAGGCAAGCAAGTTGTTACAATCCCTTGATGATCGCAACCTTATACAACACGTGGATGGACGAGCCGACCCATTTTCACGGACATATCCTAGACTTGCTTATCACACGATCATCTAGTGAAATACTACATTCACGTCCTCAAGTCAAAAATCCATCATTGAGTGATGTGAAAGGAAACTTGTGTGGTGACCACTATGCTATACATGCAACTTTCAACTGCAGAAAGCCACAACATCAGCGTAAAAAGATTACATTTAGAAGGCTCAAGAATATCAACATACATGATATGAATAGAGATATCAAAAATCAACTACAAGATGAATCCGCACGAAATGAGAACACGTCTGTTGACCATTTAGTACAAGGGTACAACGAATGCCTCTCGCATATTCTAGACTCACATGCGCCTCTTGTGAGCAAGTCAATTCTTATAAGAGCTAACACAGAATGGTACACAGACGAGCTCAGGACAGCGAAGCAACAGAAGCGGAGAATGGAGAGACTTTGGCGTAGAACTAAACTGGAGATACACGACCAGCTTTTTAAAATGGAATATAAGCAAACAGGCCAATTACTACACAAGGCAAAAGAAGAATTCTATTCTGATAAAATTCAAGAATGTAGGTATGATCTGAAAAACTTCTTTAGGGTGACGAATTTATTGATGGGTAAGAATCAGGAGAGTCCCCTACCAACATCATCATCAGATGAAGATCTTGCAAATAAATTTTCAACGTTTTTCATAGACAAAGTAAAATCCATCAGAGAGACACTTGAACAAAAAACAGAAAAAGAAGACAGCTATTTAGACACAGACATACAGTATAATGGGCCTCTATTAGCTGCTTTTGAACATACCACTGAAGATGAAGTACGATCACTAATGATGAAGGCACCCAGTAAATCATGCAAACTGGATCCAATTCCAACAAAGCTACTGAAAAAGTGCCTGGATCCAGTACATGTAATACCGCTTGTCACAGACATGGTAAACGCATCTCTCGATCAGGGAACTTTCCCGTCTGCTTGGAAGGAGGCCATAGTTTGTCCACTTCTTAAGAAACCTGGACTAGATAAGGAAGTGTTGAAAAACTATTGACCCGTTTCAAACTTGAGTTTTATCTCAAAAATATTGGAGAAAGTTGTGGCTCATAGGATTGATGTCCACTTGGATGCAAATTCTCTTCGGGATCCACTTCAGTTCGGCATATCGTCCCAGGCACTCCATGGAAACGGCCCTCATCAAGGTCCACAATGATATTGTGACAGCCCTGGACCAACAATCTTCAGCAGTCCTTGTCCTTCTGGATTTATCCACTGCTTTTGATGTTATTGACCATAAGATACTGTTCCGACGCCTAACTGTCTTATGGATTCCGTGATGGTGCTCTTGAGTGGATCAAGTCTTACCTCAAGAACAGAAAACAATGTGTCACAATTGGATCCGTCCGATCAGAGTCTAGACAGCTGCCTTTTGGTGTCCCCCAAGGATCTGTACTCGGACCGACATTGTTTTTCCTCTTCTCCAAACCAATTGGAATCATATGCCATCGACACGGAATGATATATCACTGCTATGCGGGTGATACACAAATTTACATGATTATAAGACCACTGGAAAATTGGAACAATTATTTGTCTCGACTTGAAGCATGTCTTGGTGAAATTGGTTCATGGATGACATCAAACCTACTCAAACTAAACCAAGAAAAGACTGAGTTAATAATCTTCACCACGAAGCAACACCAGAAGCATCTGCCAAAATTACAACTAAAAGTTGTTGATAATATCATTGAAAGCGTGCCATGTGTAAAAAATCTAGGTGCATTTTTCGATCAACACCTTACTGTGGAAAAACAGGTATCCTGGGTCATCAAGTCATGTTATTTTCAAATAAGCAATATTGGACATATACGGCGCTTTCTTACAAAAGAAGCCTGCAAGACCATGGCGAATGCCGTTATCACTGCCAGACTGGACTATGGGAACTGCCTTTTATATGTAGTGTCAAAGGCCTTACTTAAGAACGGATTCAAAAAGTCCAGAGCACAGCAGCTCGTTTAGTTACAAGATCATCGAAACGGGAGCATATTACACCTATCCTAGCTGATCTTCATTGGCTACCCGTTTCTTTTCGTCCACAATATAAAATCTTGACATATGTCTACCAATCCTTACACGGGTTAGCTCCATCTTATATCAAAGATCTTATAATGGAATACAAGCCCACCAGATCACTGCGATCTGAGTCAACATCACGGTTAGTTGTTCCTAAGATCATGACAAAGACATATGGCAAACGTCGACTTGGTTGGGCAGTAGCATTTTTGTGGAATGACCTTCCTAATAACATAAAGCATACCCAGTCCCTGGATATTTTCAAAAGACAAAGACACATTTTTATAGAATAGCTTTTTAATTATCAGGTGCTCAACTTTTAGTTTTATGACATAATTACTGTCACTAACGGTAATTACAGCCGCGAGGGAGTACTTAAGTATAACTGTTATGAAAACAACTCATTATCACCTTTGGGGACCGATCAGTGGCTTCAATATAAGGGATATTTCAATATAGTTAATTTCAATATAACCATTATTTGAAGGCAAAGAATCTGAGAGGCTAAAACTGGGGATTTCGTTTCAAAATCAGTCTAATTAAAATTAGATTTTAGATCCGCTCATATACTCGCTACACTAACATCTAATAACATCCCATAGAGGGTCACGTCAGAGGTCAAATTTGGAACACCTCTGGACTCATTTGCTTCAACAATATACGATGATTTTGCAGGCAACAAATTGATTGGTTGATAGAGTTTGAACTCTGACATGACCCTCTATGGGATGTTGTTAGTTGTACCGGTAATTGTAGTGATTATGCAAGCTGATCTAACATCTAATTTTAATTAGATTGTTTCAAAATAAGCAGAATTTCAAAATAAGCAATTTCAATATAGTGGAGTAAGCTGTAGTTTTAAATTTTTGGAAAGAAAAATTTATGTCAAGTTTCATTTTTATGTGTTATAAGCAAGATTATTAATATATTTTGCAGCATGGGACGTGTCCTGTATGTAGAATTGACTTGAATGGTGAAGATAGTTCCCTGAAAAATGACGACAGTTTATATTCTGAACTACAGAATGTTAGGAGTGATCCTTCAGAGCCTCCGGAGTGATGACAGACTGTGTTGTATTGTTTATTAAGTACTGTGATTTTACTGTGTCATTTTAACAAAGACAAAGTTAAGGTGACTGTTAACATTTAAATACTGTTCTTCAGAAAATGTGAGAGTTAATTTCTTACATATTTTGCATATAACATACATTTGCATTGATATAATGATATGAATGTGCATTGACATGTAGGCCTATTTCTTTATTTTTTTTTTTTCACTTGCCGAGGTAGGTGACCTTTTGCTCTCTGTTTTAATCTATGGTTGTCCGTTACATAATCTTTTCACACTTTCAGTAGAGCTCATAATTTAAAAAAATATCTGAATCAACGTTGCATGAGATGCCTGCATGTAAATTCAACCTTTAATGGCCCGTTATGAAGGAGGGATCGGTATTTTGTAATGTACATGTAATCATGATAGTATGAAGAAATATGAGGAAAAACCCTGTTAACCAACAAGAGCACAGTTTGTCATATTGATGTAAAATGTTCTTGTGTATGTACATGTAATTATATTATTGCCATAATATTTTTAAATCAAGATGCTCTATATTAGGACTCTGAAGGTATAGGTTGCAAAATAAAACATGTTGTTTTGAAAAAAACTTGCCTTGTAAACCTTAGGTAAACATTGAGGGTCATGGCATCTTTTTTCTAACTATAAATACTTGTAGTAATTTTTATTGAAAACTGAAAAATTATTGAATCTATAAACATTGCTAGATGATGTATTGGAAACTTAAGATTTATTCATTTGTTAACTTTGTTGCTTTAAGAGAAAGGCTAGGAGAATGTATTCAATTTCTAATGACCATTGTTTTGTTTCATCATTATTACACATTTTTGGCATTGTATCTAAAGGCAAAAAAGTGTACTTTTCTTTGAGTTTGCATTCATCCATTCAGACCACTAGTGATTTCAAATGGATTGAAGATTTCCATGTGTCAGATCTTATTCCACTGCAAAATTCACAATATCAGTATATTTAAGACTGTTGTTGCTAAAGATTTGATGAGCAAAAGTATAAGAGAATTGGATTTCTAAAATACATTGAATTGTATTTGCAAAGAGAAATATGCATATTATATTCAGAGGTTAACATTTACTATCTTCAACTTACATATTATGGAACAGAACTTTAAAAATGTTAATATGAATGACAGTCACTTGTAGCCATTTGTTCTTGTTAGATGATTCCAGTCATGTTCTCAACTGAATGATGGCATTTTGTGTCCTTAAATTTGTACTAACATGCCATATTGAATGTTGTTATAAATATTGTTTGGGGCTTATGCATATTACACAATTGAAAAATATATGTGCAGATTGTAATTTTGCTTTCATTACCTAGAGTTTATACTAACAGTGGTACTTCAGGTTATACCATTGTTTTACTAGTACATGTATTTTATACTGTTTGAATTTTTTAAAAATTGAATTTGTTTACCATACAAGCCCCCAAGTTATGTTATTTTATCATTATTTAATTGTTTCCAACACTTGAAATGTGTGTCCAGAATACAATAGTGTAGTAGCAACTTTTATTTTGGATTTAAAAATAAATTTGTATTTAGATATTTGTGGGCACACAGCCCAACAATTATTCATGTAGATTCTTCTTTGAGCTAAAGAGAATGAAATTGCCATTATCTTATTTTATATTTATTTAAAGGACATTTCCAATTGATGTGACCTGTAATACTTGTTTTTCCTCTCACAAATAACACCAAAGTTTTGTATGGAGAGATTGAAGGGGAATTTAAAATAAACATTGATATGATTGTGCTTCGGAGTTAAGTTGTTAATTGTTAAACTGTCATTTATGAAATTTTGAGATAATTATCTATGCATACTAAAGTATTTGAGGAATAACTAATCAGGACTATGTAGATCCATAGATACATGTATGTAAACAGAGAAATGGTCTCTACTTTTAGCTCACCTAAACCGAAGGGTGCAGCGAGGTTTCAGACCATACAACATCATCTGTCTGTTTCCCCTTTCAATTCAGTTTCATCTAGAACAGATGGACAAATTCAAACAAAGTTTGCACAGGGTGCTTTTTGGAAGGAGGCAATTAAATTTATTGGTAGGTCAATTGAAAGATGTTTTTTATTTAAAAGGAATATAAGTAAGAAATGAAGTAAAATGGAAGTTGAATAAAGAAAAATTCCAAATCTTGTGAACCACTGGATTAGAAAAGATAAAAATGTGTGAAAGATCCACAATGTAGCATGCTTATTTTGTTTTTTGTGAAAGAATTTTTGTTTGTTTGCTTGTTTTAATTAATGAATAACCACCCTTCAAGAATTGTCACTCAAATTTATAGACCTATATTTGGCACTGTGAGCAGTGATTGGGGGATCTTTTGTGCCATCACCTACAGCAAGACAGGACCTTGGTTTGTACAGTCTTATTTAAAGGACCAATCTCTACCTCACCCCATGGAATTCAAGCCAGCGACATAAGAATAAACGCCTTACTCTGTGGCTCTGTACATGTACCATCACTCTATGATACTAGGAAACCATCCATGTATTTCAGTATTGAAAGAATTAACTTCATTGTAGTCATTATAAGGTTAACCTTCAAATAACACAGAGGTCTGTAAAAATCTTTCTGAAAAAGCAAAACCCAAGCTGAGTTATTCAAACTGATATTGAAGCATCTCCATGTTGGATGGATTCAAGTTCAGTTAGCCATGGCAGAATTATTATTTGGATGAATTAATTAATTAACATGCGTGGATCTAGAGGGGGTGCGTGGGTCGGGACCCCCACCCCCACCCCAAACCTTTGAATTTTCGGAGTTTAAAGTATGTACTAAACCAACAAAAAGGGACCTTCATAGGTTAGAATGAAGTCAACAACAATATTCAAGTTTGAATTTGACATTGATATCTTCATGCTGCTGAATAATTAACTTGCATATATTATAATAAGAAAAAATCCTGAAAATTATGGAATTAAACGTGGACGTAGGTGAGCTTTATGGTGCTATGAGCCTTTGTTTGACACGAACGCGACTTATTCTTAGTACGAATTAACATGTTTTCAAAATGTCGGTTCTGTGGGAGGAAACGCTGACAAGAAGTAGAAAATGTATATCTTCTGGTGCCTACGATAAAATCTTCACTGACAGTTATTTTATATTTGATTTAATCAAGGTATGTGTTGTTATATTGCTTTTATTGAAATGATTTTTTTTCTCTTCCGTTCCTGAAACATGTTTGAAATACATCGATATGTAGAGAGAAAAAAAATCGTCTGCTATTGGGAAGAGCAGTTTTAAACACGTATAACTTTCCTCTTTATAGCTTTTATACAACGAATCTGTCGACGAGAAGATTAAATTGGAATTGTTGTTGTTGATAGAAGAATTCAGTCAGCATTCAGGTGTTCATACTTCAAAGTAAGCGAAAAACCATATAGCATTGAACACATGACAGTCACGTACATTTCTTCAACCACAGGGCCTCCATCGTCTGAAACCCACGGTCGGTCTTACTTCAAGAGAAGTAAGACTGACCATGGGTTTCCAATGAGAAATATTGAAGAAAATCAATGATTAAATGTATGCTTCAATGATTTAGAAAGTAATTTATTTATTACAAAATATCTTCAGTGTTGACCAGATTGTGCAATCCCTGTTGGATGTTTGTCATCAGCTGACAAAGCGAGGAAGAGAAATCAGTGTGAGCAGCCAGATCCTTACTCTTCTGACAACCATTCTGATTTTGTATGACCAACTGGTATGATTTATTCAAACAGTATTTTGTTGGTAGGTTGCAATAAAAGTTTACGTGTCGATTTTTACTTTATTGCATTTCTTTGAGAGATGCTATTAGGTATAACTTGAACATGATCATTGTAATTTACAGGATACTGAGGTATGTCAGTCTACAGTGCAGACCCTGTTAGCTACCATATCGAATGGTGTCAATGTTACAGAAAGCCGACCACTACGATCCACTGCTTGCCAGTGTCTGATACAGCTGGAAGACAGCAGACCAGTAAAGAAACTGCATTCTCTCAGCAGAACACATTCATGCCTATTTTTACATCATCGTTTTGATATTAAATATCTTATCTGTTTACTGTTAGATTAACTAACTAATTATAAATTATGAATATTGTTAAAATATTGTGATAACTGTGAAAATCTTTCATGATACACTTAAAATACTGATTTCCACATAAAGTCTTCCTTATTTGTATGATAATACTCAGAGTGACAGTGTATTGTGACAGGGGCTATTGTGGAAGGAAAAAGATTCACTGATAAAGCTGATGAGACAGGAAAGGACTAGTGTGTATGAGGATTATGTCATGCTTGTTACTCAGATGCTGCAACATGGCTTCAGGTATGACCTTCAAGGTAGTTAAAAAAAAAATTAGTAGTTTTGACGTTTAAATAGTAATAAATTAGTAATACAGATTAGAATTGATATGGTACTAAAACTACAATGAACTAAACAATTTAAAGTAACTTTAAGTTGTTTTATATAGTTCATTTTAGTTTTGTCTTTTCAGATGTTTTACATCCAGTAGAACTTTTAGAAACAGTATTGCTCCTTACTTGCTAAGTATGTACATATTTTGTAAACTCTTGATCATTACTCTCTGATTTTCTTTTGCAGCTCTACCAATGTTATTGGCACCAAAAGCAGTGTGAGTTAAAATAAATTTCATTTATTTTCATACTTATAGAAATGATTATGAGCTTAATATAATAGCTAATCTAAGTTAAGTTTTCTTGCATTCTAGAATAAAAAAAAAGGAAAATATAGATTGATATTAGCATTTCTCTCCCCTGTACAATTTTGTTTAATTTTTCTTTTTTTTTGTGAAGATATTCTGATAATTTAATATGATAAATGTTGTTTTTTATGTAGGATGTGGACAGAGTTGTCCCTCTTGATCCAGCCGAGTCCAGACAGATTGTGTCCCAGATAATGGACAATGTCTCACTATTTACCCAGGGAGGACTCTGGCACACAGTGCTGGATCTGGTCAACATCGTACAGAACTACCATGAAATATCTGCTACAGTGAGTTGTATTCAGAGGTGATCTATGCATTAAAGTTTAACTTTAATTTATCATTATACATGATATAGAGTACTGAGCAATTTGTTTTTGAATTTTCAGATTTTTAAACCCATGATGCTTCACTACATGTCCACATTTGATACAGCATTGTTACACCTGGTTGTGTTCATACAGGTGGGGATATAAAATTTTTCTGTAACCTTTTTTTTAATGAAGTAGACTTAAGGAAAATTAATTTTTCAAAATTGATGTCTTTTTAAGATTGAAGGAGGAGATGGTAAAATAAAAAAAAAAGAATGTATCAATAAGATATTGAAAAGATATTTAATTTGTCATCCAAAGATGGTAATAAACATTATTAACACCATTAAAAAAATGTTTGAACCTATTGTAGAGTGAGTTTGAGAAGGAAGTCCTCACTGATATAGAAGAAAAGCAGTTACAGAATAGAATACTGGCGGGACTGAATCATCCCTCCCTGACCCCGGCCCAGCGGTTATTCTACTGTCACTGGATAGAGTCCTTATCACACGTAAATAAAAACCAGTCAAAATAATTTACCTGGTACTTTTTCTCAAAACATCAAGTTGTAGTTACATATTCATATTTTTCATTTGATTGACTCATGCTTTCTATAAATTTTACTGAGATTTATTTAGATCATTCAAAATCTCTTGCATACTTTAATGAAATTAGTTAATTTTGTTAAAATCATTAAGAAATCATCATAAAACAAAACTCTTAGATTTGGGTTAGATTAAAGAAATTTATCAATACCCAATACCCCAAAAATCTAATTTCTATAGATTGCTAACACATTACATTTCCTGCAGGTATCCCTAGAGAATTCTGAGGAGTGTGTAGGAATCCAAGACAATCAGCAGCTGGTCTTCTTCCCCAGTGTGTTTGATCCTATTGACTGTCAACTGGCCAAACTAGGGCTTCTTAATTTCTGTTTTCCTTCCCTGATCAAAGAGGACAATGGTAAGTTTAAAATGACTAGGCAGCAAGTCAGTGAATGGAGATTTGATTTTTGCATAAAATTAATGGCATTTTTTAAAAATCTTTTTCTCAAGAACCACTGGGCCAGGAAGGATGAAACTCATGTGGAATCATCCTCAGGTAGTGTAGATTCAAGTTTATTCAAATCATGACCCCCAGGGCTAGGGTGGGGCCAAAATGGCCGACCAAAGTTTTACATAGGAATATACAGTTAATTCTCGATAAACTGCCAACTTTTGTAATTTAGAAATCATGGCGGTATAACGAATTTGGCGATGAATTGAATTTAGAAATCATGGCGGTATAACGAATTTGGCGATGAATTGAATTTCCCAACTTTTAGGAAATAGGAAGTAGAGTTACCGTTCCTAGAAATACCATTTAGCGTTTCTATTCTTATTATCACATATACATAAAAATATTATATTTATAAATTTGAAAATAATTTAGGTAATTTTTTATTTACAATTTCGCTAAAATAAAATGTGCATTTTTGCATTGATTAAATCAGAGACCATCAGAATAATATCGTTATCGGCGTAATTTAATAACGACCGCTTTCGTGGCGAAGCCATAACTAAATGATTTTTATTAAACAGAAAACAAAATTATTATTACACTTCATGTTAAATTATTGTTTATTTAATTCTTCTTTAATTATTTAATTGCATATACATTGTCTGACTTTGCATGCTTTACCACATGGATAGCGTCAACCAATTAGACGCGCTTC